GCTTGGAGGAAGCACGGGCCTGGACAGACTTGGCGTTGGCCTCAAGCTCAGCACGGACGGCAGCAGGGCCTTCGGTGACAGCCTTGGCGATCACAACAACCTCAGCGGTCTTCTCGACAGCGAAGGAGAACCAGTCACGGACCTCATCATCGAGGGTCTTCTCGCTGGCGAGAGTGTGGGGGACGTGCAGCAGGGAGCTGGAAGTAGCAACGACAACACGGTCCTTGCCGAGCTTCTGGATGGCGTTCTCCACCTTCTCGATGGCGGCCTTGTAGTTGGTCTTCCAGATGTTACGACCATCAACGACACCAGCAGAGAGGACCTGGTTGGGGCCGAGAGCGGCGATGACAGTGTCGAGCTGCTCGGGGTTGCGGACAAGGTCCACGTGGATAGCGTAGAGGCTCTGGAGGTTGGCGAGGACGTCAATGTTGTGGACGATGTCACCGAAGTAGGTGGTGAGAGTAATACGGGGACCGTTGGCACCGACGGCGCCGATCTTCTCGTAGGCAGGCTTGAAGGCGGCCTTGGACTTCTCAGCAAGATCGAAGACAAGGACGGGCTCGTCAATCTGAACATCCTCGGCACCGGCGGCCTTGAGCTTCTCAAGGAGCTCAACGTAGAGAGGAACAAGCTTGTCAAGGAGGGTGATGGGGTCAACGCTCTGGCCACGGTCGGCCTTGGCGAGGGTCAAGAAAGAGACGGGACCGAGGATGACGGGGCGAGTGGTGATGCCAGCGGCCTTGGCCTCGAGGAACTCAGCAACGGGCTTGGGCTCGGCAGCGAGCTTGAACACCTGGTTGTCCTGGAGGGCAGGCTTGACGTAGTGGTAGTTGCTGTCGAACCACTTGACCATCTCCTGTTGAGCTGTTAGTATCTGATTCAACATGGGAAAAATTAGTGGACACGTACGAGAGCGGGAACATCAACACCCTCCTTCTGGAGGCCACGACCCATAGCGAAGTACTCATCGAGAGGGTGGAGGTTGTACTTGGTGTAACGCTCGGGGATGGTTCCGAAGAGCTGGTGGTGGTCGAGGATCTGATCGTAGAAGGCGAAGTCGTTGCTAGGGATGACATCGACACCGGCATCCTTCTGGATCTGCCAGTGAGCAAGGCGGAGACGCTTGCCCTCGGAGATCAGCTCATCACGGGAAATCTTGTCACCCCAGTAAGCCTCGGTGGCCTTCTTGAGGTCACGGAGCTTTCCCATACGGGGGAAACCCAGAACAGATCTATGGGGAGTCAGCAATGAAGGAATGAGGGGCAGATAGAGCAGAGGACATACGATTGAACCATTCTGACGGATGTGTATGTGTAAGGAGAAAATGGGCAGGGTCTCTTGAAGGATAGAATTTTCACCCGATGCCTTTGAGAGATGAAGAAGAAAGAGGAAAGAAAGAGGGAAAAGCTCGAAGAAAATAGAGGGGAAGGAAAAGTAGACTAACCCAACGGGGAGTTACGAGGAGGGGCAGCAGTACGGTATCAGCGGCCCTCGTACTGAGTACATACCCGCGGCACCCAATGTTACCAAGTCTAATAGGCTCATCTTTACCGGGGATCAGCATGTAAGTTACGGTTCATACCCGGTACCAACACCCCACGGTAATCTCCGTGATCGGGGCACTAAGGACGATCACGCCATTGGGTGTCACCGATAAGACTCATTATTTTCTCTACATGTAAGGAAGCAAGGATGTGATATTGATCTATTTGTTTGTCTATATTTGTTTTTATGCTCGCTTTCCTATGCTTGTTGTTATTTTTCTACGGTATGGTCAGATCATGAGGTGGTCGAGAGTTACATTATAACTCAATTTCTTAACCCCGCGTACTAGGGCCTCAATTGGTCAGAGCTAACCTGTGCACGAAAATATCAACTCTTATTGTAACCCAGGGAACTGCAACAGCACAGCTCCAATAATGTGTCAATGGCCCCTATTTTACTAACAGACCCAAGTCACATCCACACCAATCCAGAACAGCCCCGAACATCGGTGTCCGTTCAAGCAATTGATCGTCCCACGTGATCTGCCATCGAAAAAGTTAATTCCTCAGATTCTCAAGATTTGTTGAGCGAAGTAAGAATTACCAAGCCCAAGTCTCTCATTAAGCTCTCATTGCAAAAGAAGGAGGCAACGCGCCATGGCATCCTCTGATCTTGTTGAAGCCAAGTCCCAAGACATGCAGACCCAACATCAGCTCCACACCGATGAAATGTCGGTGACCAATGAAGATGATCGCGATTTGCTGAATCTAGGCTATCGTGCAGTTCTCGCACGTGGCTGGGGGTCATTCGACAATTTTGCGTGCTCCTTCTCGGCGTTATACTGCATTGGAGGCATCCGTGTGTTGTTCTACATCGCCCTAAGTGGCGGTGGGCCGGCCGCTATGTATGTATCACACGCTCCAGGAACTTGTCTCTATATTCCCCCGTTGATCATTAACACCTGTCTTCTGTAGATGGAGCTCTTGGGTCTCCGGTAGTATCCTCTCGATCATCACCGCCGCTTGCCTCGCTGAAGCGTGCTCAAGCTACCCCGCCGCGGGGTCGATTTACTACTGGGCATTCCGATCCTGGGGTGGTGGTCGAGTTGGTCGCTTTGTCTCTTTCCTCGTTGCTGCGTGGACTTTAGTTGCGTGGACTGCTTTCTTGGCAAGTGACTCGTTTGGCGTTGCCAACTATCTTGTCTCCGAAGTGGTGGTGTTCAATCCGGAAACAAGCTTCCCGTATGAGACATCGGATGTGCGTGCCCGCGCGGTGGCCTGGGCTTTCTCGCTGCTTTTCTTGGCCATTGCTACCTCGTTGAACTTTCTCCCGCCACGCATGTACTCGTGGGTGTTCCGGGCGGGTGTCACGGTCATCATCATCGATATGTTGCTCAATTTCATTTGGCTGCCTATCGGCGTATCCAAGACCTACGGTTTCCAATCGGCTGAATATGTTTTCACATCGACATACAATGGCGGTGATACTAGTCCCGGCCTTAACTGGGTTCTCTCCTGGTTCTTGGTGGGAAGCTGCCTAGTGGGACAGGACGCGTCGGGCCATGTCGCAGAAGAGACTATCTCGGCTAAGAAGGCAGCCGCTAAGGGTATTTTCTGGGCGACCGTTGCTTCTGCGCTCTGTGGTTTCCCTATAATCATTCTGTTCCTGTTTTGCATGCCACCTATCGAGACCTTCTACGACACCAGCGCGCCCCAGCCGTTTATCAACATGTACGCCATGGCGCTTGGTCCACATGCCCATGTGGTAATGACTATCATCTCAATGATCGGAGCTATTCTGAATACTTCGATCTCCTTGGTGGCTGTCTCCCGACTTGTTTTCGCCGTGGCGCGCGACGGTGTCTTCCCATACAGTGATGTGTTGTCCCGTGTGTCGAAATCGAAGCAGCCCCACAACGCGGTCATCTTCATCGCAACCATTGCCGCTCTTCTGCTTTGCACTCAGCTCCCGTCCCAGGTTGCCTTCTCTAGCTTGATTTCGACCTCCGCTGCTGGTTCAATCGCGGCATATGGTCTAGTTGGCATCGGTCGCGCATTCATCACGCGAAAGACCTTCCGCCCGGGCTTCTGGGACTTGGGTCGGTTTGGTGTGGTGGCTGCTGTTGTCACATTCATCTGGAACGGTTTCGCATTCGCCGTGCTCTGTGCCCCGACTTACTCGAACAGTGCGATCGACGAAGATTCCAGCCTTTTCAACTACGCCATCGTGATCATGGGTGGTGTCACGATCCTTGCGATTGCTGAATGGTGGCGCAAATCGAATGATGATTGGTTTAAGCACCTCAAGATTGCCGACTCGGATACCGAGATTAGCGAGCCGAATGAGAGGGATGAAAACAAGACCGCTCCAGTGTCAGTCTGAAGTTCTATTCAGCTCGCTGAGAGAAAAGAAAGGGAAATGGCCGGTGCTTACGAGTGGTCACGGTGACTACACTTCCAAGCACCCGACGGAGGATATAATATGGTAATACGGCATCCATACATGGATGCACAGGGTAAGCGTATTTTTATGCAGCACGCATGGCGGGTGTTCGAGATCTCGCGCTTTTGGTCCGCCGAAAGCGCAAGTCTCGTTCTGAGATATTACCGTTAAAACTTGATCTGGACAATACCAGCGAAAGGACATGCATGTTTCATCCCTCGTCTCTCCTCTTTCGGTGTTTTGCCTCGCAGATGCAGTCTCAAGGCGGATGCTACTAACTGCCTCTTTGGAGGTGTAGATCTGCGGTTTGCTGCTGGCAGGTCGATCACGCCTGTTCCAGCCCTTGCTATCCTTGTGCTTGCTGCAGTCACTGCTTCGATCCTGCACCGTCAGTGTGCTCTTGTCGATCCCTGCGACGCCCTGCATCTCTGCCTCCTGGCGGAATGTGGATTAGAGGACAGCCCTGCACATTTATGCAGGGTGTCACCCGATCGACTGGATCTCTGATCTGCTCGGTGCGCCAAAGGGATTCACATCTTTGCACATACATCTTGCGTACCCTTGGGATCGAGCTGTTGCAGTACTGTGGCCTGCACAGGCATCTTGCTCTTCTACTAGACCCGCTTGATTGGCAGGTCGGTACCGGAGATTGCCAGTTATAGCAAACCGCTCGTAGACATGTACATGCGTAGACTAAACGTCCTCACTAACCTCGTTTGTAGTTTAATATGATTGGACAGAGCTCTCTTCAATTGAGTTTTGTCAAACCAGTGGCTTTGCCTTTCCTACCACGGCTGACATTGTAAAAATGGGACTACCGGTATGTCTTGGGAATCGATTGGTGATGTATGAAGATACTGGAAGCAATATCAACATTTGCTGTCTAGCTCGCATAGACAACGATGTGGTCTTGTCTGACGTCAAGCGTGTAGACGATCATTACCGAAAGCGTACATTCCCCTCAGTCCAAGCGTGGGGAACAGAACAACTTCATCTTCATATCCAACCCATTCCCAAGCAGACCCCTTTCTAGTAGCCTTGCCTCTAGCTTCGAGCTCAGAAATCTTCACACAATGGCCTTTGCCCGCAGACTAGCAATCCTCCCAGGTGGCCTCGGTATGAACGACAATACGGATAACGTTGCAGTGTTCTATATAAGCGTGCCGTCGCTGACAACCGCACAGGCGGCCTAGGCTCAAGCATAGGCAAAAAGCTCCACCAACAAGGCGCAAGCATAGCAATCCTCTACGCCCCCTTCGAAGCCTCCCGTCGCGACGAACTCTTAGAATCACGCTACGGCGCAAAAGCCGGCAACATGGATAACATCCACACCTACGCATGCGACATAACATCCCCAGAGTCAGTCCAATCCGCCTTCGACTCTTTATTACACCAAACGCCCTCACCAGCATCACCAACAGAAAAAGCATTCCCAAGCATCCTAATAAACACTGCCGGCTACGTCTCCCTAAGCAACATGGAGCACACACCACCAGCAGAAACCCTGAAACACCTAACAACAAATATCCTCGGCCCAATGCTATGCTCGCAAGCCTTCGCACGGAGCTACTTCGCTGCATCGCAGTCTGCACAGGCGCAGTCATCAACTAGTTCACCACCCCCTCCAGGCCGGATCGTTAGTATCTCCTCTCAGGCTGCGCATGCCGCGTTACACCGCCATGGTGCATATTGTGCGTCCAAGGCTGGGTTGCTTGGCTTGACGAGGAGTATGGCTTCTGAGTGGGGTGGTCGTGGGATTACGGCTAATACTGTTTCGCCGACTGTTGCTTGGACGGAGTTGGGGAAGAAGGCTTGGGGGGAGGATACGGTGAGGAGGGCTTTTTTGGAGAGTATTCCTACAGGCAAGTTTGCGTTGCCTGAGGAGGTTGCGGATGCCGTGGTTTTTCTTTGTCAGGTGAGTGTTTCCTTCAGTCTCTGGTTTTGATGATAGTGTTCTTCTGACTTTGATTTATGTAGGATTCTAGTGGGATGATTAATGGGGCAGATCTTCGGGTTGACGGCGGTTTTACGGTTCGATAAAACCTTAGATGTTAGGACGGGGGCTGCTGCCCAAAAATCAATCCTCTACCTACTATACGGAGTATGTAGTAACAGATAACGTTATCCCATAGGCGGAGGGTGCCGACAGGAGACAGAACGCAAAGTCCGAGCCTCGCGGTGGAACACAACTGTTTGAATTAGCTCACCATCGCATTCAAGTAACTGAAAACGCTGACCGGTACCTATACCCCAAAGCTCAATCTTGCCATTGGATCAGCCAGAAGCGAGTTCCGACCTTCAGAGGAGAATGCCAAGGCAAGAGCAGGGGCATAGCCTTCGAATGTCTGAGGTAGGAAGCGCCGGATTTGGGTGTTGTCAAGCTCAGTCACAGCAGCGCCAGCATCATCCGAACCAAACATGTTCTGCTTGAGGACACTGGAAATTAGCTCTATGCACTTCTCCACAAACATACTGTGAGTTTTCTCGCTGTGAATATTCAAGTTCGGATCTTGATGGGAGTCATTTTCAAGTAGGAAGTCTTCAAATTAAGATGATGCTACCCGATGGGAAGGTTTGCATCTTGAGACACTTTGAGAATTGAGTGCAGTTCCCGTATAGCCCAATTGATCTTGTATAAAGAGCAAAATTAGGACCAAAGATGAAATAAGCTCAACTTGAACAAAATTCCCTGCTGTTCAAGTCAGAATGCGATCTACTTCACCAGACCAAGTCATTTCTCACATCAATTCGACGGAAAAGCCTCCAAATTTCCTTTCATTCTCTCGGTCCAGTTTGCACTACCTAGTTGCGGAACCCCTTAGATGCCACTCGCCACCAAGCAAAGCATTGAAATACTCAACGGAGAAACAATTCCCTAGAGCTTGACCGTGCAATTGAATGGAAGTGTGTTCAAATATATTGTAATGTAGCAAACGATGTTAGTTTGAATTTTGGGGTTTGACGCTCGTAGTGCGGTTGATTATATACATTTGCTTCCAGGCCCATTCGGTGAGGGTTTCACGCTGCGCGACATGTTGTACGGCACCAAAGCCATTAAGCAATTAATTCCTCTTGGCATTTAAGACGCCAAGGTGCTCACGGATACCAGTTAACTCATTCAATCGGTTCTCCTCACCCTCCTGCAGCAGCCGAAGATGCTCTGCCTTCAGTTGTTGAAATTCATCGTCGAGTTTGTGATGCCAAGGGTACAGAACACACACTTGGAAGCAGAATGCTGAGCTGGCGATCACAAAATTTGTGAGAGAAAACCCGCGAGTTATAATCATCCTGCACGTCGACACGAAAGTGGAAGATAGTAGGTGGTTGCGCTACAAAATTTAGTAATTGCTGGCAGGCAGAAGAAAGGACACATGAACACAACATACCTGGCAGGTCAAGGATATTAGCGTTCGGATTGGAATGCTGTTTTCTAAGTGTAGGATTTTATCTCCAATTTCGGCCTCAGTAGAAACGAAACCCCTTGAACAGAGGCTTTTATTCCTCCGATCCAATGCGTCACGTGTGACTAGGTCCAGGAGAACTTCTTTCGATTTGAAATGAGTGTGGATACGTCCTAGTCTTTCTAACACTCACACTGACATACTGTCGAGAGGTTTATGCTCGCCTATCGTATTCGCCAAAATCCAGCTTGTTTTCTTGTTAGATATGTGATCCTAGTCAGGAACAAACCACTCATACTAACGAAGATTCTTTCAGTCTCTGGCTCAACGCCAGGGAGCTCTTAGTCCATGCTGCTATGAGTCTATGAAATATGGGGTCATTTCTAGACTTTCGGCCGAAGCGGTAATTTCTCGGAGTTTGACAGTTTCGGCCCCTGAGCCACATGCCTACTAAGCCACATGCTCACGTTGGATTTCCAAGGTCTGTAAGAGTCATTCAAGGAAATTTACGGCGTATATGCATTAAAATATAGTAAGTAGTACATAATTTGCTCCTATACTTCCGAACGATCGTAAAAGGGTTAAACTTGTGGTCCATTATTTAATAAACTTAGAGAGAAACCTTTAGAAGACTCTACAGAAAGTCTTTTGAATAGTGATCTCTATCTATCATCGATACCTTGCCCGCGGTATCTCGTTGCAGATGCACGTGGTACCTTTTTGTTTCTCACGGCTGAAAAACAGCGCGACCGAGCGTCTTGAGGTGAACGATATACCAGAAGAGGTAATCATATGAATGTGTAGGCGAGGCGTTTTCACTTTCATATAAGGGGATTTGTTTTGGCACAGTGGCGACTATGTGCGAGGGCACTAGTAAGCTCTGCGTAGCGGGACAAAGTGGGCAATAGATTCTATCTAGGGATGTAACTTAGTAGTATAATAAAAGCTGACCACTAGCCTTCTATACCAAGATCGGCTGATACATTGGATATACATTGCGTTTAGTCAAGCCCTGCTCACTGGTTGCATCCATGCGAGACACATGCTCAGGAAGATTATCCTGATCATGCCCATAATTTTTCATATGACAGTGTGGCCCAGACCCACCAAATTCAATCCATAGGAAACGCTTAGTGCGAGGCTCTGAAACGGGAGAGTGCAGTCATTGAGAATCATCGAGCTTAAGTGTTATAGGCGACCTCCAACGAGTACTCTCCAATGAAAACCGCGAGTGATATGATATGCACGACGAGGTTTCCGTTCATATAAGTTACTGCGGTCCTCCACAAGTGCCGGATTGAGGTTATATACAACAATGAAGGCCGGGTTTAAGTTTACCGCGGCTTGCTTCATCGAGCGGCTCGGCCCTGTGCCGGGACAAAGCAAGGGGTTTGAAGAACAAAGTTAGTTCCTAGACCGCCGGAGTCTTATAACTATAGCTTTTATACTAATATAGTTTTAATACTACTAAAGGTTTTATACTACTATATAGGTGGGGTCTCCCGCCTTAAAATTGCTTATTTTGTCCGCGAATCTTCTTGAAAGGCTATATCGGGTGACTATATACGTTCTTAACATATTTTGCTTAAGAGTCCGCTACTCTAGGACGAGCGTAACTAGATAAGGAACGTCCTTCCGATAGCGGAGTCGCTCTTTAACGCGAAGAGCTCCTAGCGCGTTGTAACGGAATCCTCAGAAGCCATGCACAGATCTCTCGCACTCACAGAGGATCGACACCATATAGGTGTCGACACGTCAGCTTTGGCTCACCGTAACGCTGATCCCGCATGTTAAATATTCTGCCCCGGAGAACCCAGCGGTTCTCCAAGAATCAGTCTCTGTATTCCTCCAATATATTGTTCGCTTCCAGGCATCTTCGTCTTGCCTAGTTGACAGGCTCTATCCTGTAACACTAGAACCCTACTCTTTACACTAAGAAGCCACTTTCGGCCTTCCGCTCGCTATCTTATTATATACTCTATATACTAATAAGACGGAAACCACGTGATTATATAAGTAGTAGAAAAGTCGATAGTCGATAGATAGATTTTACTAAGCTAAATCTACTATTCTACTTTCTACCTATCTACTAAGGAAGGACTTAGGATATATAAGGATACTTATTTATATATCTAGTTTAGTTCTTCGTGTTTAATCCTACATTATTACTTATGTCTTCTATTTAGAACCTTTAGTGACTCGTATAACTTGAGTATAACTTAAAAACACTACGAATAGACCTATACTCTGGTATTAGTTAGTTCGCCGTTCTACCTAGCATCGCTCCTCGATACCCTTAAAAGGACTTAGCTCGTGTAAGGCCTATCAGGCGACGGTACGGTTAAGAGACAGATCGTTGACGTTAGAAGCAAGGAAGCATTTAGGCAAGTATAACCCAGGAATCTTCTAACATAGCGACGACCGTTAGTCGTGCGTAACACATGAGCTACAGTCGCGACCCTTATTGCCTTCCATATCGGAAACACCTGCATGCTCTTTCAAACCCTAATCAGATGATGCGCTAATCCAGATGTAGTTATTGAGTAATAACAGGTTTTGAACATACAGTGTAATATTACCAGTTCTTTTAAGATACCAGTATGAAAGATTTAAGGTCCTAGACTAGAAGAGAACTTCCATGAGGCTCCATGTAAACCCAGCAAACAAATGCAGCGCTTGAATTGGCAAACTGTAAACAATTCTCCTTCTGCATCTCGCAGCTGCTTCAATGCAGAGAGCCTCGTGCTTCCCTGGGGTCCATCCGGGGTCAGGTTGATAGGCAAGGCTCGACAGTAAGGCATCTTTTCGTAACCTCCGCCATGCTGATCATTATGCTGCGGTTTTGGATCTTACTAGACGTCAGAGGTTCCTAGCGAGTCGGCTTAGGCCCTTCGTATCGTACCGCAGACTCGAGCGTCTAAGACTAGGGTTCGGGAACAAAGCTGTGCCTAATAGGAACACGCGGCGCTTGCCGATCTTCCTAATACGAGGTCTGATGAATCATGCGTATCCTATTGGCTGACTCTGACCAGTCTCCTCCACATCATGAATCCCCCAACATTACTCACCTAAATATACTTCAAGAAGTGGGACATTCGAAACGTCCTACTACTCTTTTTACCCCGAGTGCCATGGCCCATCAGGCACACTCCCTTCCGTGGCATACGCTAGCGGCCAACTTTGAACAGAGACGAGTGGGCAAGCATAAGTATCTTCTGGCGCCACTGAATAAGCCGCACCAGGGAAAGCAGATCACACATTTCACTGTTGCATTCGCCCGGGCGTTGACCGAGTTCTCCACCACGGAACGCCGCAAGTACTCGCCAGCCATCAACGTGCGGACGAGCATCGAAGATGACGATGACGTTGTGAGCGAAACAGCTATCCAGGGTCTAAATGATCTCTTCTATCAAGTTAGAGATGAGACACGAAAGGCTAAGAATTGCAATGTCGGGGCTGATAAGCCCCCTTTCCGCTGCCACAACTTTCGACCCGGAGCTATTCCACGGACTGGGCTGGAAACGTAGTCCGAACGGAGGAAGAAATCGCTGCCTACGACGAAGAACTGCAGAAAAAGGAAACGCCCCGCGCTCTGCTCGGTGCTGGAAAAATGTCGACTGGTGGCGTGGTCGCGCGGAGACGACCGACGTGTTGACGATGTGGCTTATCTTGGGTGAAATGGAGACCTTGTTTAAGATCGCCCGATACGCTCCGGAGACAGTAAAGAGAATGTGGTCCTGGAATGACCATTATGACCAGTGCGGACTAAAGCAGCTGATGGAACGAACGGTGGACTTCTATATTGGAATGAACGTGCTCTACTGCAAGCCAGAATGGTACGCAGAGGGTGAGAATGCGTGGCAGTCGTATTTAGATGGGAATATGATGCAAATATATCAGCCTGAAAGGGAGCTCGGGAAATACCGAACTGGCTGGCTCTTTGGTAAACCTAGCGGGCCCCTGACGACCGCAGAATTGCCTCCCGCCGAATGGGTGCCGATAAAATTTATCCGACGGAAAGACTACCGTTCCACGCCTATTTATAAGTCAATGCTATCAGAGGAAAAGAATTGTCATGCCCTTGGACCTTACTGCCCCTTGGAGCCAGGATATGCTTGGTCTATTCCGCACTGGCAATTCTTTGGCTACGGCGCAATTATCGGCCACGGGGGCTGGCCGTCTGCTACTGAGAGCCCTCCCGCGGATCCTTTGAAAAATGGTGGTGGACAGGGTTTGAGAAACTATCTAAAGATTTGCTGGGAGATCCTCGTGCGACTGGACATTTTTATGGGGGAATTGGACGTGCATATTGACTGGCAGCAAGTAGCATCGGGTTCCATTGCAGATTGGTATCGGTTTGAACCTATTGATCGAGACAAGTGGTGTATAGAAGCGTGGCTTCCGGGCTTAGACGGAGACTTCGACATGACTAAGTGTGGATTCATGGTCGAACGTTTTGTTTAGCCTATATTGTGGTCTGTTTTCAATAATACAGTCAGTGGAATCGAACTTCCCGGTCAACTTATGGCAAATATTGATATAGAGCACTTCCTCTCTCGTCCGCAACATGTAAAAATGTTGGAGATGTTGCAAATAGGTGTCACGCCGAGTGGTGACTAACCAGTCCGCCTATATCCCACCCGTTTATCACATCTAGATTCATCAACAAAATCTAGCTAATACGAACGAAACTCGGATAGTTTACACTAGTAGAAATCTCGTAGTTACGGGTTCTGTTCTTTTGCTTTCTGCTAGGCTTTCTTTTTTTGTCTAGCTAACTCGGGAAAGAGCACGTTTAACGCTGGATGATGATGGTAATATTTTATAACTCATCCTATAGAAAGACAGCCATCTCTTCGATATATAAGCCGGGCTTTTTAGCGAGGTAGTAAAAAAGGACGTCTAGCATTGTAGGAGTGATGCTTAGTGGTCGGCCGGTAGGGACTAGAGGGATCTAGGACTAACGAACAACCGTATGTTCTTACGTATATTGGTGATAGAACGCTCACTACACTTCGCGATCTTGGCCATTTAAGATGTGGTGAGCCTATGTTTGCTGTGTATTATATGGACAATGATCTCACGCTGCTAGGAATCGAGGCTTCGTGCCATTTTGCTGCGGGTAGGGGCGTTGCTGGTGCTTGAGTTGGGACGACGTCAAGGTCGATGTGGTTTATTTTTGGAGCTGTACAAATACGTGTAAACACAGCTTGATTAGATTGTTACTCGTCTTGTATTATACCATTCAACTCCAGAACGATTCTTCAAATACCATACTAACCATATTTGCGCTAGCGTATCATGTGACTAGGGTTTGAAAGAGCCTCTCTATGTTTTCCGACATGGAAGGCAAGAACGGTCGCGACTGTACATGCATCTTCTGCTGCAGAAGCGTCCCATTTCTCCTGCGGAGCCAATATCAGCAGAAGTGGTTTATCTCAGTTCACGGGCATATCGACGTACCTTTTGCTAAAGTATTGCTGTGTTTAACAAGTCATGAAGGTCCACTACTATAGCCTATGCGCTCTGGTCCCCACTGCTTCACCTACCTTGCTATAATATAGAGCGCTACAAGCATAGTGGCTATGATTCAGCTAGAAGTGGTCCGTGCGGAAGTGACCGGGCTCTTCTGACCTAGGTAGTAGTAGCCTACCTAGACAATGCAAAGCAGGCGGAATTATGTCCTATAGGGACTACTGTGCTATAAGTGGGGCCTTAAAGAGATCTGGCGATATGGCTTGATCCACCCCCACCGTAACCCCTTTCTCCAGAGCAACCCACAAAGCAAATAAATGTTCCTCACTTGAGAATGTGCACACAGAGTTTCCAAAGCTATTTTTCAAACATAATTTTCCCTCACCTTCATGATTCATGCGTGGAGGCGCCAACATCTCCGACGGCCCTCGAATTCCTAAAATGTCTCTCCTCCATTTGCCAACTGAACTACTCCTATTATTAGTGACATTCCTAGAGGCAGAAAGAGATATTAACTCATTATCTCAAACCAACAAACAATTCTACAACGTCCTAAATTTCTACTTATATCGAAGGAATTCTCAGAATTCCGAATCTTCGGCGCTGCTATGGGCTGCTCGATATGGAAAAATTGCTACAGCTCAAAAGTCTATCCAGGCAGGGGCAAACATAATGGCGAAAGATGCGCCTCAGCGGACAGCAGCACGCCGGGGCGTATCTCGAGGGACAGCATTATCCCGTGCCGCAGAATTTGGGCATGAGGCGATGGTGAAGCTATTAATTGAAACTGGGCAGGTAGAATTGGAGTCAAGGGACGATTTTAGCTACACACCATTCGCCCACGCCGCAAAAGGTGGGCATGACGCGGTGGTGAAACTGTTACTTGAAACTGGGCAGGTAGATTTGGAGTCAAGGGACGATTTGGGCTGCACACCATTTGCCCACGCCGCAAGCGGTGGGCATGAGGCGGTGGTGAAACTATTACTTGAAACTGGGCAGGTCGATTTGGAGTCAAGGGACAACTTCGATTCCACACCACTATCCGATGCCGCAGGAGGTGGGCACGAGGCGGTGGTGAAACTGCTACTTGACACTGGGGGTGTGGATCTAGAGTCAAAGGACGAGCAAGGTTACACACCATTCATCCACGCCGCAGGAGGTGGGCATGAGGCGGTCGTGAAACTATTACTTAAGACTGGACAGGTGGATGTGAACGCAAGTAGCTACTACGGATTCACGCCATTGACTGAGGCTGCGGGGCATGGACATGAGACGGTGGTGAAGCTCTTACTTGAGACGGGCCAGGTGAATGTGAACAAAAAGAGCTTGAGTGGGACAGCATTATCCCTTGCTGCAGAGTCGGGGCATAAGGCGATAGTGAAGCTGATACTTGAGACTGGGCAGGTGGATTTTGACGAACACGGTGACCAGTTTCCCTGATAGCACTTACCCCCGTTGGCAAAAATCCTGTCAATGTGGACACCTGAATTGATATGCAAAGTTCTTGAAAGAGTTGAGCGAAAGCGATCAGTGCCGCGCTTGTTGAAAATGGAGTGCCTGAATCAAAATGTCCGAGGATCTTTCAAGTTCTTGACCTATCATAGATGCTCTTGATGACCAAGTCGGCTGAAATACGAGGGATCTGCACTCAAAAGCTACCGAGGACCAGGGTTGTCTTAGGCGAGAGAAATAAATATCAAAGACAATCACAGTGCGCCCGACGCGATCATAACATCCATCACAAACGAGAAATCCAAACAGAATCCGGCAATGTCATCCGAAGATGCTCCTTGGGTCCTCGCCCTCGATGGCGTCGAATGCCGCATCTGCGGACATTCGATAAAGCTCCAGTACGCCGCAGAAGACCCCAAAGGACCAGGAGCATGGCGAGGATACGCTCAAGATCTACAGTTAGCATCTCAACAGCCCGTACCGCAGGCCCTCGTGCCAGCCGAGCTATGCACGGCGAAACTCGAACCATGCACGCAGCGTGTTGGAAGATTGTCGAGCGCATCTGGAAATCCGAGTTTACCATGGCTGAATTGGACGGTTTTCTCGATGTTTCATCGGATCTCGCACCTTTCCTGCCTGAAATGCCTTACAAAGTGTCTCCGATCGAGATCGACGCGGGCCTTACATCGGAAATATCGGGACAAACATCTCATCAAAATAGCATTACTATTTCCGCTTCTGAGGGTTTTTTAACCACCTTGGAAACAGAGGGATTAAAAAAGCCGATGCTCCCCGATATGAGGCATTATGCTCTTCCGTCGGACTTGGACCGCCATGTTCGCCGATGGCTCTCAGACTCTGAAGCCGAGGACGTTGAATCCCTGCAAAATCCCACTTTGGGTTACTGGTCATCGGTCGCAAGGATGTTAGAAAACCATCCTCAATTCTCGAACGTACCTCCCGCAGAGGTCGCAGAGGATATTACGCAAACTCTGAAACATCTCTATGACGGAGGGCTCGGTTGTTTTCCTCATCTGGCCAACTACGATTCGGTGCACGCCAACGCGATGACCATCGTTCTAACGCTGCTAAGGCTCCCACTTGAAGATATCCAGGGGGGTGCCGATCTGAAAGGGAAGAGAGCGAGGCTGCAGTTGTCAAGAAGCATAAAGTTGCCACCCGCCCTAGACTCGCCTGCGAAGCTGAAATTGCAGTTATCGACCCTTCGTCGACAGATTTATGTGGAGGAAGCGCCGATCGGAGTAACTTGCGGTTGGGTATGAAATATCTGCGGGACATCTGGTTCGGCCCATCAGATGCAGATCTCGCAGCAGATCCTGACGACGTGATCGTGGAGGTTCCTTCTTTCGCGGGTCTGCGCTTCATCACGGATCACGTAGGGGTCTTCGCCGTGTTGGCCAAGCAGGGCGAAATGTGGCGATTGTGCTGGCAGCAGGAACCGACGTTCAGGTGGCAGGAAGGAATGCCGGGAACTGGAAGCACGACGGTAGTTGAATGGCAGGCAGGGATGGGTCAGCCATCTTTCTTGATTGCATCCGACGTAAGGCCAAGTCTATTCTCTATGATACACACCTTGCTAATCTAGCTTTCTAGACATATCGAGACGTTATGCTGTTGGACCAAAACGGCAGCAAAAAAGAAAATAATTCAAAACGGAAGAAGTTTAAAAAATTGTTTAAACTGTCTAAAGATTAAGGAATCTAGGTCAGGGTTTTTATTAATATTTAATTATAACGCTTGCACCAAGTGGAACTCGCAGCATGGCAAGCAACATTCCGTGGAATCAGTTAGGTAAAAGAGCAACGGCTGACCTACTTGACCCCTGAGAAATGTCTACTCCCATCGTAAATGAGACGACAAACTCCTCGAGCTGCTCGTTGCTCCAGCGAAATTCCTTCTCCTGACAAGGATGTTTCCGCTTTAGTGCGAGACGATACTGCGTCATAAATTGAGCCAGACAAGAACTGCATGACGCAGCAGTTGGTATCACTGGATACGAGACCAGACCTAGATGTCTTTATGTGATAGGGAGCTAGGGTGCTTGCAGCTACCTAACTAGGTCCCTTGGAACCGAGGTTGATTGACTATTCATGGATAATTTACCTCCTACCAAATGAAGTAAGGTCAAATCTGTTTCTTTTGAACCCTTTAGCCCGAACTGAACATTTCGAGCCCGGCTTACTCCGCAGTCTGGGGGACCCTCGGGGCCCCTTTCTCCAAACTCGAAGGTTTTATCAATGATTTATGTATTATTGAGTTCATGATGCTGGCAAACAGGGAATGAACCAAAGGGAAATTAGGACGTCTGTTTTTACCGAAGCTATCTCTGTGTAGTGAGAATGTGATGGCTCGATACGGCGCTGCACCGTGCCGGATGTGGTACGCGATGATTGATCAAGAGTACCGGAATTTAGAAGGGAGTCTCCATAACTCCCTTTAATATATGTCCCTAGTCTCACGCAGTGTTGCAGAATAACTCTTGGCAAGGATCTTGTGTCTGCAGATAGGTTGGGAAAAGCAACCTTCGCGACCAGAAAGGCAATTTTCCGACGGATGAAAGGCCATTCAATGCAATTTGCCTAATATAATGGATCCGCGTAGCTTTCATGGTAGCAGATAGAACGGGTATTCTCTCAAGTATATTTTCCGGTTAACCTATCCTGGGATCTGTTTATGTTAAGGTAATATCTTTGGTTCCCTTAACTTTGAAAGACTTACCGGAGTAGGCTATATAAACACGATCTCCCCCATTATCTGCATTTCTCTCTGGTATCTCAATTTCACCAATTACCGTTTTAACTGCATTTTTGACGAAAGAGCGAGCACCACTATGAAACTTCATATCACTAAGTCTGTCCTGTTATCATCTGGCGCTGTTCTACTTGCCTTAGTGCCAGGTGCCACGGCAGACTGCGCACTACCCTCCACTTACAGTTGGACATCAACCGGTGCACTGGCAAGTCCCAAGTCAGGATGGTCGGCGGTCAAGGACTTCACCAATGTGGTCTACAATAACCAGCATCTTGTGTATGCGTCAACCACAGATACATCAGGGAGCTATGGGTCGATGAATTTCGGTCTTTTTTCGGACTGGTCTAACATGGCATCCGCGAGTCAGAATGCAATGACACACGGAACTGTTGCACCTACACTCTTCTATTTTAAGCCAAAGGACATTTGGATCTTGGCCTACCAATGGGGCTCAACCGCCTTCTCATACCGAACATCAAGTGATCCCACCAACACTAATGGATGGTCATCCGAGAAACCGCTTTTCTCTGGAACTATCTCTGACGCTAATGCCGCATTCCTTGATCAGACAGTCATTGGCGACAGTACGCATATGTATATATTCTTTGCTGGGGACAATGGCAAAATTTACCGAGCTAGCATGCCTATTGGTAATTTCCCAGGCGACTTTGGTACGCAATTCGAGGTGATCCTCACTGACACCACCAACAACTTATTCGAAGCCGTCCAGGTGCACACTCTTAAGGGCCAAAACAAATACTTAATGCTTGTCGAAGCTATTGGATCGGATGGTCGTTATTTCCGCTCATTCACTTCGGACAACCTGGGCGGTTCATGGAAAGTGCAGGCAGGAACCGAGAGCAACCCTTTTGCTGGAAAGGCCAACAGTGGCGCCACTTGGACCAAGATATTAGCCATGGGGATCTGGTGCGCACGAACTCTGACGAAACAATGACTGTTGATCCATGCAACCTGCAGCTCCTCTACCAGGGGCATAATCCCAGCGCCAGCGACGACTACAACACCCTTCCTTGGGTTCCTGGTGTGTTGACATTGAAGAGGTAAAGCATTGGGGGATGTTGATCACCAAGATCGAATCACATACCGGAGGAGATAACGATGATGTCTTCATCACCTATGTAGCCATGGATACGAATATAGCTAGCAGGTTTCTTCCTCGCTCTCATGAATCGTAAATCTTCTTTAGTCCTTGTCTCGGCGAAAAAACGAATATTGTTAAGACCAAAGTAATAAAGCGATAATCTCAAAGGGCTCGGAATAACTAGAGAAACAAACAAGGGAATTACCCCTAGAGCTTTTGACTTAGAATTAATTTAGATCAGGTCATAATGCTCAAATCAAGTCGTTAGTAGAATTTGATGTGAAGTTCACGAGAATGGTCTTCGGGATCAGTGAATAAAGAGACCAAGTACAAGGAGTTAGGCATATCCCTAATAGAAAAGGTCCATCGAGATCAATTGTCTACACCAAAGAAAACTAGAAACAAGCGACCGTGGGCGGACGACGATACTCTCTCTCCCAAGCATAACCACGCAAGTAATACCAAGGAATAACCATCACACCATCAAACGGAACCTGCATCCATCCTACATCTTCCAAGGTGCACCCCTCAATCGCCTCCTGTTCCTCCTCCAAACTCTCCCCCTCCTCGAACGGATAATACTCCTTCCAATCCCCACGAATCAGGCGCACAAACCCTTCCTCATCAGCGAGAATCGAGTCTAGCACATCCTACGTAATCTGAATAAAATATAAGTATCGTTCCGACATTCCCGGGCCGGTGCCTTGTTCCGAGCTGCAGTCGCCGCCCATCGCTTGAAATGGTCCCTAACCACTGCCGTAGCGGCCCCGTCGAAACTCGAATCCTCACCATGGGTTTCAAAAACTTGTCACGTGTTTGACATATCACAAGGATTGTCTAGACGGACTTGTTCGTGCGGTGGAAGTACTGAAGGAAAAGGTTGAGCATTTCGAGCCCGGCTTACTCCGCAGTCTGGGGAACCCCCGGGGGCCCCGCTCTCCAATCCCCCGTTCAAACATGGAGGCTTATCTAAATTTTATGTACTATTGGGTTCATGATGCTGGCAAAGAGGGAATAAGCCATAAGGAATCTAGGACCTCTCCTTTTTGCCCAAGCCATCCCTCTGTGTAGCGAGGATGTGATGGCTCGATACTGCGCTGCATCCAGTGGCTTGGCAGCTAAAGATCTGAAAATGAGGCTGAGTCCGCCAGAACTCGTTAGGCTACCTTCATCTAGATGCCTGATAGTCTTCTGCTGACAGCCGTTTCGCTGTGACCCTAGCTGCCCCCACCTCTTTGCTGTGCGCCCTTCAACGAACAAGCACAAATCGACATATTGCTAAGAACGCGTATTTTCTATCGCTATCTGCGTCCCAACTCAATATTGGACCGCGAACTGGGGTCAGGCGACCTTCACGACGAATATTACTCAACCCTGCATTTATCGAGTCGACGCGTGTCTTCCTCCCGGTCAACGCTAACCAAATGAGCATAGAGGAAATCCAGATCGATCTCAAGCGGGCAACATACTACAACGACACAGCTGAGGCATTCATCCCATATGAGAACGTCCGAGAGATATGGGCCGGGGATCGGCTGGAGCGGTTTCTGAGGACTCATGGCCCAAATCTGCGTGCCTCAGAGATAGATACAGCGCGAGATGGCTTGCTGCGTACGATATCTATCCTCGCGGGCATTGCTCCCCAAGACTGGTCAGGATGGTCGAGGTTCAGAACAATCTTCTTCCCGCCAAACCATGCTCTTGCTGAGCGTCGCCGTGACAAAAATACCATCACGTTCACTAAGGAGGAACTTGCGCTCGACTCGTTTCTTGGGGATACCAACCTGGCCCGCCTTTTCACGACTGACATGTGGATTTACTTTCCAATTGTTTTGAACGGGAATAGGCAAGACCCTTACGAGAACGACTTGCGGTTACCACTGTTTCAGGTAGACCCAGTGGTCAGAGAGGGCGGATACGGAAAAGTAACCAAGGAGATGATACCCCCGAAGCAAATCATTTTGAGCCATTTGAGCGACCACCTCGGTATACCAGAGACGCCTCACCCGGTAAGCTGGATAGTACATGACACGAACCGGCACGCTGCTTACAGGTTCCCTTTTCATGCAGGTCAAACTCATAGTCGCCCGAAAGCGCTTCCCCAAGGCAAATTATGGCGTTGAAGTTAGGCAATTAAACCGTCTCCGATCAAGCCTGTCTAGTCACAAGCGAATCGTTTCCGATATTGCAATATTTTCCATTAGGAATGAGTTGAACATCATTATGCCGTGGGCGGACATGGACCTGGAAGATTTCTTGGTCGGCGGTTACAAAGAGATGCAATCCACCCCATGTCTCCTGAATAATCTAATCCAGGAATCCAGAGAAATTGCATCTGCCATTCATTTCCTACACAAACATCTCCAACTAGAAAGTGAATGGCCCGAGTTTCACCATCAAGCAATCTGCCATGCGGATCTCAAGCCTCGAAATATTTTGGTCTTCAAACAAGACGGCTCTTCTACGGGGATTTGGAGAATTACGGATTTCGGCGTCTCACGAGTAGCACATCGTGATCTATCGGGGGCTAGGAGGCACGACTCGGGATATCCCACCACTGCGGATGCACCTTCTCCCAAGGGGGGCGCATATCAGGCACCAGACCGACATGCTCAACGAAGAAGCGACATCTGGTCATTCGGATGCATATTAGTGCGTGTTTTTGCATTGGGACTTGATCCTGCGAGTCTGCCAAGGCTTGACGAGATGCGAAAAGAACCACTCGTCGGACGGGTTTACGACGATTGTTTCCATCGAGGGACTCCTCCCGTACTCAACCCGAGTATCGAAGCCTGGATTCAGAGTTTGTCCACCCGATACCGCGCGTCTCACAACCCTGCATTTTTGAAAGAAATGCAGAAGGTCCTTTTTTCAATGCTTCAGATAGATTACCACAAGCGATCATCGGCACGTGAACTTCGGAGTGGGTTGCACAGGCTTCATTCCCTTCCCATATATTCAAGTCCCAATAGCCCATTTTCTATTGAGATCACTTCACCAAGCTCCTCGAGCACCCCAAGCAGTCGTTCAAGCATCTCCGGAGACCATGGCCAACAGACCCAACAGGAAAGTCCTACAAGCAGCACTGCGACCGACAAATTAAACCCTATCACTAGCACTGTAGCTCAAATACCGCACCCAACAAGGCTGGTACGAGGAGTGGGTGTTCTTGTCAGTGTCATCAAGTCTGGGGACATCAGTCAAGTGCGTGAAATTCTGGTAGATCAGATTGATGTGGAACAGTGCCATCAAGGTGAACGGCCTTTAATCCATGCTATTGAAATGGGCAATGCTGCTGTGGTCGATAAGCTCTCCATTTATCAGCGAGAGCGTCATCACCAAAATTTGGACGTGCGAACTCCCTCGTCTAAAGGACAAACGCCACTCTATCTTGCGGTTTGCAAGGGCGACATCGATATTGTGCGAGCTGTTATTGATGCAGATACCAATACTGGTACCGACGCTAGCTCCAGTACTCTGGTGGACGAACTATTCAACAACGGGAGGACTCCGCTGATGGAAGCTGCCTTCCTTGGCCACGCCGGTGTGGTCACATTGCTTTTAGACCGCGGTGCAAGCCACAGAATCTGCACAGAACAAGAGAAGCTAAACTGCCTACATTTTGCGGTGAAACAAGATAATCGCGCGCAGGAAGACGTCATCATTGCCTTCAAGCGCAGAATGACCTTTGATCAGTTTCCGCCCGATACTCCACTCGACGCCCCATATGAGACTCCTATCATGCTGCATATCAGGCGTGCGCTGGAAGGTCAATATGGGTTTCTGCAAATAGACTCTTTGTGGCAAAGAAAGTTCAAGGCGCTCTTGGACGGAGGAGCGGATGTGAATAGGAAGTATTCCCCAGGAACCTCTTTGGAGATGAGTTCTTTGCAAATTGCTGTGATGCAAACGAATGTCCTGATGGCTCGGCTGCTTGTTGATGGGGGTGCCACTCTTCCAGTGAGCTACATCGTACCGCCCAGATGCTCCCATGATATGAAAAAGGTTCTTAAGCGCGCACCGAGAGTACCGGTAGCATCCAGACCCTAGGTTTTAGGAGGTGCAACTTTCCATTTTCCGTTTTTCGTTTGATCTTGGTTTTTTTACTTCCGGTTCTATTGCTCTTTCATTCGATTTTGAAGGATTCAACTGTAAATTAACTTAATATTGACAAAGACAACACCATATCATATCCACATATTCTTATTCTATATCTCGAAGGACCGTTTCCCTATCTCCCTGGCGTGACGATTTTCGATAGAGGGGTCTGAAGAACGGAGCGTGGTTCAAAATGTGTTCTTTTGTTGCCCGGCAAACTAGAATGTTATCAGCATATATCACAGCAAAGCAAGGTCTTCCCAGTTGAAAACAAATAGAGCCTTACATATCGAGTTCATTTCCTCTAGTTTCGCGTAATTGGTTTCGGGGACCTGAAATATCAGCAAGAAGCGCAGCATAAAGAAGCAGATGAGACCAACCAAGAGGAAAATCAATATTAGTGACAGTAGGTTCATGGCTCTATACGAGAGTCAGTATTTCATGAGACGAGTCACGGGAGAAGGTATCTCACGAGAAGAAGAACAGAAGATTTGCCTTTCCATTAAACGCCATGGTCAACTGAGGCACAAAAAGTACTAAAAGCCCAAGGCCAAGGAAATTAATCATGACACTAAAGCTCATTCCCACCTCTGGAATATATTAGTCCGCGCTGATAATAAACGGGAAAGCAATCAACCTACCGCGCACGCATAGAGGGAAAACCTCTGCACTCAGGGTAAAAGGGATGGGCCCAGCACCAATCGAGTAGAAAAAGACAAAGAATATGATGCTGAATGTTGCTATCAGGTTTACCCGAGTATCATGATCCGCGATTTTGAAGAAGCCGCTGATTGTAACCAGACTCAAGAACATCCCAACAAATGATGTAAGGAGCAATGGTCGGCGCCCACGAGAGTCAATAAGCTTGTACGCTGGCAAAGTGAAAAGAACATTGGCCAGACCAAAACCTTTATGAAAATTAGTTGGAGCCTAGTTAGGATGCTCTCTGATAATAACCTACCAAAATTGTACCATTTAACGGCCGTAGAGGAATTAAACAAGGCGTCGTCGTTGAGAAGCTGGGATGAATAGAATGCTAAAATATTGATCTGTTTGTTTTTTTGGGATCAAGCGTCAGTCAAGTGGACCTGTAGAACGTTAGAGACAGGCGCACGTGGAAAGCTTACACCACATAGTTGTTGCGACGCCATCACAATCAAAGCCACCACGCACGCTCTTCTAGTTCGCGGCTTCGTGGCGAGATACATCATCCGCTTGAAGAAATTTCCTCTTTTCATCCATTTCTGGTAGACGTAACTTTCTTCTCGGTCCGACCACCATGACTGTCCTTCGTGAGGATTCCATACTGTAACGGCCTCCGCCTGAAGCTGAGCATGGATATAGTACAGGTCTCGGGTAGCCTGGATGGGTGTTCCTCGGAGCTCGAGGAGGCTTTTATATGCATCGGCATATCGATTCCTCTGTATCAGAAAACGCGGCGACTCGGGACATATAAATACCAGAAATAGAAGCACGACAGCAGGAATGATTGCGGTCGCGAGCAGCACTCTCCAACTATCCATTACAATAAATGCGCACAAGAAACCAAGAAATATTCCACTCGAAGAAAGTTAGGTGACGACCTGGAAGGAGAGTTCGAACGTACCATGCATCAAAGAGTTGCCACAACATCAAGACTTGACCTCGATGTTTATCAGGTGCTGCTTCAGCAGCAAATATGGGGGCTATTGAAGCTTTTGATCCGATCTATTCAGACGGTAGCATGTCAGATAGTTGGAACTAGAGATGGGATGGAACAGACAATAAACTAGAGAAAATCAACATACCCCAACACCAAGGAGTATTCTGCAGACGTGTAGTGACTCCCATGAATTGCAACGAGCCGTTCCTATGTTACATACCCGAATCAGACCCCAGAAAGGAAGATTTTAAAACAATTAATACCTATCACAAGAGCGACGCAGAAAACAGCTGCAATGAAGAGCGCAGGACGTCTTCCGAATTTTTCTTGGAGCGGATCACTCAACCATGTTCCTCTGTAGCGTTATTTAGAATCGGGTATGCAGTAAGATGTTCAGGTTTTGCTCGTTTCATTTGGACTTGAGAGGCACATACATAAGACTTCCCGAAAGCCAAGGGGCTGCGTTTATGAATCCAATCAAAAGCGGATCATGATCAAGATCGAGGCCGAGATCATCCTGCCAGTTCAAAAGAACGCTTCCATTGATTGTTGATTGCTGCCATCCCCTATCGCAAGGGTCAAAGAATTTCACCAGATTGACTGACATGATGGACATACTGTGTGATTGCCGCACAAGCTGTGGCCATGATAGTAACTAGGAGACCCCTAGTTGACAAGAACGACAGCGAATTCTCCGAGTTCTCCTCATTTATGGTTTGTAACTCCGCAGGGGTGAGCTCGAGCGTGTGATGGCCCCATGGTTGTTTTGCTATCTTCGCGCCCTTGATGAGGGTTTGCAGATCGACAACACTTTCGAGCTTAAGACGGACGTGGAATAGCTCTACCTCGGCCTCTAATTGAGGATATTCCTGATGAACTAGTGGGTTGTCTATTCTGATTGGTCAAATCCATTAGAAGCTGTTTCAATCAACCGGCTTTTGGGTTTCATGTGTTACATTGTTGGGTGACTCGAAGGGAGCGCGTCTGTACTCATCTTGTAGCTTTACAAAAAGCCAATTTTGCAGTGATCCAGAGATCCGGGTCTACAACAGAATAATTTGGGGAAAGAAAGGGTCAGGTCTTCGTGAGACGAGTAAAAGCATTTTCTGTGCCAATGTTTGTTTGAGGGGTCTGTAAGAGCCTCAATTACCCCATGTTCGCCTGGATATTGTGGTGTTAATTCTAACGCTAACACGCACAGAGCACGGGGTGAATTGGAGAGTTAACCTCGTATCATGTTTCAGAGAAGCGAGCCAACCACTGCGACAGTCACCCGCACCTCTTGTCGCAAACTGCGCTAAGCTTGCGCTAGGAAGGAAGATAGAGGCTGAATCATAGAGAGCTGATAATCAAATCCGCAACGGCAAGGCTCGCATATAGCCTTGGTAGTAGTGCGCCCATGCCAAACTTTCCGGGGTATATACCTCTATGGGCATTCCCGGGGCTGCGAAATACCGTTTGCGCGCCTTGTCATGCTAGATGTTAGGAACCATCCCGACCTGAAAACCGTATGAGGATACGCCATCGAAAACCAGGTAATTGTTTTTGTTTACCCCTCACGAGCTGTGCCCGGGTGAAATTATGAGAATAGTATTTACTTTTAATTATGATTATTATTATCCAGAATTCCTAGCGATGCCGACCAGTGCATAACTAGCATCGGTTACGACCGGAGCCTATCAAAGTGCGCCGCGTCATATTGGGAAGCAAACATGCATCAGCAGCACGCGATGTCAGAGCACACGCATGAGGATGTCCGGGAAAGATTAATAATTGGCTGGCCCATCTTCAGCATCACAGCCATAGCGACCTTTGTTGAAATAAATCATGGGTGCTAGGCGCCTGATGACATATACCCTGCGAAATGAAACGATACGTAAATCCTTGGCGTCTTCTCCAGGGAATATACGAAGGGGATGAGACCCCAGATTTAGTGCTGATGTGGAGGCCATCGCCCTTCTTATTCATTCCATAAAATCTCATTCTCCTTGGGTCCTAACGAGCCCACCGTATGCTGAATTGCATGGCCCTTGTTTGCCACAGCGTTGTCTTAAATGTCCTCAAGCCGTGTCCGAACCGGATCAGAATCCACTGTTTCGACCACACTCAGAGAAGGAATAAGCGGGTATATTAGCCGGCAAAAGCTCGAGAGTAGACTTCACGAATTATTCGGACGCGATATCGAAGTTGTGGTGAGCACAATGATGCAGTCCCCATGGAACCTCAGTGCGAAGACTAAATCAGCTATCTCATAGTACTTTTGTGGCCGGATTAGTTTCCAAGCACCGCGGGAGGTGGAAGAGGTAAGCCACCCGTGGCCTGAATGTGATATTGATTATGCCCTTTCACTATGCTTTTTCTAACATCCATTTATCTTAGTAGCATGAGGTAGCGTAAGAGAATCTGTGTCACAATTCCGTTGATCGAGATGGTTGCTTATATTTGACTAAAACAGCGACCTCTGCGAAGATGAACGGGTCAACTGGAGTTGAAATAGCAGATATTTACCAGGTTTCCTGAATACTTGGTCAGAAATCTAGCTCGTTTGCTTTTGATGAACATGTGTCAATCTGCCTTGCGGCCTAGCGGTCATCGTAAATGGGGCACCTCCAGGTGGGATCTCGGGGGCTGCGCCCCGCCTCAGCCCTGCATTTTCTATACCAAGCCGTGTTATCTGGGGCCAATAAGTGTATAGTTTGTGCAAATTAGATAACAGCACACACTACCTAGCCTCCCTAGAGCGACCAACGCCAGCCGCGTGTGACAGAATCGTAAGACCCCTGCATGGCCACTTGGTGAGATTCTCGAGCCTGATGCTACCACATCGCAAATCAACCCCCAGGAATCAAAACAATGCAACCCATCCTAGCCTTTAGAGGCCTGGGAGTGAACCGCCCTAAGTGTTGCCCGACGTAGAAAGGCGGGACAGACCCTAGGATCACCGATAATCCCTTTGGTTGAACCAGCCCAAGGCGTTTTCAATCTAAGCCTGGCTTTAGTTTTTAATATTTAGGTACTTTCAATTCTCTGTTATGCCAATAATTCTATTAACCTTTGCATCATATCTTTTTTGACTCGAAGGGAAAGTTCGCTACAGAAGTCACAGTTACGATGGTCCACAATTCGGCCTATCCCACATTTTGTCTCACTGGCGATCCAGCGAGCATCTCTATTTACGAGAGCGATGGTCGGTCTGGCTCTATTGAGACACTGAATGTGTGCTGACCTTTGTAACTTACAGTTACCGTACAAGATAAACTCATTCCTACTGTTTTCGCAGAGAACAGCCTGTTCCAAAACATATTACAACCACACCACTGCCTAAATTACGAATCATGTAGGATTTTTGTCGTAATTTAGTGTTCCCTAGAGCTTGGCTCAATGTAACTTCCGTCGAACCTAGCTCTATACACTCCAAGTCATCAATCAAGCCGCTCCAAATCTCAAAGGAAGCTCTTCAGGCACTCAAGGACGCATATAGAATTGGCGATGAACTATGGGACTTGACTTCGACATTTGGAGACAAACCCATGAGTGCAGCTGTAGGTGAAGGAGCAATTAAAATTCAGGATGGTGAAAATGGTACTCAAGGTAAGGGTATTTAACATCCCAGGTCTGACACACGTACCAGAAGATATCAACAATAATTTAGATATCTCTTACAGACTCACATTTCCAACACCTGTGGGAATTCGCGATTGGACTTTACGACAAATGGCTGTCTTCCACCATCATGATCCTAATGATCTCCAAAATCTCTGGATCTTCTTTCATGTCGGACAAAATACACCCATGCAGAAGGAACTTGAACAATATGCCTCAATGTCTCCGCAGGGGCTACGTTTGGATCATCCGTGGTTTATACTTCATTCTTCTGCTTTCTCTTCATGCCTGGATAATTGGCGCACTTATGTTAACTGTCTAGGTCATGACGTGGATAGACATGTGAGTATCTGCAATCGTCACTTGTCGGATCCTCTGACATTTATTTTAGACTGATAAATCCCTGGACTTCATCTTGAGAAACATCGATCACTTTTTGACCGCTGGAGGAGACAGCAACTTGACGGCGATTCACAATACGCGTGACCTTCTCCTGCCTACGTCATACAGATTGAGCGTAATATTGGACACTCTCACGAAACTATGTCATTTGAGCAGTGCTCTAGGCTCACGGCATAAAGGCACACACAATGGGTTTCAAAAACTTGTCAAGTGTTTGACATATCATAAAGATCGTTTAGACGGACTTGTTGTTGGGGTGGAAGTATTGAAGGAAAAGGTTAAGGATATCTTAAACATGGTAAGAAGCAATCGCCAGAAAATAGCCACTACCGCCCCTCGCTAATGGCATGTAGACGACATTAGGGTTGGATTTCAGGATGACTAGGCAGATGCTTGACCTCAACAACAGAATGGTTGACTTGAACAACCGCATGCTTAGTGCCAATGAACAACTGCTCCAACTTGGAAACAAAAACTTCGACGAAAATGCAACCGTCAAGGTAGTCACCATCTTGACGCTTATTTATCTACCCGTGAACCTTGTGTCGGTAAGAAGTGAACAGAAGCCCCAAAAGTCACGTCCAGACGCCTAACACCAACATCGGCTTTCAAAAACGAAATCTGTTCTGACCGCTTACTAGTCTATTTTCGGGATGAATTTGATCAAGTTTGACGACGGTACAACCGAGGAACTCAGAATATCGAAGCAATTCTGGATCTTTGTTGTTGCTACAATCATCTTGGCAATCATTACGATCAGCATGTGGTATTTATGGACTCGGAAAGAACAGATTACGAGGCGCAAGTCCCGCCTTCTGGGGCTCGAGACACCGCAGGATGCTGAGGAAGATGCCAAGTGAGGATTGACGAGTTGCGTACGTTTAATAACCGCATGTATATCCCGCTATTTCCTAGTCTTTGTAAGGAAATATAACACACGTACTAAGAAGGTACTTGGGAGGACATTATGGGCTAAAACGCACGCTAGACAAGGCGGGAACACGATTCATTTTGTACGGCCTTAGTAAATTACTATTCTATCAATAATTTAGTAGGGTTTACTATCAGTGCTCTCGTTCAGAAGTGTGGTCACTATCTCACGACCAAACACTTAGACATAGATTAAATTAAACTTATAGAGTAAAACGGGAAGGACCTCGGCAAAACCTAGGGCGACATCGTACCGAACCATGGTAAGATTTTCCGTAGTAGTAACTTGTAACCAATTTAGCCCTGGAGACCTCTGATTGTTCACAGCCCCTAGCTAGTTAACCAAGCAACAAGTCTACATTCGGGTATCAGTGTGTTGTTCCACGACAGCTTCTGCCCGGCAGAAGTTAGACCAGTGGTGTAGAAAAAAGTGATTATTTTGGGTGTCCAAGGAGAGTTTTTGACGGCGGCGTCGCTGCTAGCCAAAAGGTCATTCATTCGACTTGCCTCGCTCCCTAGGATCGACGACATTGAAACCAAACCTACCGTGTTTTCTCCCAGCAGAGACCTATATGGCACCTAGTACTACTTACATTGTCACATTCTAGAAGGATCATCACTTGTCAAAGAAATACGGCGACCATGTGACATGGTGGGATCTGCCGTTGTACTCCTTGTGTTTTTGTCAGTTTTTATTACTGTAGGTCTATATTAGTCCTTTACATTTCACGTCAATTGCGTGCATATAGACAGCGCAAAAACATCAACGTCGATCACAACCCCCTCTCCCCAACCTCACAAACTGCAACACCAAGGGCCCACTCAGATCTCAAGACCTCTGCTGCAGTAATCCTCGACCCTGAGTCGGGATGTAACATCGCATAAACCACATTTCGGCAGCGCTTTTGCATTCCGAAACATTAGATATTTTTCTCATCCTGAACTTCACTAGAAACAGACGATAGAAGTAACTTACATTTTCAAGTACCTGTATAGGACTATAGCCATCTTCCTCCAGCCGACAGGAGAGATAATCAGCAAAGGACTTTTCAGGATTGACTCTATGAGCGCTGTGCCAGAGGAGTTGGCCGGACCGTAGGACCATGTATATTATGCCGCATGCCCATATATCTCCCGCTCTGATATCAAAGACGTCTTGATGTGTATAGCTTTGACGCCGAGAGCCACGGCGACTGGGGAACCTCTCGGGGGGAAGATAAGGGACACTTAAATCCGAGGCTCTTCTCCGAATGCACAGCTTCGGCTTATAGTTAGAAGCCGGAGCTGAGTTAGAGCTGGGTACCGAAGCAGATGAAGTGAGGTTACTGCCATGTGATAGTTGGGCTAGTTCTCGAATTGAATCTTCATCTTCACCAAAACCACCTACCTTTATTGCACCCTGAGCCGTGAGCAGTATATGTTCTGGCCTTATGTCGCCATGGGCAATGTCACGTTCATGTAGAAATGCCACTGCCCGCAGGATTTGAATAGCAAAACAGTTTACCTCTTCGGTGGACAGATTTTCCCTTGGTCTGCCTCTCTGGGAAAGAAAATAGCGCAGGCTGCCGCCAGCACAGTAGGGCATAACAAGGCAGAGGTCCTTTTGCTTATTATAGAGAATGTCGATGATGGGCACAATATTAGGGTGGCACAGTGATTCGGTTTGACTTCCATGTTGAATGGGACTGTCGAGCGGAAATGAGGTGTTTTGGGCGTGACGAAACACTTTGACTGCATAGAGTTCCCTAATTGTACTCGATGTAGAAGCTCGCCTCAGTCTCGCCAGCATATTGCTTTGCGAAGGCTTTGCTGGTGATGTGGTTGGATCAAAACCCGGTACCTTCTTTTCGTATAATTGAACAGTACTGGAGTCGTCGTACTGGAGGACTCTGTTGAATTTTCCATAATCCTCTGCGAACGATGTCTGCGATGCTTCCTCTGCTTTGTCGTTTGTCCCTGTAGTTCGTTGGATCTGATCCGACTCCAAGGAAGTCCCTTGTGGGTCTAGAGAACCTTGACCTGACAAGGATTTTCTCGAATGAGAACGACCCTCAGATTCAGGTGTCAACCATCCCCACCCAGATAAGACGTTGGTTAATCCATCGAGGATGTGAGGCCTTTCGAAATCTCTCGTCTCTGTGCCATCCTCCCTTCTCACGTGGTGATGATGAGATGACAAGGGATGTGCAGGTACTTGGACATGCTCGAAGGGGTGGTGGGGATGGGTATCTTGAGTACTCTCCTTTTGCATTCTCTATTTCTGCGTGCAGTAAATAATGGCTACCCGTTGATTCTGTTTCCACGCCGTGGAAACTATGAAGTCTCCTAGTAGACAAGATTTGATAAAACTAATACATTTAGAAGGGCCATAGTGAGAAGAGCTCCAGGAAGCCCTCGCGAGCTGCTAGCCCCTACGTGATAAATGACGTAGTTATGAATCATCTTACTTTTCTTTTTTAACTTTGGTCCATGGTTAGTCATGGCTTCTTGTACTCCCGAAGGACATATCCATCCCACCAAATCAACTTTTTTCTTGATCTCTCTTTTCTTTTCTATTCATTTTATCGTTTTGAAACGTTGATAAATAATCTATAGCTAGATAAATATCAGGAAGTAAGAATAACTGATAGCGAATGACTGCTAGCTGAAGGTCTCAGGGGAATCTCAATACTTCGATAGAGTAAATTTTCCTCCTTGGTCACAGCGCAGCCTAATGGATGGAAAGTTCCAAGGTTCCCTAGTCGCCGAGAGCACCTCCTGGAAGGAATACCTGTATCGAAACATTCCTTTTGTGATATAGCCGTAGGTACGAGCAAATAGAAGGGCATTCCACTCTACCTCAAAGTTCAATCCACCATATACTGCGTCTTGCTTTGCGGTACCATAGATACAGCAACAAAAGTGCTATAGAGTCCCTTTACCGGAACAATCTTTCGAAAACGCCATTGATACTGCGCGTGAAGATCTTAGTTTGACCTGTTGTGACCTCCCGGATAAGGAGGTCACAACAGGTCAAACACAAAAAAGGTACGAGATCGTAAAGGGCAGAGGCCATATGAACTTCTTGAAGGATGTGAGCTTTGATGAACTCTTGGGCTGCCAGCTAGCGTTTCTGAAGGACGTCATGAATTTCTGAGCCACGTTAGGCCCGTTTGGAAACAAATTATGGAAGTTTGCATAGAAAGAAAATCCACTGACTTGGATATATGAAATGTTTAAATCAGTAAGAAAACAGAAATGGATAAAGTAGATGAGATCGTGCTTGAGGATATGGTGCGGTGTTTCCTGAGGTACGCTGTAGAAATTGTGCACAGTTAGCAACTTCAACACAGGTCACATATTGGTGGGTATGTAGGAACGCTGCCATCAGTAGTCAATTCTGCTCTAATTAGATTCTAATGCACAGAAGGCGCTCTAAACACGTAGGTAGATACGATTGTCCCGAGTCTCTCAAGTGGCTGAGAAATAGCGCTTGGTCTAAGCAGTACGAAGCTGGGTATGATGTCTAACGTTCTTTCTCTCTATTTGGTAGCACCTGTAGATGAAGTCAGTTTTATGTCCGTTTCAAGCGGAGCAAACGAAGAAGAATAAGAAGCGCACTTACCAAGAAGCTTCTTGATATCGCCGTAGATAGCGAACTGGCCCGCGGTGAGGCCACCAACCATGAACAGACGGGTCGGGAGACCAGTGAAAGATCCACGCAGACCAAGCTCCTTACCAATTTTGACCAGCCGAGAGACAGTGCTCTCACCGGGCAGACCCTTGGTCTTGTTGATCTTGGACAGCATGGTATCAGCGGGCTGGGACACGATGGCCGCAGCAAAACCACCAATCAGACCAGATCCCAAGTTCACAGCAGTTGAGGCACCAGCAGACATCTGGGACTTATCAAAGTGGCTCAGGATAGCCTCGGAAACCTTTTCAAAGGCAACGAATTTGGTGATGGTGTAAGGAATCCTATTCGTGGATTAGTTTTCGTCCTTTCCAATCACGTTGCTTTTATACAACTATATATAGTCTATAATTGGATGAACATACTGCTTGAAGAGGATAGGGCCAAAGCCAGAATAGAAGGCGCCAATACCCTCATTCTTCAGAATTTTTCCAAGGCCACCAATCAGGCCATTAGCAAAGCCAGGTGTTGAGACGAGGCGGATACGGGTTGCCTCCAGGGGACACAGGGCAATTGAGGCGAAGAACTCAGCCGAACCAGCAGAGATCATATATACAGCGGTGCGGTTGTTTTTGGCCGCCTCTGCGCCAAGGCTATCAGAAATCTTCTTCTGGAAGAATTCGTATCCTCCGAATTTGAAGGCGCCTTGCATGAAATAGCCCGCAAAGGTCGGGCCGAAGCCCGTCGCGAGAGCGCTGATGCCCTCGTTTTGGATGACCTGACGGAAGCTACCGATCATGCCACGGTTGTAGGTTGCAGGGTCAAGCTGGATCCTAGTCTTGACACTGTGTGGGAAGTTTTTATGTTTTAGTTGATACCGGTGGTGAAGCTGAGCTGACGCGAGAGTCAATTGAGGACACGTACACGTCGACCGGCGTAAAGGCGCCGTGCGTTATAGAGCAGCCCAATGCGCCGGCAAGAGCGAAGCGAGCATAGAGGTCAATGCCCTCTGGTTTGCTCCTAGTGAGCTGCGGGAGGGCAGTAGGGGCGGCCATTGCGATGGTCTTGATAATGAATTTGCGACGCGATCAAGACAAAGGCAATTGGGAAACCTCGGGTATGGAAATTTGGGATAGGTGGATCGGGCGGAAGAGTTTCGGGAGCCCCGTTATATATGGAGCGAAAACGGTGGGTCACATGGTCTGTATATTGATTGTTTTGTGATGTGTGTTGTTATTGGTCATGTACACAAGAGACCTACATTTCTCCTCGGATTTAACGTTTAACTCCATTATCTCCTAATATCTTAGTCGTGTTTTCGCGCTAGTAATGAGCCGGTCATTATTTACTCGCATTACCAAAAATACGCTGCGTGTTGGTTGAAATACATACTTTCTGGTCGAGACGGGGCTCCTAAGGTAATAGGAAATGCACAGATCTACGCTTGATGTCGAGAAGGTCTCTTGCCTAGCCAATCTTTTCACTCCTCCCCTTTACCATTTTTGAACACCAAGTACGTTGATGTTCGATGACAATTCACTGTTTCCTTATGTTGACCAAGATCTGTTGAACCTCGTAAACGGTGAATTGATTACATCTCTGTACTACTTAAGTCGATTTCATTACGGCCATATCAGTCTATTTTTGCTGCGTTTAGAAACGGCAATACACTTAACACTTAATCAAAAGTCCTGATGTTTGTGCACCTCCCTTTCAAACGCCAACCTTCGTTATTTCACCAGTCCCCATAATTTTTCCCTCACATTCAGCGTACTGTAAGTTGAATCTCTGCGTTGATGGCGAACTGAACTTATCTCTACAGTAAACCGTTTTCATCAATTGTATTTATGGCCACATCGGTTTATTTTTCGGTTGCGATCGGGCATAGCAATGCACTTGACCAAAATCCAGCTATTGTACAGACTTTCAATTTTCTACTATGCGCATTCTACTATTGACATGTTTACCCGGGAAGATCGGCCCTTTGTTCACATGTCAAAATAGCCCTAGGTCCTGGCACGTTCAAGACCAACAGCCACACCACACAGTCACTTACCAGCCGCATTTGTGTTCTTCATTCACCATCTCCTTATGTTACAATTAATCACCCTCAAATGGCCACGTTTGATCTGTCGATGTGTGTCGAAAAAATGATGATAAACGTAAACACTCATAAAGAGCATAGTGAAGTTATCAACGCTGCCTACCTAAAGAACGGCCACCGTATTCTGCTTTTTTGCCTAAAGAAATAACCACTATCGCTATATAGCCCCTGCGTCACCCTTTGGTGCCCCGCTGCTTCCACTATTTAGGAATGGCAATCCATTTCCCGAAATATCCATTTAGGGCTGTTTGCTACCGACTCTCTTTGGAGTCTCGTTGCCTTCACCGTTTAGGCGCAACAGTCTACTGTAGCCTCGTCTAAATGCTTCTTTGTTCTCGGTTCAAGTTGAGGTGTCAAAATATGAATTACTATCCCTCGGAATTGAGTAATCGTAGTACTTCCTTGCAACACGGTTTGTGTCGCAGAGAGCGATTTGTGGAAGTGTCGTGTCGCAATCCTATTATATGTATATGATTTCACTTGAGGCTCTCTTTTTGCCTGTTCAACACGAGGGAATCATCTTTTGAGTATAGCTATTGTGCACTCCAGAAGGAGACGCAGCACGAGGTAGCCAAAGAGATTTGCTCCGCTCTCGCTCGTCCCTTCGGTCACGTCAGTCTGGTAGCCAGACTTGCTAATTTGTCGTAGCACACTCTAGACAAGATAGATAGGCACTAACGGCATCCTAGAAGATCTTCAATACAGGGTGCTGAGACGGGTCTTCAACGGCATGGAGTTCAAGTCATCATCTTATTGAGGGTACAATCCATCTTTAAGTTTAATCCAACCGTCTTTATTCTCATAAACGAGACAACATTCGAGCCTGAGTATAATGAGGGCTGTTAGCGTCTGTAGAAGTTTCATACGACCTCATGTTCCAGCTGTCATGGTCTCGAGTACTATCTGCTTTACCGCAAACTGATGGTAACAAGGACTATGGGACATATGAATGTTGCGTTGGCTATAAATACGATTAACTTAGCCCGTCCCTCCGATTAACTAACATGGTCTGTATCCATAGGTTGTTCATTCCTATCGTGACTGATGATTCTGAAAGGTAACACCATTTCTGCTTCTCTAGGTCCCCAGCGGAATGTCGTTAAAAAGCGGTCAAGACCGACTTTGACGCAGTAACAGTCCAAGCAAATTATCCCGCACCTCGCTCTGGCGAAGATCGAACTGCATCCTTCTCCGCTATTATGACACCAAAATCATCACCGATTCCCGAAGTCTGCGTGTTCCCTTGGCCGTGTAGGCTCAACATAATTGCTCTGATGCTGATCGTGAAATAGGAGTTGCTTTGTGTTATTGCGGCGTGGTCCCTTTCGTCACCTAAATTGACACTATCAACGTAGTATTTCCTCTGGTGACGAATAGTTTCAAAGTTACTATGCAAGGCATGTTTGGGCAACTAGCTAAGGTCGCAACCCTCACTAACAACTGCTTATAAGCACCTTGCTGCTCTTCTCATAGTCTCGGACCAAACGAACCCGTTGTTTCTCTCACTGGTCGGTGACTCGCCAATTGTGCGACACCCCACAGGGGTTTGTTGATCATGGAATATACCGTGTGCGACCTCGCTACTGAGCGCACAGAATATCCTAGACATCGGAACCGGCATGGGCAATTCAGGCGATGTAAGTGGGTACCAAATTCCCCCTGTAATCCAAATAATCTCTCTGACCAGACTCAGGGATATTGCCGACATATTTCCGAGCGGCAAGGAATCTTCCTTGTTTCGTAATCTTACCGCTGATACCGCATAGCCAGCGCTCGAGAAGTCGACCTTTTCTACTCCTACCGCCTGGGTACCGCCAAACTGTAATGATGTGCTGCAGGAATGGGCATAAAAAGTAATTTGATCTATATGCGCTATATGACTGGTTTTCTAGTCCTCCGGAGTGGAGTGGGAGACCAAGGGCGAGCTCCCTGAGCCGGACCTGTGGACTCCCGCGGCAGCCCTGGCCGCGCATGCTTGCCACGATGCCGTAAGTCGGTCTGGCGCCGGTTTTCGTGAGCTGCTGCAGCGTGCTGGCTTGGAGTTGACGGAAATTAGGGTGTTCACCAAGTTTGACCAGGCGGTGATCATGGCCAAGAAGCCCACGATGGCCTGGCTGTAGATCGCTCTCGAGATCCAACCATGGCTACCTCCTGGGTGCTCTTGATCCGCGTGGTTTCAGTCTGTCAAACAATAACAGTACAATACTTCGAATTTGATAGCCCCCTTCAGAGGATTCTATATTTTTGTCGGCAGACACCGTAGGGTCGCTGCAGCTTGTACATACGGTGTGTGAAGAGATCATGCGTAAAGGCTTCGGACGAAGCACGAGAAAATCATATTCGTGACCAACCGGCTCATTATTAGTGCGAAAACACGACTGAAACACCGGGAGATAACGGAGTTAAAAGTTGAATCCGAGGAGAAATGTAGGATGTGACAAGATACTTTGTGATGAGATCTTGACACTTTGCGTTCAATTGATAGGACGTGGATTTGTCAGACGTGAGATAGTACGCTTTTCCTCTAACCACAATGGCCTTCTTGTGGTAGCGGGGATGGGATGTAGGTCGGGAATACTAGAGATGAAGTTGCATAATACCCCGAATGAACTACATCTCTTGCAGTGTGGTTTGCCTTCATCGCACTAAGGGACAAATAGATTTTTCAGCTAAGCACCAGTCTAGGAAAACTGAGAGCCACCTACCTTGAGTTTTCTGAGCTTACAATTCCGGCAGCCAATCTCGATCTCCGCGGAGTCCTACGCTCCCGAGCCTCTCTTGGACAAATCGAGGCTATACTTGGTTAATTTTCTAATGCTTTGCGGAGCTTGTGAAGGACTTCCCCTTGGAATAGTTACGATGCCGAAGAGCTCCGTAGCCGGGGGATCCATGGTCACCCCAAGGACGCTTGGTTTCACATTTAAAGGCATACGCTAACTTCCCCGCTAACCCTCCCTCGGATACAGAGGTCTCTGATTGGCAGAGTCCTGCCCTGACCCGCTCCCATCTATAAACAACAGTGCATCGGACCGTCACTACACGATGATAGGTTAATTGTATAAGAAGAAGGTTATTCCTCAGGATCCTAGGAAGGGGGCTAATTTCCATGACATCACAATCATGAAACCTTGACTTAAATACCATAATCTGCTTGCATTATCGAGATATATATAATGTAGTGGTGGAACCCATGACAGTAGCGTATTAGCGGGCTGAGGTATCACAAATGCGTTAGGAAGCTTGTATGCAATCTTCTCCTTCGAGGGCAGCATCCTACCATCATCAATATGACTACAGTTTTTCCACCAGATTCTTCATTCATGATATAGCTTCAAGATCAGTACTTCAGTCGCTTCCTGAGACTACTCTCTACGCCTACGGTGGGCATGGGAGTGGTTGGTTGTCTTCTCTCCATTGATACCGACCCGTCTGCCATATCAGACTGCCATCGAGCCATCCCCATTTCAATAATTAGTAAGCACAGCTTCGAAATTACAGGCATTATTAATGCTTGTATCTCGATGTTCCGAACCCCGAGGACAAAGCCTCTGAATACTGATAGTTATTACAAATACCAAATATATGATCAAGCGATCAATTGGTCAATTGGTCAGGTTAAGCATAAATGGAGAGAGAATTTCCAGCCAAAAAAAAAAATCATCATCATTCAGACTCTCAGTCTCTTTTCTTTCTTTCTATTGCTCCCTATTCTGGCTACCCTGCATTATTTGCACCATTTTCTCATTGAGTTCTGTGATCCTATTGCCCTTATATCATCAAACGTATATGTCCTCCGCCTCCAAAGCTTCTACTTACACAAAACGTCCAAATGGCCACCCACCTCGCCGCCGTCTCCCTAGCCAAAGGCAAACCTTATGAGGTCCAGACCCGCCCAACCCCGAAGCCAGGACCAGACGAGCTCCTCATCGCTGTCAAATCTGTAGCTCTCAACCCGGCAGACGCTTACGTGCGTGATCATGGCCTCTTCATATCCACGTACCCCACCGTCGTTGGCTTCGACTTGTCGGGATTAGTCCTCGAGGTCGGTGACAACGTTCCCATCGGTGTTACCGACAATGGTTCGGGCTCCTCCTTCCGACCGGGCACCCGCGTCGCCGCATACGGCGCCCCTATCTGGACGTCCAGCCACCCAGACTACGGCGCATTTCAGGAGCGGTGTCTCGTTCCCTGGCAGCATGCTGTGCCTCTCCCGGAAGAGGGTATATCTTGGAACCACGCGGCAACCTTGCCCGTAGCCGTTGAGGTACCCCTCTGCGCGTGGGATCTCATGGGGATCCCAGTCCCTGATGGCTTTACTAGTACCGATACCAGCGGAGGGAAGGAAAAGTCTAACAAGGAAAAAAGTGAAGCTCTCCTAATCTGGGGTGCGTCCTCTAGCGTCGGCACCATGGGCGTGCAAACAGCGCGCCTGCTGCGGGAAGATCCCAATTCTTCTTTCGCAGCCGTTTATGCCGCGGCCGGCTCGGCGCATAGGAGCTATGTGCATTCACTAGGTGCGGACCGCGTGTTCGACTACAAAGACTCACAAGTCGTGGATGCCATCGTTTCGGCGGCCAAGGAGGACGGGTTAGTGATCCGGCATTGTTTCCTTGCTACCGGGCAGCTGGCGCTATGTCAATCTGTGCTTAAGAGGTTCCTCGGAGAAAATCAAGAAGAGGAGAAGACAAAGACGACGAAGATCGCGTCGGCACCCCGCCTTCCTCCGGATGCTGAGGTCGTGAGCGGGGTGGAGACAATATCTGTGACGACGTCGTCGATTAAAGAGGAGAGACTGGAGCAGTTCCGATACTGGCTCGGGACGTGGCTAAGGGAGAACCTGGCTAAGGGGGCCATCAGGCCGAGTCCGGAGCCGAGCATCGTGGGGAAGGGTTTGGGGGCTATCAATGCTGGATTGGACAAACTGCTTCAGGGGGTCAGTTGTACGAAGTTAGTTGTTGAGGTTGCGGAGTGAGATTGTCTGGGGTGTTGATACGGGGTTGCAAAGAAGTTAGGAAAATATCCGCGCGGAAGCAGTCTGTCCATTCTGAATCATTTATATCAAATGCGACCTACCATTTTCAAACAACTGTAATTTGAGGCACTCGAAAATGGGCAAAACGAGGTAAAAGGAAAATTGCTTAAGTAGGGCGAAAATAATGCATGAAATGGTACACTGGCTTCGTGGTAGAGCCTGTCTAATACTTACTTTATCAATGTTATAAGTATTATAGCACCTTTTGTATGAGTTTCTATACTTGCTACGCGTTCTGTACTACCAAATATGAATGATAAAAAATATATTGTGACACGACATAGTGTATATGAATCAAAGGTGTTGAGATATAAGAAATAAAGCAAAGGAAAACAGTAACAAAATGCTAAGAAATGATCAATAATACCAGCTATCACGAGCACTTAGCTGTCTTCGTGACAGTAGCGGTACTGATTGAAGTAGCCTTCACAACCTCGGTGGAAGTGGAGGTCGCTCGGTTAGTGATTGTGATAGATGGTTTGTTAGACACAGTCGAAGTCTTAATGATCCTACTAGTGGAAGTAGGCAAAGTGATAGTGCTCTTAATAGTCGTAGTCTTAGTGACGGAGGTGGTGGAGGTAGGAATCTTAAGAGTGCTCTTGACGGTGGTTGACTTAACACTGACCGTTGTGTATGTTGAGCCGGGAAGAATGACAGTCGAAGTCTTCCAGAATAGCGAGATAATGGTGTCTGTGACTGTGAATGCCTCGAGGGTTGTTGTCTTTCCAACTGAGGTTGTGTCTGTAATAGTCACGATTGAAGTTTGCGCCGGGATTGTGGTCACTAAGCTCTTTGTTGCGAGGCATGTGATCGTGCCTATGATAGTGGAAGCCTTAATAGAAGTTGGTTATAATGTCGGTACTGTAGTCGGTTATAGCCAGGATCGTTATGATTACAGTCTTTATCACATAGCTGATATCTACGAATATAGTGGTTTCCTTGGTGCTGATGGTTGTTATTCCTCTAATTCTAACGGTGATTGTAACAATTGACGTAGACTTAACAGCTTTGCCACTGATTGTCTGAAGGCTTGTGGTCGTTTCTACCTCTACAGTTGTCACTATTGACACCGCAGCCGTGACTGTGTGAGCTACGGTGAGAGTGCCCTTTAGAGTGCTTGTGGTATCCTTACCAGCGACGGAAACGATGGCTAGTGTAGTAGACTTGGCGGTCAAAGTAACAGTCTTGGCATCTGGAGTCACTGTGCTGCCGACATCGATAGTCACGAGCGATGCCTTGGTCGAGGTAGTAGGTGGCTCAGTCACGGTCCCCGCGGTGGTGAGTCCCGGCGATATTTAGAAGGCCATCGATCCTCCCATATGCATGGAGGGAGGTATCCACTATCCGTGCCATTGCTTTGTATGTGAAGTCGCATTGAGCGTAACGAAACTGTGCGCGTTCAGTAAGTGACATCGGTGAGGGAGAGAAATCCAACCCGGAGACTGAGGCATATTCGTCAAGGGACGTTGACGAGGTTGCGAGGCTGGTTCCAGGCGCACTACCTGTGGCTATCAGAACCTGTGAATGGCGTGATTAGCCACGGTCCTTTTAGACTATGCTTCCCTGCGGGTCTTGACGCGCATGATCTTGGAGCATGTAAGTACCGGGAAGACATTGCAAACGTTGAAGACAGATTAATCAAGTCACGGTAACTGCGGATGTTAAACGAGACTATCATGCAAACTTTTATCCTCCACATTATTACTTACTTAGGCCAAGAAAGGGCTACAATGACGGTCTCTAGACCCATCCTCGCCAAGTGGAATTAAGCTCAATGGAGATAACGTCAATAGCATACGGACTTTTGTCTATAGCAAGGCACTAAGCCAACAGATGTGATGGCTTCTGGTTTATCCATTTGGGGTTACGTGGGTGCCCAGACATTGCATGCTTTTATGGAATATGTTGAGAATGACAGCCAAACATGTAAAGGATACAAGAGGTGAGACGATACCTAACCAAGAAATGTAAATCAGAATAACGAGTTACCTAGTCTCCGGGCTAGTGGTTCAGAGAAAAGACAAGGACCCAGCTTGGTTGCAAAGTGTCGCTATTTTGTCTGCTCTATACAGATCCTGCTGCCGGGCGCTACCACCCGGCAAGTATCGAAAGCCTGGAGAGAGTCTTTCACTTTGTAGCTCAGGAGTAGCAGACCATTCATGCAGATGACAGATTCCATAATGGCAATGGAATTGATCGTTGACAGTGACCGTTAATTCGAGGAGTTAACACATACAAACCTCATCGAATGAACGCTGTAAGGTTTGTGCCACAGGCTTTCTTGTGCAACAGCGCTTAACGTATAAACAACGTACACATGCATGTATTTAATTATTTCATTGTCCTGTGAGAAGAGGGAAGCCCAGTTTGCCATGTAAGGGCCCTCGAACGTCTACTGTGTAGATAGATCGTTTCGTATGCAGATTGGTGTCCTTTTGATTTAATACCTCTCCGCCATCGAAGGTTCCCGCCCTTAGAAATCGATTCCAGAAACTCATTTTCCCTTCATGGTATGTATGTCCAATAAGTGATACTGCCAAATTTATACTGCTTGACATATTCAATTCGAGGTGCTCGTCGCATGCAATATCCCGCGGTTTTTTTTTTCACAGCTCAACAAATACGAGCTCCGCAAAGAAGGGTTATCACCAAGCCAGTTAAAACAAATCAAATTATATCACGACAGATCAAGCCTGATCTTCGTGGCAGACTAGGTCATCTTCGTCCTTGAGATGGCTCACGCACGTCTCTTTCGGGACCTGTATTGGGTCATTCGCGTCCTCGCAGACATTACTCGAACTAGGGACTGCGCAGAATGGATGAGAGATATTAGAACGTTCTGGGTGCTTGGTACCGGTGCTCTGCTGGGAGATCTCCGATGATTTGTGTGCAGAATTGAGAGCAAAATCTCCGGAATCGAAGTATGTTCGATGCTACTTTGATTGTTAGACGTAAGCGATCATGTTTGTCGTTGTGGGCCTCAAACTTTTGATTCCTCGGAAAAAAGCTTTTCTCTCAGAGGGACAACACCATACCGACTCTCGATCTGAAATTTTCCATCAGTGAGGAGCTTGAGAACAAAGCAACGGTATTGCTTTGGGAAATGGGCTGATTCGTTACTTTGCTTTTTGCCAGTTTCTTTTGTTGCTCCGACATTTCGCAGTGAAGAGCATATGTAAAATTAATAGAAAAGAGTGCTAGTGTCTCTTGTTAAAAAGTCCTCCTCCACCATAAACAATTCATGACCTCATGCCGCCATCTGTGTGACTCATCCTTTGGATTCATTACATTTTGAGCGAAGTTGTGGCGAAATAAATAGTATTCCGTGGCTTTGGGTAGGCACTCACCCAGGTTTTGTTTTGACATGTGTCACCTGCTCTATATTGTGGCGTTTGACATTTACGAATGCTGCTTTCTTTTTCGGCTTATAGAATCTTTGTAATGGGTCTCACATTGAAATCACAATTCAAAAAATAGCCAAGTCCTATCAAATAGTGGAGCATCCAAAATTTGAGGAATACAAAAAAATCCGGTTGGGCGGAGTCGAACCGCCGACTTCAAGATGAATGTTATCAATTACAGTCTTGCGCTCTAAACCAACTGAACTACAACCGGCTGTGATTGGCCAATTTTATCCCAGCAAATTAATTGTTCGCAGTCGATAGTTGAGTTGGAAAGAAGACGTCTTCTGCCTACGGCTATGGTTTTGACTCCTTCCACTAGTGAAATAGATGATTAGCGTTACTTCCAGGGAAGCCAATTAGTTCAAATTTTTCGTTATTGGCCGGTGATACATTACCGCCAACAATCATCCATCCATGACTATATATTTCAGACATAGTTGTCGTTGACAAGAACATATCGGTACCTTGCTAAACCATTCTCCAATTCCAAATAGCTTGATTTGCATTATCCAATGGCCGTTCCTCCACCCAACGTTTCACATAAGTACCACGCTCCGTTCCAGTGGCGAAAGCCCGAAAAGCGTCCTTCGGCTCTTCTTCGTGACACTATTATTATGATTTTGTGTCCGTGTCCCAAGCGTACCCATAGCTTTCCCCCTGTCGGTAGAGTCTGACAAGGAGACATTAAAAGAGGGTAGAGAATACGGTTCTTGCTAAGGGGCGTCCAAGTTTTGGCCTTTGAATCTTCTCTAGAATGAGCGTATTTGACGGCAATCGTAAGTATGCGATTGCTCAATATAAACGATGCCTATAATTTGGCTTCATTAGGCTCATTTCGCGTCAGCAGCTTGCATCAAGTGGGTCTGAGATCCGATTCAGCACCAAACATATTTCCTGTTGCCTGTACCTACGATCATGCTGCGGTACCCTCGTTTGTCAGCACTCAACATTTTTAAGCAGTATTAAGGTCCATGTTCTACTACATTTCTAGACTAGATACTGTCAGCATCTCGCAGCCGACTCTTCCCCAATGTCATAAGAAGATTCCGTAATCCGACTGTCGCCAATGCCACAACAGGCAGGTGTTCGTGCCCCCGAAGATGACTGGACTGGGCTCACCAATCCGACAGAACGGAGGAAATTTCAGAACCGCATGAACAGCGGAACCATTATAGATAAAAGAAAAAGAAAAGAAAAGAAAGGAAGAACATTTCATTCATTCATCATATAGTTATGAGAAATTGGCAGATGAGAGATGTAACCATGGCTCAATCCACAAGTCTGCTGTTTCAGCATCTGGCGCGTAAAGCGGAGAGAAGTCCAGAGGCATATCTAGTGGAAAGTTGGTTCCGAGTACCACAGACGATTGCCCACCCAAAATAGAGTTGTATTGAATTGCCTATTGAGAAAGCTCGTTAGTGAAATGTTTCAAGAGATCAAAGATAGCGATATACACACCATTTGTTCCATTTCCAGTGTCTCCGAACTTGTTCCAAATGTAGCTTGTTGGGTCTCCTGATTGGACAACGAATGTAGAATCCTACGATCCTGCAGTTAGAAAATCATTTCATGCACTAAGATTTCCGTACGTACCCAGGCGCTTCTGAAGGATCGCTTGAAACGATTCTGTTTAGAATAGTTCGCAGTTTGTGGCTGGGATGAGTTTCAAACTCATGGTCGTCGCAGACCAAGAGATTGGAAAGATCCTCGAATAGTCGCAGAAATGGTGCAACTGCGGGTAGCACTCTCGTGTAAACAGCCAATGCACTTAAACAAGCACTAATTGCCTGGTGAGCGCGCCTTGGTGTCAAAGCTGTCGGTTTTATCGCCAAGCATTGCAGCAAGGTAACGCCACAATAAAAGCAATGATAAACAGTGACACGGTCGGGAGGTGTGTGAGGATTCAGGCTTAGTATTTTTGCATCCTGGCGAGGAATCAGCGAAAGCCTTTAAAATAGGATAGGCCACTTACTTGGCACGCATCAACAGCAAATTCTACACACAAGCCTATTAGATCCGGGTCAATGACATTCGCCATTAGAATAGGACGTATCAAGAGGAGAACCGCCTGTGTATATGTCGCTTGCACCCGATCAGGGGTTTGTTGAGGAAATGGCCTTGAATCTTGCTTTGGGGGTGCTTGCTGTTTCCAGTGATCTAATTCGCAAAGCAGAGCTTGGACTTCGACTAACGAAGGAACTTGAGCGTGGGGTCCCGTAAATCGTGTTCTAAGCCTTGTCAATCCCGCCCAAGACAAGTCCAGTAGTAGACTTACAGTATTTTAGACCTTATACGGTAGACATGTAGATGGTGTAGAGCCGCAGTCATCTGGTATAGTTGTTAGGCTGCATGGTCCAGTATCTTGTTGGCATAATGCGAAGGATACAGTACCGTCGTGATTGTCCCTTCTTCATAACGGGAGTCTCCAGCAGCTTGTCTCATCTGAAGCTCTCGAATCCTTTGTTGATCGATGCAAGTGTCGTCGATGTCAACAGGTGTCTGATACATAGTCAGTAACTATTGTATTGTCTCGAAATCCGGATAAAATACCTCGGCATCAATATCTGAGTCACTGATTCCAAATGGTAGTTTGGTTAAAATAGAGAGCGATCTAAGAAGATGTTCGTTAAAACCGTCGAGAGTACAAAATAGAATTTGAAGAGAGGGCGCACGAACCGGTCAAAGCAATATGCACACCAAAAGAATCGTTTTCGAAGTTCGATTTTGTATGGATCCAACTTTTGTGCCTCTGGGGAACTCGCAATTTTCCTATGATATCTGAGTTTGACACACAAACGCAAAGAAAGCCCGACAATGTGCCTATTCACCTCATAAGCAGGTCTAAATTTCGAACATGATATGATATCATATGACATACCAGATAGGAGACTCTGTTGGGGCTCGAAAATAGTACTGCACTAGACAAAGCAGAGCCTGCACAGTTGATAAGTCCTGTAGAGCCATGACAGCGGGGAGGTAAATTCGAGCGCGAGCAAAATATGCCTAGGAAGGTCAGATACAGATTCTTAGACGTGGATTGCTGGGAACTTGCATCCGTTGCATTCTCTGGGTCTGGAATCAAGCGAGCTCCAATAGCGTAAATTATCCAAATGAAAAATGCCCCTATCAGATTCAGAGTCAACTTGAGCAACTCCAGCTTCGGGTTTGTAACTTGCCGGTCTGGGATTTGACTGGGGCTTGGGTAGAAATGTAGGCGATCTGGTCCCGATGTTCGTGCCATTCACGCAACTGAATCCAGTCCACGATACAATACCTTGCTTGTGTATAGAAATAAGCTGCATCCACCAGTTTTCTCGCTCCGCTGCTAGAAGGAAGCGCAGGGAGCGCGTCTTCTTCGAACCCTGGAACGAAAGCACGTCCATACACCATTTCCATAATCGTAATCTCGGGCCTCGATACCTGTTTAGCCGTCAGTGAGGCTCCTCCACAAATAATTGTAGCTGATTAAGCTGAGTAAATTACGTTGTTTGGCAAAAAGCTCTCTTGTCCAGAAAGCTGGGTTGCTTGGGTGATTCTTTCGACGGTCTCCCCATTTCGTTCAGGAACCTGGGGCTCAGAACAAGTCGTCTCAGGAGTAAGCCCTGCCTCTGGCTGTTGTAATTTACTTTCGCGGAGTTGACTTTCCAGCGATTGGATACGTGCTTCTAAGGTTGCAACGTATCTGTAGGAGACAAATTAGTAGTGTACAGATATGAAGGAGAGATACAGGGCTGAGTCTTACGCATCATTCCTCAGAACACCATCTGGAGGGACATCAAAAAAGCATTCTGTGGCACATGTTAGCTAGGGCTCAGCTAGCGAGAGATTTTATATGTTACCAGTTGACGCTCTTGAACAAGCAACGCATTTCCTATAAAAATCTTAGTAAACGCATGGAACTGGGAGAAAACGTAACTGTACTGACCTCTGGCTATTCTCGCTGTTGTAATGGCATTTTATCTTCCTTCGTTTACAGTACCGGCCTTAGTTTGGCGAATTAGTGAGCATGCCTGGTGCCTCGGTGAATGGTGGATACCCACAAGCATTAGTGCTTCGCCGGTGGGTACCAGCGTTGATCCGCCTCGGACTGGCTTTCCGGGCTGAGATTGACTGCTCCATGAAGTTTGATTTTTCCAAGTTTTTTTGTAACTATCGAATGGGCTCATGAAGCTCCACTGGAGTGGAATTCAAATATGAAACCAATAGGAAAAGGGGCTGAAATGTGGAGACCCTCAGGAGGATCAGCTGCCAAGACTCGGAGGTAAACGGCTAGTCAAAAGAAATTCTGCAAAGAATGCCAGCCTGAAGATACGCCAGTCAGATGCCCCTGGGTGAAAGAGCTAGGAAAGAAAGCGAAGAAGCGAAGAGAGGGATTGAAAGATGCACACTAGCGTTGTCTTGGCCCGAGAGATACGAGATATGAATGGGGACCAGCGACCCCACAAACCCTCCGGAGCACAGGCAACAAGTTGCTCTATTGGATCGTCAAGTGCCACCGAATTTGTCCAGTTATTCTTTGTTTGGCTTTTATGTTCGTTCTCATTGGGTGAACCAAATAATAGTCACTGGTGATTCGATTTACTGTTTGGACATCGACGAGAAACTGGCATAGTACGCGCCGCTAGCCTGGTTGCCTTTCAGTGAGCTTTCGGCCACCTGTACCGGGACCAATTTACCGTTTATTCTGATATCCTTAAAATCTATTATCAGGAATTAGTATTCGTTTCGAGACAGCTTTGTTACCTTGGCAGACTGGGACAACAAGTCAATTGGCTGGACAATGTAAAACATTTTGTTAGCCTCGGAACGTACTTTTGTCACTTGGGGCCAAATAGCGGAATTGCCGTAGCCCCGCTGTTCTGATACACTGTGCAAGTGTAACATAACCTTCCAATGATTTTGTAGTGGACGTCGTGGTATCTTTGCACAAGTTGAACCACATCATATGATCTGTTTTATGTAAGGACTTTAGTCATTTAACCTACTGGGACATTTACAAAAGTACACATGGCAGAAACATTTCCCTGGTTTTTCGAAAACGAACAAGTTATGGCCACAAATAACGAGAAATATCGTGAAACATTACAATGTTCTAAATTCATGCATCCTCTCATAATAGATCAGACTAAACATTGAATAAGAACTAACGGGGTGTAGCATGGATTTATTCATCGCTTGACTGGGCAGATTTCGTCACTGAAAAAGACTTGGTTTTGCTCCCATCTCTAGGCATCAGGTTAGCAGCAGGCAATGCATGAGCTTTGGGGTAACGTTACAACTTATTATCAAAATCCTGCCCTTCAATGGCTGAAGGCTCTTCGTGGGACCTTGGTTTCCTACTGAAAACCCGCCATGGCCCATTAAACACGCGATCGATGTCTTCCACGCTGAGCCCCGCGATCTCTGGTACAAGGAGATACACGTAGATAAGAGCAGCGAAACACCAGGATGCGAAGAAGATGAAAGCACCCCAGTTATCCGTTCTCGTTAACAAGGATGGTAAGGCGTAGCTCATAGCATAATGAAACAGCCAGTGAAAGGTCTGTGACAGCGAAGCACCAAAGGACCTGATTCGGTTGGGCCATAACTCTCCGCCAAATACGTATGGAAGAGTGAGAAGGCCTGTAGACTGTTGTTAATTGTCTGAAATATTGGTCGGAATTGGAAAGATTTACCGATAGTATATCCCAACGAATGGATGAAGATGGATGCAAGCGCTGCCTCGCCTGCAGCACGAGGCGGGGAGCCATCATTTTGCACTTTAATATATACTGCAAGATAAATATCGGAGAGCAGTTGAAGGGTTATGCCAGTGAAAAGTGTGTTCCGGCGCCCCAGAGCATCGATGAAAACAAAGGATGCAAGTAAGCCGAAGAAGAACTTTGACATAGCATACATTCCATTGAGGAAAAGGTTCCGTGTGGAACTTCCAGCGACGCCAATGACCTCAAGAATAGGGATAAAGTAATTGGTTATGGAGTTTCCGCCCGAAAATTGTGGGAACGCGTAAAGAATCAGGGCTTGTTGAACACGGCGCAAGTTCGACGGCACTGTAAATGTCTCTTTTGCGATACTGACAATCTTAGATGGTGAATGATCATCGTGATCGCAGGCTTCAGTCTCCGACCGGATGGAGTCTTTTATACTTCGGAGCTCTTGTTGAACGCGATCGTGTTCAAGTGGCAAACAACGAAGTCTAACAAGAGTCTTCTCTGCCTCTTGATCTCGGTTCCTCAAAAGTAACCAGCGAGGCGATTCGGAGAGGAAGAAGCTGGCCACAAGCCACAGCGCCATGAATACACAAGGCGAGAACATCACGACCTGATACTGCAGTCGATTTGCTTCCATGTGTAGTTGCACCCCGTACACGCAAAATGTAGCAAGCATCAATGCCATCACCATAAACACAGAATACCATGCAGTCAGCAACCCTCGGATTTCGGTGGGGGCTAGTTCGACAATAGAGACCGAGCCGATGACACTCAGAGAGCCAATTCCTAACCCAGAAATGATTCGAGAGGCGTATAATGCCGCTTTTCCAGGGCTGAAAATGGCAATCAGTTGCCCAACTATCCAGACACTGGTGTAAAGACGGTAAGACCAGAGACGTCCGATACGGTCGTTTATGAAGAACGATAGAGCTGCACCGGCTGCATCACCGATGTAGACGAGAGAGACAAAGTTCTTGGTCGAATGCGCACCGAGTTTAGAGCTGATACCGAACTGTTCCTGGAAGCCCAAAAGAGAAGGTAACGTGGACGCCGATCCTTGATCCCATGCTGCGAGGCGTTAGTAGGGTTGGAATAGGTAGTAGAACATGAGATAGACACACTTAAAGGGATCGCCGCGGTCGCGTACATTGCGCATGACAAGAGTAAACTGCCACTGAAGATAACCTCGCGCGGGGCATCTTTGATCCTCTGAGCATATTGTGCTAGCATGCTTCTTTTGAAAACGTTCGAAAACCCCATGTTCATGCTTCAATTAAGAAACATCGGCTCTCAATGATTTTCCCTTTCTTTGTGGCTGAGGATAGAAGATCACAGTATCAATTGAATGAAGACAAGGTATTATTGGCAAAATTCGGGTTTTCAAACGTGCACGACTTGGTCCATCCCTTGATCCTTATAGCCCGGGTATGGCGATCTGGCAGCCACAATCTTGTGGAACGCGGGGATATCGAAGCTATGAGCCAAGGCTCGGTAAATCCGTGATGTAGTTAAAGATAACAAGTCATCCGGTTCAATTGGTTGACCTAGGTTGGGTAAACTGGCGAGGCAATGAAGTTGGAGGGAATCAATTCAATTTCGTTGGCACAGACTAATCACGGGCGGGAGTGCCGTGTAATTATGCGCTAGAGACCTGCAGCTCCAGCGGGAGTGCCGCGTCCATTCAGCTTGGGGTACAACGCTTCGGTAATTCCGTCGCATATCATGAAATTTAAAGAGTGCTGATAGAAGGTATGATTTTCGCCTCGCTTGTGTATTCATACTTACTCAAACTATCACTTCCAGTTTTCCAGTTTATCTCTGCTCACTTCTCCAAGTGCCGCTCCTCATTCCTACAACATGACCACTCCCGAATCCCGTGTGATCATCGTTGGCGGTGGTGTTTTCGGGTTGAGCACCGCCCTTTGGCTGGCCCGTGGTGGCTATAAGAATGTCACCATCTTCGACCGTTGCAGCTTCGACAAGAACCACTACAATCCTTCAGATGGATGTGACGGTGCCTCTGCCGATATCAACAAAATCTTCCGGGCGACCTACGGAGCGCAGGAACAGTAAGTGCTTTCCCAAATGGATGTCAAGTATCACCAGTTTTAATGAAACCTACAGTTCACAAGACCTTGCTCTAGAAGCTAGGGATATTTGGCTTGAATGGAACCGGTCTATTAAAGAGAGCTGTGTCTCTGATCTCCCCCATCCTCTGACTCCGGAAGATGAACTACTTACCCTCTGTGGTGTTTATCATTTGGCTGATGGTTCCGACATGATTGAGCGCTATGTGGAGAACTTGCGCGTGATGGAGCACACAGCACCCACCTTCCGTGAACTGCAATTTATCAAGGTGCGCGCTAGAACTATTTCTGGAATTCCTTTTGTTAACAGCAAGGATAGGACAACAACGATGATTCTAAGCGGGCCAAGGAGCTGGGCCCAGAATGGGCCAAAAAGTACCACCTCTTTGACAACTTCAAGGACGGTGCTACAAACGGGTTCCTCGATGCGGGCTCAGGAATCACACTTGCTGACAAGGTGAAGTAACAATACCCTCATTATCAACTCCTCCTAACTTTTGGAGGTAGGCCTGCGTGTACGCGCGATACTTGTGTGAAAAAGCTGGCGTCAAATTTATCCTGGGTCGACCTCAGGGTGAACTTCAGGAGTTGATCACCGAGAACCAAGGCTCTGGCAAGCGTGTTACAGGCATAAAGACATGCGATGGGTTGAGTCATTCGGCTGATCTTGTTGTTGTTGCCTGTTAGTACAAGTAACTGTCTAAATGGTGAAGCAACACTCGGCTGACCCATGAGTTTAGGTGGTCCTTGGACATCAACTGTTCTCCCAGAAGCACATCGCTCTGTGGAAGCCACTATGGGCACGGTCATGTTTATCGATATACCAAAGAACCGAAAGGATCTCAGAGAAAAGTTCCATCCGGACAATATTCCTGTGTGGCGATTCATCCAGGGCGTCGGTGATGGGTAAGTGGTTTCTTCAATTGAATTTGGGCTCTGGGTAACCAGGATTTCAGCGCATACGAGGGAGGTGGATTCCCAATTACCAGAGAAGGTAGATTAAAGTTCGGGTTCCGTGCTCGAAAGGTACGTATGAACTCTACATCGTTCCCTGAACTTTTCACTAATTCTTTCCGTTAAAGTTCACCAATTTCCAAAAACATCCAACACAAGACATGTAGGTTTCTCGATCCGTTGCTGATTCTAGGCGCCGAAGAACTCCTGCTGATCGGCCTTAGTCGCATCTCAACCCCTCGGACAAAATACAGCCCCGAGCCTATCAACACCGTACCCCTGTACGGTCTCGATCTCATGAAGGAAGTCATCGGTGGATTGTTTCCAGAGTTGAGAGATATTGGTTTCACTGATAGCCGGGTTTGTTATTTAGTCGCCATTTGAAATAATTTTTTGCTGACGGAAGGTTAGTTATGTTGGTACACGGATAGCATTGACAATGAGGTAAGTAGGCTGAGCTGTCAATTCTAACCGAGATTCTAACTGGTGAAAGTTCGTGATTGACTATGTCCCTGGATACTCTGACTCACTCTTCATCTGCACTGGTGGCTCGTAAGTATATCATATACGACGCGAAAACCTCCTCTAATGGAAGTTCTATAGTGGTCATGGGTTCAAGTTCCTTCCAATCCTCGGAAAAGTTCGTTTTGTTTCATCTCCGGGTGAATGAAGACCTAGGCTAACCTCTCTACAGTACGTCAAAAACCAACTTGAGAAGATCCCCGATCGGTTCACGCCAATTTGGAAGTGGCGCGCTGTTGAGGAAGGCAAAGATTGCAACGGACTCGAGGAAGGCGAAACCGGTCCTCGTGAGATGTCGAAACTGAAGCTGGCAAAATGTAAGCATTTCGATGCATTTATTTGACTTAAATTAACGATGGTTTATAGCCCAAGACTTCCAATTTACCGCGAAGAGTCTGCCCGCACTTTCAAGCAACCTTTCGCAATTGAATTTGAGGCCGCAAGAAAAGTCCCACCTATAGATCCCAACACGAAAAGTTACTATTCATTTCAAGAAATGGTAAGTAGGCCAATTTGACATCATCTATTTGCTACCATTTTCTTCCTTCTCCTGATCTATACTACCGATCTACAATACTACACTTTATTCTCTGTCATTCAAAATGCAAAACCTTGCAGCCTTTATAAAGTCCCAAAATCATGATAGGAATTGTCTGCATAAAATTCGTCGCTAATAGTCTAAGGTATTCTAATACGAAGAGTCGCTAAAACATCAGAAAATGTTGAAAACTGAGCACAACCAAGATCAACTGGCTTGGTAGACTTTGAAACTGCTGAACTCCCAGTAAGCAGTACTGAACTTATCGGCATTGTCCCGCACGTATGTCTCACAGGTGCCAGAACAACTACTTTGATCAGTATAGTACTTGCTCGCACCAGCCCAGTCACCACACAGGTCGATATTGGCAATAATACTCTGGTTTTTGAAATGAGACCCTATATCACAATCGGTATTGGGGAAGTCTGCGAAGGCTTCACCCCAGGTTGATGGGTCAGGGCTGCCTGAGGTTACATCGGATGGGATACTGGAACGAGCCCATTGCCATACCCGAATACCGGCATCACGAAGCTCCATCGCATATACCTAATGAGGCACAAGATCAGCAATGTTGTTCGGGGCGGGGGTGGATATATGATATCGTGACTTACTCCGCCTCCGTTCGAATTGAATTCAGGACCATAAGTGCTTTCAGTTCCTTTCACGCCACAGCCCGAATATTCATTCGCCTCATAGTAACAGTTCTTGTTCTGCACAGTGCCGTATTCTTTTCGCTTGACGCCCATTGAACACCCTTCGGATGTGTGGAGTGTCGCTTGGTTTCCATAAGTACCCTTATTGGCAGCCTCCACGACATCAATCTCTCCATGCGCAGGCCAGTTGTTGGGGTCTGTGAGCCATAATGCTGGCCATGTACCACACCCATACGGAGTGTGCAAGATGTCGAAGATGAAAAGGCCATGGGCATAGGTGTTATTAGATGTAATTCTCACAGATTGACGCCCACTGGCAGCTTCTGAGCCACTATAAGTCGTGTCCACTCTAAGCACGGCTGATGTGCTAGTAGCGTATGTGAGATTGAGCCACTCTGCGTTATCCCGACTAATGTATCTAGATAGCAAGTCAGCGCGATAATTAAAAATGGAAAAATCATTGATAGTCGTACTGAACAAATCCATGTGCAGGATCGGTGTCGGTATAATATTCAAAGTTGTCGAAAAAGGATGACCCCGAGTAGGTGTCTACCAAGCTGTAGTCCAATGAGGAGTAGTTCGGATATCGGTTGGCTCGAACCCCTAGGACAGATCCCACGATAACGGCAACAATCACTACGATAATTCCGACCGCTAGGAAGATTTTGTTCTTCAAGGACCATCCTCGCGGATCCCATCTGGAGTATTCGTCTCCAGCATCTTCGCCCCACGATCCATAGCTCGGTGGTTGTGCGCTGGCCCTCGAGAATCCTGATTGCGGTATTTGACCTCCCGATTGAAACTGTCCATGGTCATTCTGGGCATAATGATCAAGCATTGTGGATTATGGGCGGGTCAATGTGATAGTATATCTTTGCGAAACAACGACAAGCACCACCCGGCTGAAGTCAATCGGGTACGAAAAGCAAAGGTTGATTTTAGCAGACACGAGCAAACCGCAACTGAAGCTTTACGAGAAGAAACAAATTCGACGCTCGAAAAATTGCTGCGTATGCCAGCAGGCTTGGGATGACAGGATCCGCGGCCAAGAAGCAGGCCACGCGTTAGATAAGTGGGGCCTGCCCTCCAGGGCTGCGCCCACTGGATGGCGATATCTCTTAGAGACAATGCAGATTCCTACCGACTGTGGTTTGTTTTCCGTTTCCTCTCTTGGTTTCTCATTTGTGGCGTGTTCTCCGATCGCCAGACATATCACCGGTTCTAGACCGAGTGTCGCAAGATTCTCTGAGGTCAAAACTTGGTTTTTAATATGACAATAAGTTCAGGCAAAGAAAACATTGTGGACTAAAGAACAAAACTACAGACCGTTTTTCAGACCGTTTTTCAGACCGTTTTTTAGACGTCCTATCGCAAACCGAAGAGCGTCTATATGATCTTACTTTCTAAACTTTCAGTGAGTGCTTTTTATAGAAGACAAGATTCAACGTAATCCACAACAGTTCAGTGTTTTATCAGGAAACCAGTCTAGGGGTGTCAAAACTATTGCTTCGTCACTGTAGAAACGAAAAGTCCCAAAAATAAAAACATACAACAGCATGTCTAAGGTTGTGGTCACCTAGCGCCCACGGTTCGGGCATGGGCGGCTCGCCGCTCTAATTCAGCCCTCCTTAGGGCACTCCGGGCAGATATTCACCCACCTGAATATTCTTCACCCGAATATTCAGCCCGTGCAGCAAAACGTACATTTTCCCATTCTGATCGAAAAAGTTGTAAGTGACCTTCGTTTTTCCTCCGCTTTCATCTCTTCAGCCTTGCTTTATCACTCCAACCTCGCTTTGTCACGAGCAAGATGCGTACTAAGCATGACCTAACGTTAAAATATATGGCCAATGTTGTGGATTTTGGGGAGCATAGTAATAATGAAATCTAGCGTGCGGTTATAAGCACGTAGGTGACGAGGTGCTAAGGGGTTATGTTCAACAAGGTAAGGATAGTTACGTTAAGGTAAGGCTTATATAATAATATATTATATAAGCGACGGTGAGGTAACGTATTTCCCTACCGAGTGGGCCACCCCTACCGAGTGGGCCACCTACACCGGTCTATTCATTTTAAATGCATTTATCTCAACCAAAACGCCATTAAATTCAATAAGCTAAACTCGAGGTCTATTAGGACATGTAGTCATTCTATGACCCTGAATTCCACATACACTACACTTCGTTTTTGCCCTCGTACGCGGCTGAGAAGGTGCCGGAGCTGGCCCTACCTCACGGGATCCTTCTGCTAAAACTGCTTGCTCTGGCTGCGCTATTAAGGCAGAGGCCTCTAAAACTGAGAGGCCTTCTTCGGAAGGTATTTGCCTTGTAGACCGAGTCTTTTTTCGCTTCTTCTTCTCGTTTTCAGCGCGTAAATCGCTTACTTCTTTCTTAAGAATAGCTACCGATTGCATCGTGATTTGATAGGCTTTTAAAACTTGATTTATCGCAGAATTAAGCGGGCTCGGTGGACTTTTTGAGCGCTGCTTTAGTAAAGCTTTAATTGAGGAAGCTTGTTTTTGTAATTAGACGTAGTTCGACGGCGTTTTTGGCGACCACTTACTATCCCGGCTCGAGGGGGGTCGGCGTACGGAGGCGAATATCGAGCTTCGAAAGCACTCGATCGGGGTTATAAGGCATTAAACCGGCGCCGGCGAAGCTATTCTTAATAGTCTCCGATTTAAATGCCTCGATTCGCGCGGACGGGTAGACTTCGAGGAAGTCTAATTTATTGATATGATTAATCCGGAGCCGTATTTTGCTTTCGATAAGCCGAGTATACGCGCGCTTTAATACCGCAAAACAGCCGATATCAAGAGGCTGTAAAAGGTGAGACGAGTGCGGAGGCATACAAATTGCGATAATATTGTTTTTCTCGCAAATTTCGTCGAATTTCGGAGTCAAATGACTCCCGTGGCCGTCGAGGATCAAAAGTCTATACTTCCCCTTCGTACGCGAGGAAGTAGACGGAATAAAGAGCTTTTCGAGCCACCGAACGCTAATTTTATCGGACGTCTACCCGTTCGGACTAACCTCGAGTCTCTAATTATTCGGAAGGCCGTCGAACCAAGATTCGATAAAGACTTTGCCCTTAAAAATCACGCACGGAGGAAGCGCCCACCCCGAAGCATTTATACACTCAATTGTAGTCACCCACGCGCGATTTCCGGGCTGTAAAAGCGATCGCCGACCGTAGTATTCCCTTCTCGTGATAACCTTCGCGGTCGCAATTAAGCCTATTGCGAATCCGGTCTCGTCAAAGTTATAGATATCATCGGGATCGATACCGTGAGAAATGATCGTTTTTTGGACGAGAGAAAACCATTCTTCAATGATTTTCGGGTCTTCACATTTAGCGCGCGCGTAATTATAGCCTTTCGAGAATCGGGAGGAGAGGATTAGATGCCTTTTCACGAATTTTGTGACCTAATCCTTACCGACTAAAGGAGCGGGGGTAGATCTACGCGCCGCGAGTAGTAAATCCGCTATTTCTCGTACGGTAGAAGGCCGAGGGGCTGCTCCGCGAGAGTCTATAGAGAGAATCTATTTTTGAAGCGATTCCTCCTCAATTTCGGTCAATTTATGTGAATTTGCGCGAGTTTCAGCGCGAAAAGGATGGCCGGTAACGCGTCGCTATAGTGTTGTACGGGGTACGTTAAACTGACGCGCTGCATCACGAATTGATAGAATTTCTTGCTTCTTAATAGCCTAGATAGCTAATAAGATCCTACCCTCTTGCTCCGTACGATTTTAAGAGGATTGAGTACGAATTGGTGGCATGGTAGGTGGTTAAAGAAGGAAGGTCTAATTAATTGACGCGTTTTACGTTAGGTGGCCCACTCGGTAGGGGTGGCCCACTCGGTAGGGAAATACGTTAAAATAATAGTCACGATAGTAGGCGACAGTGAGGTAAGAAAGTATGAGATAGAGGTAGGTCAATTAATTAAATTAATTGTAGATAATGGTTATTATTCCTAGGACTCTTCCTCGAGGTCCTATATATAGTTGACCTATTTACCTAATAGAACACCCTAGAATAATAACCTTCACGATAAAGCCGGAACCGATTCACCACGTTTTGAGTACTTTTGGATAACGGCTTCTCTACAGTAGGTGGTGGTGTAAGGGGAGGCATAAAGACACTTCTTGGTGGGGTATTGTTAGTTACCATAGAAAATCATCAAAGTAAAAGTTTGACTATGGCGTGTTTACGCCGGCGCGCAAGGAGACGACGGGAGGATATAAGGTCACGTGGATGTAACGTTAGTCAGCGAATATAGGTAGGGCTACCTAACTAGTCCTAAGACAAGACACTTTGATAGCCACGTGATAACGGATAGCTTCCTGCTATATAGATTGCCTCGAGCATTTAACGTAAGGTAACACGAAAAGTCAGCCTTGCCGCTGATCTAGCCAATCCTGGACTGAAATTTGATGTTATCGTGCAGTTGCTAAGAGACCGAGTGTTTCGAGTGGATCAATATGACCCAATGATCTGATATAGGACTTCAGCTAAACCGGTTAGTGTGGCGGCCGCGCGACGAAGGGTGATTCTCACCCGCTCTCACCTGGCTTCTAATTGCGCACTCACCCTTCTCACCCGGGTCGCGCGACGCTAAGGCGGCGCTCACCCACATCTCACCTAGGCCACACTCACCCGACTATTGACCGTACGTAAGCCGCTAGTTCTACATGGCCAATTCTCAATCAGCTCTCAACTCATAAAATAGCGATGCAAGCTGCCCTAGAGTGAGTGAGTGATATAGGTAAGAAGTCTATAGACTAGCGTGAGAAGGGGTGAGAACGGGGTGAGAATTCTCACCCTAGGGTAAGGGGCTAATCCACCCTACACCACAGAAGAAGATAAATTCTGATCTAGGGCGCTTTCATCGCTTTATTCAAGTCTACAAATATAATTTCTACTAAACAAGCTACCCAAAAAGCCCTTAAACTGCGTATTGCACATGCCGCATCATATAGGTTCACTCACGAGTACTAGGAGGAGTGGGAACAAGAAGACAATATTCAATATCTCAGCCCCCGCCTTAGGCCTATTTTCAAGCACCTCGTTGCAGGAGCTTAACCACTGCCTTATAGTCATTTGCTACGGCCCTAGACAGGGGCGTGCGACCATCATTGTCTATTAAGTCTACTTCAGCGCCACTCGCAAGTAGGAGCTTAACCACTTCTATATGTCCTCTTTCTACAGCGCGCCATAGCGGTGATCGACTAGATTAAACGTCTATAGAGTCTACATAGGCGCCGTTACTAAGCAGCAGCTTAACCGCACCTATGTGTCCTCCTTCCGCGGCCGTAGACAGAGGCATCGGACTATGTTTATCTACGAGATCCGGGTTCGCACTATGCTCGAGGAGGAGCTTGACTATTGCTTCTTAATCCCTCTCTATAGCCACAACTAGCAGAGTCCGCTGGCTTTTGTCTCTAGAGTTTAGATCTATCCCTTTCTAAAGTAGAGCTGTAGCCGTTTCTACGTTGCCAAAATAGATGGCCTAGAACAGCGCTATTCGGCCATACACGTCCTTAGAGTTGACTTCCGCACCCGTCGAGAGAAGTTGCTTAACTATTTGCTCGTGCCCCTTCAACGCTGCTAACATCAGTGACGTGCGATGTAGGTGGTCCTTAGAGTCTGCTTTAGCATCAAATTCGAGCAGTAGCCTCACCACGGCCTCGTGCCTATTCACCGCGGCTGTGGACAGGGGTGTTCGGCTATATATGATTTCCGTAGAGTCCAGAAAGACTCTATGTTCTAGCAGCAGATTGACGACCGCTTTGTGGCCGTGTGTTGCAGCCCGAAACAGGGCTGTTTGACCATTGCCATCTACCACATTTACCTCCGCTTTGTTAGCAAGTAGTAGCTTAACCACTTCATCAGATCCTCTTTCTGCGGCCCGAAACAGGGGCGTTTAACTATTGCCATCTGCCACATTTACCTCCGCTTTGTTAGCAAGTAGTACCTTGACCACTTCATTAGATCCTCTTTCTACAGCCCGAAACAGGGGCGTTTGACCATTGCCATCTACCACATTTACCTCTGCGTTGTTAGCAAGTAGCAGCTCGACCATTGCGTCATTTCCTTCTTCTACAGCCCAACACAACGGTGTCCGGCTGTATTTAGTGTCCGTAGAATCCACATGAATGCCATTGTCGAGTAGAAGCCTCACTAACCTCCTGTCATCATTTTTCGCAGCCCATAATATCAGAATTCGGCCGTACTCAGTACTCGTAGGGAGAGAGCTAGCGTCATGCTCGAGAAAAATCTTGGCAATTGTCATACGTCCACCCATCACAGCCATTGACAGCAGCGTGTTACTATCAATATCTTCCACATTTACCTTGGCGCCATACCCGAGAAGTAACTTAGCCATTCCCTTATATTCGCTTTCTGCAGCGCGCCAGAGCGGTGTCCAGCTAACTTTATCTTTAGAGTTAACTTCAGCCTTATACCTAAGCAATAGCTTAACGTCTTCTTCGCGTCCATTTGCTGCAGCTTGTGACAACGGCGTCCTACCATTTTTATCCTTTAAATTAACCTCTACACCATTTTCCAGAAGAAGCTTAACCACCGTTTAATGCCCATTTAACGACGCTAACACAAGCGGCGTCCGGCCGTGCCTATCCTTAGAATCAACGTCTACACCGTTTTCGAGAAGAAGCTCGGCCACCGTATAATGCCCGTTTAACGATACTGACACTAACGGCGTCCGGCCGTGCCTATCCTTAGAATCAACGTCTACACCGTTTTCGAGAAGAAGCTCGGCCACCGTATAATACCCATTCAACGACGCTAACACCAGCGGCGTCCGGCCGTTTCCATCCTCGGAATTAACGTCTACACCGTTTTTGAAAAGCAGCTTGACCACCATTTAATGCCCATTCAACGACGCTGACACCAGCGGCGTCCGGCCAAGTCCAATTTAGGAATTGGCGTTAGCGTCACGTTTGAGGAAAAGCTGAACCAAATTTGGAGATCCATTACCAGCAGCTTTTGATAAAGGTGTATCACTATTAACATTAGTCAAGTCCATGTTTGCTCCTACTTCAAGCAGTAATTTCACGACTAGCTCATTTTCATCCGCAGTAGCTTATAACAATGCCGAACGCTTATACCCGGAGTCCCTTCTAGAGTCGACGTCGATCCCATTTTAGAGTAGCTACCTAAGTAACTTCTTATGGCCCTATTTCGACGCCCAATAAAACATTGTGAGGCGACTACCGTGTTTATAGTCTGCCACTGTGTCCTTCCCTAGTAGCAGCATAGCCGCTGCTTCATTGTTGTTAATCCTTGCCCATCTCAGGGGCGTGTCGCCATATTTATCCGCGGAAACAACGCTAGCGCCATTGTCGACCAACCTCCTCATAATAGATTCATGACTATACAACGTTGCCAGCAATAACGGTGTTCGGTGATTTCTATCTTTCGCCTCGAAGTCGGCGCCCTTCTCGAGCAGCAGCTTAACGACCGCGTCGTGGCCATTCTCTACAGCGTACGATAAGGGCGTCCGGCTATAAGTGTCTTTCGCGTCAACTTCAACTATTTCTTAAAGATTCTTAGCTGCTTCCTCAAGCCCGAAGTATGCTAACAAGTGAAGCCCTATTATCTACATCGGAAAATCTTAGCTAAAGGCCGGCGAGTTCACCATTAATGCTTAACTCGATACTTCGACTTAAGCTTTTTGTTCAAGGAAGTGAACAACGCCCTAAGGACAAGCGGAAGCACGGTAGGCGTGATACCCCCAGTTACGGGCGGCATAGCTGTAGAGCGGATATAACTCCAGTCGCTTCTTAAACTCGGCGTCTGTTTGACATACCCCGCTCCTAAAGGCACTAAATGATAGGTAGGTAGCACAGGTTTTCGTAATATCAATATCGGTGCTAGGAAACCACCTAGCCCGTGTCCGCTCAAAGTACTCTTAGGTCGTGTAGTGGACTAAGCGGATAATGCCGCTCTTTTCGTCCACCGTGACCAGTCCGGCGCATACTAAAACAATGTAATCAATCTGTGACAGGTTGTCTTCATCGAATTCGTCTTGTCCAACTTCTACTGCAAGGGCGTGTTAAAGCTCCGTTATAGAGAGATTCCTCCTAGCGTAGGTGACCCATAAAAGGACCTCTTTGGCGAGGTGAGTTTTGTTCTCCTTCTATTGTTCAACTCGGTTCATCGCATCTTCATATGCCTTATTATATACCTCGGATCCCGTCGGTAGACTTTTCAAAGCAGTACGGACCGTCTTTAGCGATCTTTGGCCAACCAACAATTCGAGGTGAAGTTGTGCAAGCAGGAACCTAGAACCAGTTAAGTTTAAACTCTCAGTCCAATTAGAATGCCTTACACACATGCCATGTACCGACTAGACGATTCCAGTCTTGATTTCCTCTTTTAGCTCTATACTGCCAGTGACAAATCTCGGAAGTCGGAACATTTGTCCGTCCAAATATCTCCGCACATCTTCTTCTCTTACATAGATTTTCAATGTTTTATTTCCTTCGAATTCCCTTGTTATCTCTAGAATAGGTCTTAAAGTCGCAAAGATGTTTGCTCCACGCATATTAAGGGAGAATACCCCGGACAGTAACTTCGATCGACAGCCATCAGATACCTAGCATTCGTTAAGTGCGTCGACGACGATAAAAATTTGCGAATATATAGCAGACACGGATTGGAGCGCTTTTGAAAGTTCATCAATTTGTGGCCGCGTTCGTTCGCGCTTATAGAGATTGTGGAGGTCTTTCACGCAAGCTAGTAAAGAAGGCTAACTACCAGCTAGTTGTTTCAGTAGACTGGCTAGTAAGCCGTCAGCCGTCTACTCTGCTTGCTGCCGGAAGTCGCAGTAGATATATGCAATGCCAACGCTTATGTTCTTGAAAAATCGCTTGTTAAGATCATCAACCACGATAGATATAAGAATTGTCTTCCTAGCACCGGGAATGCCTAGACAAAACAACACCTAGCCCCTTCTGTTTAACCAAGTCTAGTACTTAGCAGAATCAAGAAGCCATTGGCCAGTCCCTACTTGTCGCCTCCGGAGATTGTCGCTCTGTTAAGGACCGTAGTTGATCGGGGTAAGCCAGTCGAGGATCTTAAGCTCTTCCTTTTTTCCTAGTCTAGACCTTATGAATCTGACGTCTCCTACGGTCCCAGATACAGAAACAAGAACTAATATATCATTAGAAGCTAGCTACAGAGCTCGACAAAATCCGGGGCTGACTAACCCTAGTCTAGCATGTCCTTCACTAGGCGCTCGAAGTCAACATCGCTCGGTTGTACATACTCCAGAAGCTCTTTTGCAAACGCAGCCGCCACAGCAGCAGCATACTCCTACCAAGCATTATTCTTGTGTGAGTCCGCATAGTCGCAGATTCCTCGAATAATGATGCATAGGAAGTTGTTCATCAGTCCTACCGCTTCCATTTCGACACAAAGAACGTGACCGCCAAGATCTTTGTTAAGCTTATCCCGGACGGCAGCGTCCTTGATGACTTAGTTCCCAGATGCGATAAGACCAAAGTGCACGTGCATATCTCTAGGCTTCATCTTCACGATCTTGGTTCTGTCACAAAATCCGCAACCCCCTTCTTCATCGTCTCTTTCGTCGTCGTCTGATAAGATGTCACACTCCGTGGTGTTTTCGCTGACATGGCTGTAATTTGCTTTGAACAAGACATCCTCGAGTGAATCTGATCTCAGATACTTCGGCACCAGTCTTGGCCATTTCTCTTTCAGTTCGTCCAAGTATTTTGGTATCTTTGAGCCTTTCATATCATAAGCCGTCTCCAATTTCGACAAAGCTGTTAGCAGCAAGGTAGGAGGGTTATTCAGAGAGCCGGTCCGCTCGAAGGTACCGCCTTCTTTCGCCTTACCGAAGTCACATTGCACCACACCAGGGAACTAGCCGACTAGTGTACTAACCACTACATCGCCAAGTCTAACCTTGGTCGGAATACCGCCACCAATGCCAACCATCAAGCCGAACTTGATAGACGGAAAAGCAGATATCATCCGGGCAGCAGCTGTCGCTGCCTAATTTTGGCCATACTGTCCTACCGGTAGGCAAGCTATGACAATATTGTGCTTGCTTATAGACCCAAGAGTGTACGTGTTAGGGTCGTTCGACGGCTTCGAGAGATCCGCATGTCTCTAGTCCAGCATAGCCGTAGCCGCGGTCTATTCTTTTAGCAGAGCGCAGAGCCATCCCACAGTGTATTCGTTATAAGTTCTCGGCTCGGTAGATATCTGTGCAGCCATTGCGGAAAGATTGTTTTGGAAATATTTCGCTGTCTTCAAGAAAACAAAAGCGGAATTGGGTGCCTATCTGATACGGTCGGTGGTGTTCGGCTACAACGACTGCCAATTCGCCTAGAAGGATATCAAAACGCTTAAGGTATTCCAAGGAAAAGGCTCTATACGAGAATGAAAAAGAAGGAAAGGGGAGTCAATTCAGCTTCATAGGTTAGGTCTAAGTGTATTAGGCATCGATCGGGCAGCACAGCCGCAGCCAACACATCCATCCAACTACGTATACATAATAAAGGCAGACAGGGCAGTGCAAATACTAATAAACGGCAACCGTGGTTGAAGTCTCGCTATAGCATTATGAAATACAAAATCTATTCTACGCATGTAACATTCATCCTATCAAAACTGGCATACGTCAGATATATTCTCCGGCAATAAAATTTCAAGAGTGTAGAGGTATAACGGGTATATAACGGATTTCGAAAAGAGTCGTAGTAAATTAAATATCTAGAGAGAACGGCGCCTATTCGTTGTTTTCTAAGAGTGACTTTTTGTGAGGCCCCATAGGCCGGCAGGTCACTCAGCCGTAGCTCAAAATTTTGATCGTTGCCCCGAGGGCCCCCACTCTATATAGTAACCGATCAACAAATCAGGCGTGGCAGTGTGCAGATAGCAAGAGAACAGTGTTTCAACCAGCACACCAAGATGCTAAGAGTTTTAGAGGGAAGGGTATAAGCTAATAGCATCTTGTTGTTGTGCAGCTAAGGTGGTATCTAAGCGGCCTCTATAATCCTCTTTCATATTTAAACAACTACATACGACCACAGGGTGTGGAGAACAGGGCTTCCCGTCCGCTCAGCCGTACTTAAGCCACTCGCTAGTGAGTTAGAAATAGGGTGACCTCCAGCAAATTTATATTCAATAGCAAGTTTGGTTCTCCTAGGCGGCCCTTCTTTTCTTACCTACTGTCATTTGAATTCTAGGAAGATATGTGTCAACTAGTAGAAATTAATACCAGAGATTAGTGATCAAACAACAGGCCTGTGAGAAAATATCAGTACGGGAGGGGAGGACACGTCAGCGGTACAGGGGCGTGCAGGATATTCAGGTGTAGTATAGTGGTGTTGAGGGCATTCAGGTGAATGGGCTGAAGGGGCTGAAGAGTAGGGCGGCACGAGGGAGTTTCCTAACAAATCAAAAAAAAAGAGGTGAACACGGACATACAACAGTAAGGATTCGCTAGTGGTCACCCACCTAACTACTAACTTACCGGCGTGTGGCTTAAGTACGGCTGAGCGGACGGGAAGCCCTGTTCTCCACACCCTGTGGTCGTATGTACTGGATTCACCAGTGAAAGGCATCATATAGGGTTTATATTAAGACAGGCTGTAGAAATAGACTAGATCTAACTGCCAATATTCCACTAGAAGATGCATGGGTGTGACCCTGGGTGATTTTAGGGTGAGCGCCGCTTTATTGTCGCGCGACGGGGTTGAGAAGGGTGAGTGCGTAATAGATGGGGTGAGAAATCATAGTAGGAATCACCTAAGTCGCGCGACTACACTAACCCCCTTAGCTAAACAACAAGATGTTATTAGCTTATACCCTTCCCCCTAAAACGCTTGGAATCTTAGTATATACACTGAGCCATGAATCAGCAAGCAGTGGCAGTGGGTCTAAAGTGGCTTGCAGTGACTGTACTCTGAGCTATTTGACAACTCTTGCCAACTCCCAATTCAGCCAGCAATTGGTAGGCCGTCCATGGTTTCCAGCCGTGTCTCTAGCTGCTCAGGCGGCGCTTCATTCACTTTGACCCAAATATCCTCGCTATCTTTGCCAGTCACTTCAGCACTTACAAGATCATCAGTACAAACAAACCAACAGTCGCTGTAACGCTTGTTTTTAAATATTGGTTGAACATGTGACAGCTATCTTCTTGAGTTACTTACTAACCCTACCTAACTTTAATATCAATGCGCCGGTCCTGAAGATGCTAGAGACAGTGAAGGAAGAAGCCTTCACGGCTTTTAATTCACCTCGTCTCGCCGAGGATGTTGAATTTTATGCTCCCGGATATCTTGCCATGGAAGCGAAAGGTCGTGCTGCAGAGTATGACCCAGCACCTTACGGAGGACTTTGAAATCTATCACTTCAATCATTGAGATCTCTGATTTCTAACATTCATCCTCCCACGCACCTTAATAGCTTCTAATCAAGATTATTTCTTATCCATCTTCCTTATTTCTCGTTGTGTTTAGAGAGATAAGCATCTCTCTCTTGTCCTAGATCTTCTTCCTTTCTCTATATCTCGGATCTATATCTCCATATCTTAACACATTCAGCATCCTCATGCTATGTGGTTTCAGGATAGCCCCTAAAGACCTCGGTCGCATGAATTCTTGATTGATCTTTATCAGACAGTGACCTAGTCACAGATGGCAAATCGGAAGTATGAGTATCTAAACTCCCTGAATGAACACCTTTTCATATGGACCAAATAAATATCTATTAACTAATGGGATATGCATTACAAACAAATATTTGCTTCTTTTCCATGTGCCACTGGTGCGATCTATGGTGCATTCAACAAGCTTCTTACACAATTCTTGAAACAAAGGGGAAATCTCAAAATTTACACCAAGGGTTTCAACGGCAAGACACCCCTTGATTATGTCGAAGAAGAAGCCAGCCGCAAACGTCAGTGACCTTTTTGGACGTCTTTGCAGGATCTGAGAGATGCCTGCAAAGATTGACTAGACCGCCACTTGATAGTTGTTTTTCTGATCGTCTTTTAAGTATCGTAATGTTTGGGAGACGAACTCCTACCTGAAATTAAATAAACTATTTCATTTCTTGAACCATATTCTGCGTGCCCGCGGTTTTTTTCCAAATGTGGGACTCAGACTTTAATTTAATTCCTATTTGGCTTTGTATCTCTTTGGTGGGCTTCTCGGATTTGAATTTTAATAAGTTTTTCCGCCATCCAGTAGTCAGATTTCATACTCATAGTGTTAATCACTACGTAACCTTTAGTTATTAGGTGACCCGCCCTATTTATCTCCCTTCCTCCACCACTTACTTCCCCTTTTCCATTTCTAGTATCGAATATTTATGGTCTTTACACCCTCCTTCTTCTATCTTATACACTCATGACCCACACTACTATTCACTATCACCTCTACTACGTCCCTAATTCATTTATACTTATCGTTCTTAAGCAGTGGAATCTGCGTGCCTCAACAGTGAGGTTATTCAAGACTAGCTGCTCCATTCCGAACCCACTCACATTGCTACACGCCGCACTTCACCCATCGACTCTCTTTTCCACCATCATTCATGAAAGTGACACCAATGTCATTAATGACAGCTGATAAGACGCCTTGGTCTTGCTTGCCTGCAGAGAACCGGATTCTGGTACTAGAAGCCTTACTGCAGGATGGCCGTAGCTTGGCTGGCTTCGCTATAGTGTCTCGAGAGTGGCAGATGAGTATTGAGCCCCACAACTTCGCCCAAATCAACCTCACATTGTCACGCCTCGCAGATTTCGGTCCAATGATTCACTGGAATCGGGCTCTTGTAAGCTACATATGGCTTTGCTTGGAACTCCAAAGTTATGATTGCACCCAGTGTTCACCTCAAGGTCTGGAAAACATGGGGATCAGCAACACAGATAATACCCTAATTACCACAGCCTTCCAGCATCTGTTCTCAACTCTCAGCGCATGGGAACCAAATAGCAACTTGCTGCTTGATATCAGTGTTCATTCTCCCAGTGACTCAGAGCACTGGTTCAAATATATAACCTTTGGGCCTCATATCCCCTCTGATGAGTGTGGTTTGAGTCTATGCACTGAGCAGTCAATGCTGGTCAAACTTGATGACCACCAGCATGGTTGGATTACTGGGAGTCAAAATTCCACTCCATCTAAAGCTGGTATCCACAAAGTTTTCGATGAAATCATAGGTGAAGGACCATTTGATGATAACAAAAAGGAAGACCAGTGGTGGCAGCAACTACCATTAGTCCCAGCAGCAACAGGTGTGCTCCTACGTCAACAGAACCGCCGACGGTGGAAGCCAACTGCATTAGCACAGATGTTTGCCCGTCTTCCCAGACTTCAGGAGATTTACTACGAGCCTTGGAGAGAATGGTGTGATACCCAGCAGGAGTGGACAGATCAAAGTAAGTACCGCTGCATTAGCCCATAATTCTCTACCATGTATGCATTCATTGCTAAATTGCTTACCACTGATCTAGCTTTCCGATCACTTTTTGAATCGCTCGCTTCTAGCAAGCTATGAAGACTCATACTCTTCGAGAATTTTGCTCAACAGTACGCAATAGCTTTCATGGATAGTTTTATGGGTTGCAGTCCAATTCGCATCCCGACCTCTGATATCAGCTGCGCGGTTGCCAAAGCCAGTCTCAAGCTTGAGTACCTCTCAGCATCATTTATTGTGGATGCCAGCTATTTCTTCTATGCCTGTGAACCTCATTGGAAGTGGCCCAGCATGACTTTACTTACGCTGACTTCTCAACTGCTCACACCTGATGAGAGCCCAATTGAGATTGATAACATGCTCCGGCATGACGGATGGCACAGCGCCTGTCTACTGTCGCCGGTTCGTAGAAGATAACGAACCCAGTCATAAGGACTAGGCATGGCGGGTGGTCGTCTACCATGACTGGCTTGATAACCCAACTACACTCTTCGACCAAAAGCCAAGATTCGATTCTATTCCCGAGTTTCTGGATTGGTACGGCAGCTGAGACAAGGTTCATTAAGACATATCGGGAGCCATGTGTATGAGAACACACCTTGTTAATACTAACACCATCCATAGTTGAATCCAACCCATGCCGCATGAGCTATGCTCCTAAATAAAGACAAGTGTTCACCCAAAAATTTTAATATTATAGTCCTCTCAAAGCGCTTTCAGTGAACTTATTCCATCTATTACGCCAATATATGCCACTGCAGGCACAAAATGACTGTCCCAACGCTGTATTTGAAACAACGCAGCTCTTGCTAGATGGAGAACAATATGAACGCGTTCCAGCTACGCCACTCACTAGTCCTGTTGCTATCGTCTACATCCCTGATACTCATAACACTCAAATCAGCGTTCCAGATGGACACATCCTGATCCATCTTGGTGATCTGACGAAATCGGGATCTTTCAAGGAAATTGAGGCACCACTCACTTGGCTATGCGCCGAGCCTCACCCCACCAAAATCTTCATTGCTGGTTATCATAGCTATTACTTGATTCAGGATGGGATGACTCATCAGGCCGGGCAGCCTCTGAGCGAGCCCAGCTCGACAGGGGCGACATCATCTACCTAGAAAATTAGAAAGCAACAATCTGCTGTCCGAATGGTCAGCTCACGGTCAGCTCACGGTCTACGGAAGTCCTTATTCTACGCGCCGCGATAACTGAGCCCTTCAATATCCCCAAAGCCAGGACGTAAGGGCTAGCTCAGTGCCAGACGGGATTGATATACTCATCACTCATGGTCCCACCACTTGCTCATCTTGGCTTACTAAAGTTGGACTATGCTCATCTACTACGGACGCTATGGAGAATTTAACCAAAACTGCATGTGTTCGGGCATGTGCATGATGGTGCAGGCACCCACTGGATATTGTTTAATGGACTAGAGGATGTGTACGAACGCACTGTCGCTGTAGGAGGGGTATTGGGAATCTTCGATTTACACCGTGGGATTTGACGAAGGCATATTTCTCCCCAGCCGTGGAAGCAAAATGTTTACTTGTGAATCCATCTATCGTTCGAGGTTCGTGGGATTATGAACGGAGGCAGCTCACGATGGTCTTCATTCAGTGGATCTGATGTCTGTGACTGACAGCGTGTTTTTCAATTCGAAGATAGTTGTTGAAACAGCCTACCCATGGTGCCCCTCGTAGGAATGCCTTGGGCCTGTATATATATTTTGTGGCTCTGATAGTCTGGGAAGGGAAGAGCAATGTCTTGCGTTTATAAAACATATAGCCTGTCATCTCTATGTTTAAAATTGAACAGATCACTATATCATTTCACCTTTACTGTCCTAGTAACTCGTTTTACGCGCAATCGATCAACATTGCACCCCTCTCCCTGAGATTGGGGTAATTCTGAGCCCGATGTCTGCAGTTCAGACCCCAGTTGCTTAGATCATTCAAGCCTTAGAAGAAACCGAGTTCCATTTTCCTCAAGCGTGGCCCTTAATGTTGTCGTAGTTTGTCTTGTTACATGGGATCCGCTTGCGGTTGCTTCCAATGCTTAGAGCCATTGATCACCACCAAGACACGCCCCACCGCACGGACTTCCTAGCCTTACTTTTAACGCGTAATTATTGGCTAAATCAGTGTTTCTGAAATCCCACGAAGAATGTACACGCGACTCTGGAATGCGCCGTTATCTAGCTGAAATGTAGATCAGGAAGATTCAGACTTCGTTAGAAGTACACACTTTGAATCAGTCATGAGTTGTAAGCATCGCGCATAGAGTTACCGTGACAAGTGGGCTCCCATTTTGAGTTTTCACGAGAACTACGGATGTAACAGTCACTTCGAAGGGATCAGGTCAGGTCCGGGTCTAGTTTCGGTGATGTCATGATTAGTCAGCAAATTGAGAACCGGCTGAGAGTGCTGGAAAAATAAAGCTGGGCAGGTAAGAAAGCCCTAGATCTCACGCGTTGACTTATTTGACTGCCATGCTGTCAGATGGATTGAAAATCCCACCCGTCAAAACCTCCATACCAGATATCATATCATTTCAGGCGGGCGCTAAATGAGAATAACTTTGAGAAAAACTGGTTGAAAGTTGCAAGTGGAGATACTGGAGCACTATGGTACATGTACCTTGTAGTGCAAAGAAGAAAAGAACGTTACAGTCCGAGTCGGAGACAGTGGGCCACTTGATACGTGGAGTAACACAGATTGATCTGTGCTTAACTGTCTTACAAGTATTCTAAGAAACTCTCCGCATCATCCTATTAGTCTCCATATCATTCTACTGTCTAAATGCGGAAGCCAGCGCTGTCATAACGAGAGATTTCTCAGACAGACTTCAATATGAATACGTAGCATCCAATCTCTGAAAACAGACAAGACTCTATCTCAACGTAATCTAAGTGGCATTGGGTCACCAGCACAAAATGATATAAAGCTGCTGCTAAGGTCTGGGTATGTTCCCAGATCAATCTCATCTTCTATCACCACACCTCGCCTTCCTTCAATCAATTATTCAAAATGAAGTTCATCGGAACCGCTGCTTTTGCCCTCACCATGGCCACTGTTGCCATGGGTGCCAAGCTGTCTGAGTCTGCTGCTCTTGCAGATGCCAAGAGCCAGTGCACCGTCGGCGATATCTCTTGCTGCAACTCGAAGGAAGAGACCGAGGCCGACGGCATTCTCGGAAACCTTCTGGCTGGAGGTCTCCTGAACGGCCTGCTCGGCAACTCCAACTCTGCTTGCGCCAAGACAAGCCTCCTCGACGACCTTAACATTCTTTGTATGTAGTTCCCCACTGGATGAAAAAAGGAGGGAGATACTGATAATATCTATAGCCTCAAGCAAGGATACCGATTCTGGTCCCGTCTGCAAGAACATCATTGCCTGCTGCCCTGAGGGAACCAAGGAGGTAGGTTATGTTAATACCTTCCAAAATATCACCCAGATTCTAACCAATGGTAACTATTAGTGCATCGCTATCGACAACTCCGGCAGCTCCGGTAAATCCAGCAAATAGATCAATGACGCTGGAGAGACGAGATGCCTAGAAGGAATAATTTAAGGCTTACATTTGTTTGCTCTTCTCCTGTTGCATCTTCGTTGTATGGAGTGATGCATAGCAGCTCCAATCAAGTTAGTTAGATCGACAAAATGAAATTGCTTTAATCGAAAAGAACAGTGATTACTTTCAGAAGACAACCAAATCCTCTTTCCACCTGAAAGATCCTGGATTCCAACCTTCTCATTTTACCTTGCATGTAAAGAATTATTTAATCATGACCTATGTGTTTTCATTGTAAAGACCAAAAACCAAAGTAACACCGCATCCATCACAACAGCGATATTGACTAAACTGATCCAGAAGATCTGCTTGGTTGTACAGTCCCAATAATGAGGTCCCAAATTAACACCTAAATATTGTTTTATGTACTAACACGAGCACTTCGACGATTAGATATAGGGCGAAGTTAAAAGTAGCCCCCCACTCCTTGATCTTCGGACCCCTCTCCACCCACCTAACCCCAATTGGGGAAGGTGTAGTATTTGTTTTACCAATGTCTACGGTATAGGTACGAAGTGACTTGGGAATTCAAGTTAGCCCGGAAGGTATTCCCCCTAAGTTATACCTTCCTTACTACACTACGTACAGGTAGGAAGTTAGAGGCAATAAAAGAAGCTCTAAGGGTCGTTTTGGGAGGGGGTGTTGGTGGCGGGTTCGGAGGACACCTCTAGGCATACATACGGACTACCTCGAATTTCTCTATGGGATTTCTCTATGGAACTCCTAGGGTTTGTACCTAAATCGTATGACATTGGGAAAACAAATACTACGCCTTCCTTAATTATGGCTACTAGGTGGGGAGGGAGTTCGAATATCAACAAAAAGTGGTCCTTTTAACATTGCCCTAAATATACAAAAAAGAGTTGAGGTTCTTGACAAGCAGGTTCAAATATATATATGATATGACTTCCAACGTTGCGTATGGATCAGCATGACTTAATTTATTTTACTTTAACTATTACAAATCCAGAGATTATTTACCACCACACTAAAAAAACACCCTTTAATTTTAAGTGCAGCGTGTATCTCCCTTCTCCGGGTGCTCAAATTTACTAGAAAGAGGCGAGTCTATAGCACTAGATCACCGCCATTAACTAAATAAACGCACCGGGGAAAAATCTGTATAGTGACAGATTTATTTTTAGGAAAGCTTGCTATCGGTATAAAGATATGTCCCTTGCCTCTTGATCAAGTGTTTGACAATCATGTTAGGTACATGTAATTACAAAAAGCCTCTAAGCTATGCCTTTTTCCAAATGTCGATCCTCAGTACAAGTTTGAGATACGAGAAGTTTAGAAACAAACTCAAATGCCAAGCTGACTTGAAAAGATAAATTAGACATCGATAATCATGTGGTAGCATGTGTGTATTTGGAACGCCAGATGGAGAGGAGGTCTGAATAGCCAAGGCCGATGTACAGCAGGGCTCGGATCAAACCACGTAAACACGTAGACAGTTCCGTCTCATGACCACCACACACTCGCCAACCTATTATGAGCAGGAAGTGTCTACAAATACTAAGCATTGTGAACAAATTTGGCCTTGGGACTAGCGAGGCTAAGTTCGTAGTATTCTCCGATCGACATTTTTTGTCGCATTCTTGACCTACCCGAGGTTTTGATTATGGCCGGAGAGCTAGGGTGACAGTAACCAGAAAATGAATGTCAAAGACTCATCCAATTTTGTAGTAGCTGATTGTCTATGTTTGGGCAAGCTCGATCCAAAAGTACTTTGCTTAACCCACGGTGGAAATTCGAATGCTGATCGAGCCCGATTTAGTCGTGGAATTTCATTTGCTGCATTCTATTGTGGGCAAATACTGTAGTTCCTGCAACTATTGCTCTTGCCCCCAAGTCTAGATGGAGATACATGCCTATGCAAGAGCTTTCGTTTAAAAGAAGGAAGCGGGCAGGGTTGTCCGGTCGCGATCCAGGAAGCCTTTTCCGGAATTCTACAATACGAATATCGCAGGGTAAGAGCCAGATTAGCTTTGCAACGTCATCTTAACAAGCTGCTGATTGGCCGGAACTTTTGTTTCTGGGACCGTTGCATTCGTTGAGCACTCGTCGCCCCTGGCCCACTTCCTATTTAGGCCATCAGTCTACAAGGGGCTCATTGGTATCATGAACACAGTCAGATCGCCACTTACATAGACCAGAAAGACACGGAATAGCTCACTTGTGATCCATTCGACCCTTCCGGGTTTGCATTCAGATCGGGTCGTCACCTTCCAATCTTTCTCTTGCATATAGGCGATCTAAGTATAGAAATAGTCACAAATTTTGATCGATTCCATGATGAAGGAAAGCTACATTTCCACAAAGTCCAGCTGACTTGCTGTAACAAATGTACTGCGTTGAAAGAGATAGTCTTGGTCTTTGTCTCTGATGTAGATCATCTAGCAAAGCGGTGGTTGGGTTGGTCATTCCAGATTCTCGGATTGACATTCCTGGCGATCTCTGGAGAGGCGTAGTATTGTACCATTTCAGTAAGGAATTACTCCGAGAATAGCAGTAAGAATAGTTCCGGTATCACATTCCTTCTCAATTACAGTTATCTACGTCACAAATAAGGAACATAGGGGTCCAACACAAATGTATAAATTACTGTCGTGATCCCGCCTGTATTCAACATCACACTTCATATTGCACTCTCACCTTAAACCAAATCCAAACTTCCAATCCATCAGAATGCAGATGACCAGCTTCACCGCCATCCTGGCCTTGGCCATGTCCGTTGCCGCCGTCGCACCCGTTGCCCAGAAGACCAACATGGGGTTGACCAACTCTGCCGCCATGAGTTATGCGAAGGGCCAGTGCAGCTCCGGCGACATTGCTTGCTGTGACTCTAAGGAGGTCATCAGCGGTGACGGCATTCTCGGCAACCTCCTCGCCAAGGGTGCCCTGAACGGCCTCCTCGGCAACGACGATGCCGCCTGCGCTAAGACCAGCGCTCTCGACGATCTCAATGTCCTAGGTATGTTTGTCCCGATATCCATTTCCTCCGCAGCTTACTAAAATCCTACAGCCTCCACCAAGGACACTAACTCCGGCCCCGTCTGCAAGAACATCATTGCATGCTGCCCCGAGGGCACTGGCAAGGTAAGAACCAACTTCACTTCCCTCAAGTCAAAACTTACACTGACATGACTCATCTTGATAGTGTACCGCCATCGACGGCGCCGCTTAGAACTCCGAATTCTAAGCGCAAGAATCTTACAATAAAGACACTCCTCATGCACGTGGTTGAGGATTAACGCGTCTTCCCTGAGAATCTCGCGCTGTGCTGGCCGTTTTCAATTGTTTTTATCGTCGTGATATGTCGGCCATGGTATTCTATAGTAGCTCGTTAATAACCAAATAAGAGAACCGCCTGTCACGATAGGCGGAAGCTTAGGCCGGTGCTTACATTTGACTGTAGACTCCTGTAGCTCCCTCCAAACTGTAAGCCCCAAAGTAGATTGAACTCGCAGTTCTCATAAGATTACCTGCCCCGCCAAAATCTGTGGAAAACACGTCGAAACAGGGCATGTAACGTGTATCAACCAAGTTCACGTGTCCAAACAGAGCATGTGTTACACTGAATCAGGAAGCCCCGCCGTTGGATTATTGAGAAATGATCGGCTGTCTATCTATACCTAAAATGAAGACCAGGAAATCTACGCTCAAGGCCGACATAGTTAAGACCTCCAGCTGAATCAGGTAGACGTGACATATCAGTCACTGAAATCACTCAAGTCTTTTTCAAGGTCTATAAGAATGCGCGGAATATAATATGAGAATTAGTTTCTGGAAACAACGTCATGGCACTGGCTGGTACTTCTGGTTCTGGAGGAAAAGTTCGCTCGATCTCCACCTCATTTTGCTATCCGCCAAGGCCGTGAGCTCTTCGCCATGCTGGCCGTCGTCGAGCGCACGTTGAAGTCTTCCATCTCGCCGTTGTCGAACACAAAACCACGTAAAGGCACCGATAAGTAGGGCACCTGCGACTGCAGCGCCGCAATAAACCCCGATGTGTGCCTCATTTCCCAGATCATCCCATTTCTGGGCCAATGTTTGCGCTGGTTTCTTGTTGATCACCGTTTTTGCGGTCGAGTTTCCGCTACCCACAGAATCAGTCACGAGAAAATGCGGCACAGAACCTAGTCTGAGATGACTAGCCCTGCTGTTTCGCGGCGGAAGAACTCACCTAACCACTTCAATGCTCTCGTATGTACCAGTGTTTCCTGAATACTTGTACTCCTTCCCACTGTGGAAGTCCTGAACTCGGATCTTTTGTACCGACATGGTGAATGGTACATTGGTCCAGTTGACTAGGCCACCACCCCATTCAAGATTACCGGTTGACTGTCCCTTGACACCAACTGGCCAGTTGCTAACCTTAACTTGGCATGGAGTTTGCGGGTAATTCTTGCCATAAACAGTCAAAGGCTCCGAGTAGTTCACTGTGCGGACTAGGTCGCCATCAATCCACCATTCAAGGCGATCCTTATCCCAGTATGACGTGTAGTTGTGGTACTCGGTATCCGCATTTGAAACAGCATGGTATCCACCTCGGTCACTGGTAGTTGTGTTTCCCTTTCCAAAGAAGTCGGATTGAACACCGCTAGTGTTGTATCCCACCCACTCCCAGTCAATCTCATCCAAGTCATCAGACTGCAAGATGACGCTGCTGATAATGCCCGCTCCTTTGGCCATTTTGACATGCGCTTCCATAACCCCGAAGAAGATATAGAAGTTGGATACCAAGAGGGTGGATGCATTCTCAGTCTTGATTGTGAAGTCTGCTCCCTCCGATGTGTAATCCAGTGTTCCAGTTCTCATGTCCCAAAGTTCACTATTAAGAGTCGAGTTGAACAGCCAAGTATGCTCGGTACCGAGGGCAGCATCGGGGTCGCATGTTTTGTTGAGGGGGTTACAATCCGTGCCGGTATATTCGGCATTCGTGAAACTGAGTAATGTGCTCAAAGCAACGAGGAGGAAGGGAAACCAGGACATCATGATGGTTGAGTTGTGTGCCGTGTCAACACGGTTTGCTCGTTCCGATCCGAATGGGCCGATTGGCTATATCGGTGCTGCTAATGCAGTCTAGCTAGAGATTGAGCGAGAAGATTGGTAAAAGGGTATGTATCGATGTTCATCAAGGATTCGGAATGAAAGTGTCCATGTCTGGATTTTTAAGAACTGAAAATTCCACATCACTGATGGCAAAATCAAGATTAGGGAGGTCAATAAGCGAGGCTAAAAGAGTTATCGATGATTCCACCTGTAATTAGAAGCCATCTATGCTTGTTCCAGCCTAGCGCATAAATTTGTGCCAGATTCATTTGAACTTCTTAGTTTATCTCCGAGACCGAGGCGAGCTTGCGAAGCCTGCGAAGCTTGGCTTCGCGCTAATGCTGTCTGTATCCACTCTGCCAAATTAGATGGAGACGTTTGCTGGATTTAGTTAGCGGACTATCCAGGCACCGGTCTTTTATGCCCAACGATTGGCTGCGCTAATGTTTTTAACCCGCCAACATCCGCTAAAAGAAAAGTATTCGAGAAATTGATTCGTCTACCCTGTTTGGCCGAGACAAAGAAGACGCTAATCAAGTCAGGAAGATGGCAGTTTAACGCGGCGTTCAGGAGTAAGATAAGACCTGTAGTGAAATTGAATTGCAAATTGTATCTGACGGTCTTTATTTCTCTTCACGAAAACCAAGACGAGAAACACCTAAGAAACGGAACATGAGGTGTCAATACTCTTGGAAGATACCAGCTGCATCAATTTGTTGTCCTTAGCAAACAATACCATATCAGCGGATCCCTGCTGAAATTGCGGCCAGGAAAAGTAACTCTGCTGTGTCGGATTTGCGGCAACATTTCCTAATGCTGCACGGACAGGACCGCGCGTGGGGTCCTCAGCAAAGCTTAGCCATAATGCTTCCATAGCGTAGCTAACCTCCCATTCAAACCTGGTTGAGGCGCCACCATACTCGGAATGTGTTCCGAATAGCAGAGGTAGCTCTGAACTATGGTAGGCACCAAACCAAGGCAGAGGAGAAATGTTTGAGAAGTTGCCAGCATATTCGTAGCGATAAGTTGGAAGGTCGCCAAGGTGGCGGTTCTTAGCTTCTGATGCGACAGGGCAGCTGATAATCTTTGTAGCGCCGGCTAGTGCTTGCTCCCCGGGTCCCTCGGGGGTGAATGACACAAAGCCAGCACCTTCATTTGAATTGCTACCGATTATCATTGGCTAGAATATTGGATTGTGTTAGTATTCTCACGAATCTAGTGCTTAGGATCTGCGTACTGACTGTTTTGGCGACTTTTCCATCCAATACCCGCTCGGTCCAGTTTGAAAACGCAGTTTTGTTGTCGATGACTGGTTTGAACGAGATAGACGGTAATGTATCGTTGCCGGAATAATACGACAATGCATTCTCAAGCGTCTGAGCTGGTACCTTTCTAACACAGCTCAATTCTTTCTCAGGGCTGAGCCCCTTACATCCAACCAGTCCAGCTAAGAAAGTGAAGTTTGTGTGCGCCAAATCACTTCCGCTGACAATACCTGGACCCCCCGAGTCTGCGATAAGGCCAGCAACAAGAGGATCATCGGGATATCCATACGGATAAACGGCAACGCTACCAGCTCCAGCAGATTGACCCCACAGGGTTATCCTCTTCGGGTCGCCGCCGAAATTTCCTATATTGACATAGACCCACTCAACACTATTGGTGGGTTAGTCAAGGATTCTACAAAGTGACTGTTGTTGACTTACGCGAGTCTTTGATCCAAAAACCCAACATTTTGGTCTTCCAACCCCTTCGCATTCGGGAACCCAAAGACATTGACACGATAACTGATCAAGGGTGTCAGCTGATACTTTAAAATCCAATCGCGATATAGCTTACTTCATAATAACAACAATATGGGATTGTGTTCGCTGGACCCACTTGTCAGGAATCTTGTACATAGATGCCTGGCCACCACTAGTAAAGCCACCTCCGGGAATGTAGAGCAGGACCGGCAGCGGACGCTGTTGTGATTGGATGTTGTCAAGACGTGGCGCCCAGATAGAAAGATAGAGACAATCTTCAGAGTTCCCTCCACTGATTAGGAATTCCGACTCATATTCCGTGTAAATTGTTGAGGCACTGGTGTCAAATTGCTGCATACAAGAATCGGGAAGCGAGAATGCCTTGATAATTCCACCGTGCTGCTTTTTCTGTGGTCGGGCGAAGCGAAGATCTCCCACTGGTGGCTCTGCGAATGGGACACCGAGGAATTGTCGAACATCAGGAGCCGTATGGTTAACGAAGCCTTTGACGGACCCAGAGGTTGTTTCGACAAGTAGACCAGAGTCGGTGTTGCTTCTCGGGCTGAGAGTAGGAACAGCGAAAACCCCCAAAGCAAGAGCCGCTAACGCGGGGAAAGCGAGTAACTGCATCTTGAAGACCCACCAGAGATCTCTGCGGAAGAATTGACTGGAGTGATTATTTCATCGGATTACCTTGGCAGTGCGGACCCTTTTATAGCTTGCCCCGGAGTTTTCTTTTGTGTCCATACTGAACGGCAGAATGCTTTTGTGTGGGATATTAGGCCCTGAAAGCCAAAGCGGGGATCTGCTAAGACAATTTAGTGTTAAATATGATGAGAGATCTCAGGAAAAGCACTATGCCGGTGGAAAGACTCTCTGGCTAATCACTTTGTTAAGCGAACTGGCCCTATATTGCGGGGATAGTGCGGGGAAAGTGCCCAGGAAATGCAGGGCTTTCGCTTCCATGTGTCCTCGGCCTCCATTGGAGGGAAATTCTCATCTATAATGTATGCATAATTTGACATAACATCTTACCAGGACCCAAACAAGGGGTGGAATATTGCTATGCCGGTAGTTGTGTAGCCAACCCAAACCTGACAACCCTGAAAGGCGAATGTTGATTGATCAGCAGGATCATCACTTAGCCGGGGTAGATTTGTGGGGTACATCTCCACAGCTCAAGGGGTATTGCATATCGCCTTCAAGTCATTGTAGAATGACAGTGGAGTTTGACTTCTACTAAGGCGGGAAGTGATGATTGGATGTTAAGAGAAAATATGAGATCCCGCCTCCCAGTGAACATGGCTTTTCACACCTGCGCTTTGCAAGGGCAAGAACATCCTTGATCGGGGACTGATAAACAAGGCCCCAACAGTGATAGCATCGTACCCAAAAGTGAGTCACAACAAATCCGCTTCATGTCTCTGATAGTTGTTAAGTTTGATCAGCCAGGTAGAGCAGCGTTACTCACCTACCAAGAAAGATGACGAAAGTACCAGAGCCTCCGAGTTTGCAAATACTGAATGGCTCGACAATTGTGAATGTATGTGATTGACAGGTATGCGTGGGGTCCCCGCGGGAGATCTCGCAGCCGAAAGCCAAGCAGTATGCATTGTCTATTTCTAACAAAGAAAACCAAGTGCATACATGAGTCTCCCCTGCTCTCATTTGCTCACACCATCAATCACGCACCATGAAACCTTTGCACATGCGATCATTATCGTTTCTCATTGAACACACTGCAACCAAACGCGAACTTCTTTTCGATCTCGGCCTGCGCAAGGACCTTTCGGGCACTGCCGCCAACATTGCAGAAGTTTTTCTCCGATTCAGGAGGGGATTTGAGAGTTGACAAGAACGTTTCAAATATTCTTAGAGATCGAGGCCGTTGTTCTTAGCCACCACCACTTCGACCACCTAGGCGGTCTGAGTCAATTTTCTAAAACGACAGATATCGTTGTCGAGCCTGACTTCAAGGCTACGCATCTGCCAGGATGGCCCATCAATCCTGGCTCGTCTCTCATTGATGCAGATTGGACGTGGCGTAATGTACGAGAAATATCATCCCAGCAAGGCCCCAATGTTAAGACTATTGGTGGATTTCAAGCGGTTGACTATTTCGGGGATGGAAGCTTCTTTCTTCTGGATGCCCATGGTTATACAGCCGGGCATCTTGCAGCATTGGCAAGGGTAATCTCAGGAGCCAACTCCGCATCTGGTATCCTTCAACATTCACCAAAGAGACACATTTGTTTTCTCAGCTGGCGACATTTATCATTATCCAAGAACATTTCGACCGAGCGAACACGGACCCCTCAATTTTGAAAATTGTTCAAGCGTTGCAAGCTGTCCCGCAGCATTTTGATATCCACCCTCAAAAATGCTTTGATCAACTGTTTTGTGAAATGCCAGCAGATGCCACCGTGTGACGTCGTTGCTGCAAAACATTCCATACAAAAACTGTGCAGGTTTGATGGGAATAATGATGTGTTAGTGAGTATCGGACATGACGCATCCTTAACTGGGAGGATTGATTTATTCCCCGCAAATGTCAACAATTGGAAGCTGAAGGGATGAAGGATTTACTGCACTGGAGCTTTCTCGGCGATTTTGACAGCAATACAAAGGCTTAAAGCAAGCATAGCACAGCACCAACTTCAACCTGAACTGACATCTGTATCTAAAGACATTTTTTATGTGCGCCTTAGATATTAATACTCGAATTTGAAAAGAAGATCATCTGCCGGATGTGGAGTAGGTAAATCAATCAGTGGGTCACGCCAGATCCAATGTGGGTTCAAGGATCATCACTAGATGGGCCGTAGAGGCCAATCCCAACGAAGAGTTTCAAAGGCAACTGGGAGGCATGTTGAATACATTCAATCATAAAAGAAAATCCCCCAAGGAGGTTTGCAGTGAAGGCCTGTCTTTTGGGGGGAGGAGGAGTAGCCACATATCTGGTCATCAACGATGAACACTTACAGCGCAATAAAGTGGCTGAGCAAGAAACGTCCAAATTTACCAGACTGACCAATTTCGTCCCCCTCGTTATAAAGCTGCAGAATAACTGGTGAGCATCATGGGAGAGCAAGACAATATGTATGACTCGAATACGTAGAACTTCATCATAGGCAATCACACCAACCCCAAATCTACTCTACACCACACTACGCCTTTGTAGCTGCCTACGGTGCATATCCGCAGTCCCAAATGTATTTCCCAGGCAGTTTCGCTTTCCATCAAACTCCTTAACCCATGCTAACCCGTAATATCGTAAAGAGACTCGTCTTCGATTCACTCGACTGGGTATCTTATGCGCTAATGCCGGGGAAGCAGTCGGCGAGGCCCTTATTGTGCTTGTTGGAGGCGTGCTCGAGGAGACTAGATGGAAGGCGTTCGTTAGTAAGATTTAGTCCAAAAGCCAGCGTGAAGAGTGGTGTTCGTGGCGATAAGGACACAAGAAGCTGGAGGCTGAGGATCACGTACGCGGGGGCCTTGGTGGTCTGGAGGAATGTCTGTCTGCACACCTGGCACTGAATGTTGCAGGCCTTCTCGTTCTAAATATCATTTTGAGTGTCAGCAACCGGATATGCAGTTCAAAGGCATTTATTCGTACGCTCTTGGTCTGGGATTTAGCAGACTTGGTTTGATTCTGGTTGCGCTCGCGCTCGCGCTTCATTGAAGCCTTCGCTCCCTGTGGATATTGTCAGTCAATCGGCACATCAGCCGGAGGCTCTGAGACGGAACGCAGAAAGTTTTGCGACATCTGCTTCGTGCGCTTCGGATTTGGTCTCACGTTGCCCATGGTTGCGGTATAAGTCTCGTGGTCTGTAAAGGAGGGGAATACGAAATGATAAAATGTGACGGTTGTGTAGTTAGATGTCGAGGGAAATCTGTAATTTTTTGTAAAAAAAAGTAAGAGCGGGTTATCTCCACGTGGGGGGGGGAGATACATGCTTACTCAGCAAACAAAAAATTTGGGCCCCGCGCCAGTCCCGATTCAGTATACTTCGGATCAAGTAGGGGAGAATTTCATTGCTTCAGTGATTGTCCTTACGAAAAATATTGGGAATTTGTACTAAGGATATCATCATTGAGAAATTGTGTTATTCACGTCTCGGCGCAAATACATGAGCCAAATCAGGCGTTCCAATCACTAAAATAATGTGTTCTGTTACAATCTGTGTTGCAGGATTGGGATGACCTGAGCGAAAGCTGGTCAAAGAGAGATCATAGCCGCAGCACAAAGCGTGACTGCGAGAAGGAGGCTACCCTGTACTGCACTTTGGTCCACCAAACTGGCAGCGGCTCCTTTGGAAGTGGAGGTCGCAGCGGTAGGATGATTGGTAAGGGTCCCTGTTCGATCAATTTCTTACAGTTCCCCGTGGCAATATTGGCCGCCTTTATCGTGGCAGCACCATTGAAATCGCAAGCGGGGGCCTTATGGGCATGGAAATAGCGATCGAAGACAAAGGACAGTTGATCGCGACTGGAGCAGACACTGTATGCACCATACTCTCCGGAAGTCGCGTTGTCAGAGATTCCATCGCAGGCGCCCTTCGAATTCCCACAGACCTGCTCAAATAGCTTCCCGAGTTCATGTGGGCCCACGTTGCTCTTAACGACACATTCCAGAGCGTCCAACATGCAGGAACATAGTTCCTTGTTTGGTGCAGGAGGGAGATGGCTGGAAATTACCCGCCAGATATTGTCGACAGTGGGACACGCATGAGGGGAGTTGGTGGGGGAGTAGCTGCCGCTGTTAATACCAGTCGGGCTGGCACTTTCAATTGCCCCAGAATAATAGCTGTAGTCTGCCTGGGCGCTGATAGAGAGGTGGTCTCCAGCGGACACGATTCCGTAATCGTTAGGAGTCTCGAAGTACATGTAGAGTATACCACCGCTCCAGACATTGTTCATATTGGAACCGAAAAGCACAGGCACGTCTTTGAACTTGCGAGGCTTGACAGTGTTGCATCCATATTCGGAGAACAAGACTGGAATTGAGTAGTTTCTTCTGTATTCTTCTGTTCGGGCCTCGTAATCAGATGTCTTGAAACTGCTGTCTCCACAGAACTCGTAGATGTTGTAACCGAAGAAATCCAGAGAGCTCGGTCGATCTCCGCAGTTGAGATAGTCAGAAAGCGATAGGCGGTAATCCTCGTGGTCGGTGGTCGCATATCCAACTGCCAGTGATGTCCTATCCCCTAGCCTTAATGTATGCATTCATGTCTCTCGCCGCAGCTTTGACAAAGGCCGCACCCGCAGACTGATTGGCATGGTTGACGACCTCGTTCCCAGCAAAAAAGCCGATCACATTGTCATATTGGTGTAACGCGTCAATATCCCAGGTATACCGATCGTATTGCTCCACTGTCCATGAAGGGGAGTCGGCAGTTATGGAAACATCGGGAGATGCCAGGTCGGTGATGACATAGATTCCGCATCAGCTAACATCTTCATACATCCGTTGTGGTCCAGCATCGGATCGATGGCGTTGCGGATGACATTGGTCCGCAACTGGACGAGATAGGGAATATCATGGGCACAGTAAGAGGGGCTGATCAGAGGGTCCAGGTACTTGGTGGAATCGGAAGAGCCGATTGTGTTCGTTCCTCGAGCATCATAATCCTCTGGTCCGTAGGTCAGCTCTAAGCTGACAACAGGTAGTCAGGTCAGTCAACATACCCTGGTAGGCTATTCCTCGGATGTAACTGATGACTGAGTTAGTATCAGCGAGACTTGACGGGAAATATGATGACTGCCGTTGTTAGAATAGAAGAACTTCGAGCCCTGTTTGATGGTCAGCGAGCTCATGCGTCCAGTGTTATGAGCACCCATTTTGATCTCAATCTGCGGAACACTCGGCTGGCTGGAAGTTGCTTCCACCAGTCGCAGAAGACTGCTGCAAGGATGAAGCAGATAATCACTTGGAATAAGAGTTTGGTAGCCATCTTGTGTTGGTAAGAAGCAAGAAGGCAGATACCAAGAGACCAGTAAGATGATGAAATAGTCCGGAATGTGTAACTCCAAGAAATCACGAAGTGACGAGGGGGAAAACTAAACTAAACTAAACTAAACTAAACTAAACTAAAGTAAGAGATGTGATATTTGGGTAAAGTCGACGATGGTGAGGAAACAGCAGCAAACCCTCAAGAGGCAAGTGCAACTGGGATGGGAGCCAATACGTCTGCAACCACCAACACGATTTCTATAATTTTTACACAGAGATATTCCAGACAAAGGTTCATGTTTGTAGACACTTTGGCATTGCCTGTTGTACGTTGATTTGACAATAGAGGTCATCAATGTGCATACAGTGGCATCAAGTATTGGACGGTCTATACACGGAAGCCTCGGAGTGAGTATGCCATCTTATACAATGCTTTCGCCTCTTTTTTGCCCATTTCCCAGTGCCCCTGATTGATCATATATATTATATAACGGTGAGGGTGTGAAAAGTCTTATGACCCCTTTTATAAGTAGACTGCCTCGCCATCATAACCTTGGTAGACCTGGGTACCACCGCATTGTAAACATTCTAGTTATTGCTTGTACATTGTGTATGCCCCAGCAGTAAACATAACCAAGGTCTACGCGTAAATTCTATTGACGGTGTTAGTGGTAAAGGTATCCACAGCCCATGAGGCATTAATATGTCAAGATATCTAAGAGGCTCCATTCTGTATGAGAGAGAGATCTAGATACCTCACTACTCAATTTTAAGCGACGGAGGGCCGATGGAAGAGGCATATCAAAGACAAGCATAAGCCAACAGAAACTCCGCCTGTGGCACAGAAAAAGGCATAGAACTTAAAGACCTCGGCTTTGACGTCGGCACCTGACTCCTATCACTGAAATGCACAACATGATTTAGAAACTTTCCTCACTCTTATTTGTCGATATTTTCCAGCACTATCAAGGCATGGTTGCAAGGGATGCCGAGTTTACTTTACGACAACAGTCTCTTCTTCCCGTATGCTGAAACGACGTCTATTACACTATACTCCAGATATCATGCTCTACTTCAGAGAACTAGGCGATAAAGATCCCGGTCAGGTCCATCTCTAGGTGCTTTTAAAACGCACCAGTAACAGGAGCGCCATCAAGCTTGAAGTAACCCGGCTGGAGAGTTTGGTAAACCTTCTTGGGGTCATACTTCTTCGCAATATTATTCAACAAGGCCTTGTTCAAATCTCCATAGCTGGAGATGGGATCTTGGAACATGCTGGCATAGTTCATGTAGATATACTCATTGTATACGCCTGCAGCTTTAGCCTTTGCAACCGCCTGCTCCCAGAAGCTGTTAACAAAGCTATAGCTGGCCTCATCATCATCTTTATTGGTCCACAGCAGGCCGCGTGCATAAGATGAACAGGGCCGTTCGAACCATCCAGCCCGAGAGCGTTGCCGCCATGGTTTTTCATGTTGTTGAGCATTGGCTCGGTAATACCCTGATAGACGAGGACGGGTTGGGCGCCGGCAACATTGGCTACCTGGGGAATTATCGAGTAGAAAAGTGTGACAACCCAGTTGGAGAATTCCTCATCAAACTGGAAAGCGAGTGGCCAGTATGCCTCACGAAGGCCGAACGGGTTCTCAAGCTCGAGATACTTGACGTACTCGACTAGAGTCTTAGTACTCGTTACGTCGGAAACTGCAGGAATGCTTTTGTATTGCTTGAAGATCTCCGGGTCGGTGACATTCTTTGTGTAGGTCAGCTCAGCCGAGGCAAGGTCCATTCCGCCGATCTGAAGGAAGGCAACATATTGCTGAGCATGGCCATCCACGGAGGCGTTGTTGACGACATTGATGAAAGCGTTGGTAACTTCGCTGAAGCCAGACTCCGAGCCAGTCACGGAGCTTCGGAGGAAGCTTCTCGCACCGCCACGCATAACCGGCGCAGGGATGGTGTAAAGGTTATATTTAGTGACAAGACCAAAGTTGTTGCCGCCACCCCGCAGAGCCCAATACAAGTCCGACAAAGAGGAGTCACTTGCGGTAACAATCAAACCATTAGCAGTGACGACCTACAGCCCGTTAGTAACTGGTTGGTTGGGAAGTGAAGATGATCTTACCTCGAAGCTTTTAACGTTCTCACAAGCCCATCCATACAAGTTAGAGTGATAAGAGATGCCGCCACCCAAAACGAATCCACCAACACCGATGCTAGCAGCACGACCTCCGATGGTAGCGAGCCCGTAGGGCTCCAGTGCGGAATAAACCGACAGCCAGTTGTTTCCAGGTCCGATGGACGCGACAGATTTGTCACGGTTCAAAGTGACTTTGTTCATGTCTCTGAACCAGATGCTAATTCCACCAGGTCTGCTGGAGGCACCCGTAAAGGCAGCATGACCGCCGCTCCTAGCAGCAAACTCACAACCAGTAAGACGGGAGAGCAAGACTGCAGCACTGACTTCAGTGTTTACCACAGGCCGGAAAACACAATGTGGCTGGACCTCTTCTTGCTGCACAGACCAGAACGAGCCAGTGAAGTTATTGTACCCAGTAGTATTTTGAGTTGACACCTTAGATCCAAAAAGGAAGCTCAGACTTGCACACTAAATTGGCACAATTAGTATTGGTTAAGGCCAAGTGAGCCTGAGATCATAGCTCCGACTGATCCAAGTTTCTCACTAACCGCAATAGAGCACGATTTTTCGCGTGACCGGGATTGGATGCTAGACAGCGATTGCAATGCCGGAATTTTCAAAATGTCCACACCTAGATCTTTCAATGCGCTGGTGATGTTGAAATTATCTGGTTCAATTGTACTGACGTGCCCAAGGGCAACTCCTCCAATCGCGGATAATCCGCCAAGTAAGGTCCAAGCATGAATGATAAAAAGTCTTGACGGTCAGGAACAAACACAACAAAATAGGCAAAGCCGCAGAGAAAAAGGGTTGGAAGAACAAGCGAGGTAGAGAAAGTATGGCCTCTTTTAAACCTCCAGTCAGCCGGTCGAATTGGATCTAAGTTGGATCCGATGGGCTCTTGGAATATAGTAAGGGAGCCATTACCCCTGCGTCGAATACACTTTTGTAAACACAAGAGACAACTCCGCTTCGATTTGTCAGCGAAACGGCATAGCCCGGTTCAATGAGATATTGTGCTAAGCGACTGGGCTTAGAACGCCACGCATGAAAGCGGTCGTTGGGCATATACTTGCCTAATATGCGCTAATCCGAAGAGGACTAGATCCCGATCGATATCGAAATCTAGTCCTAAATAGGCCTTGCCCTACACGATTGCAATGGGGCCATACAACGAGAGCAATTTTGGGTCCCTCGTTTGTAGAAAACTTCGGAATTCGAGTCGCCCACCGTGGTTAGACCAAGCGTTGTTTCGCTTGCCTGAGTGGCCCGGCCAGTGGTGGGGGACCTGCCATGGACCCCGCGCTCGGTATAGATTTGCCCTGAGACTGAGTTTTACCATCCCTGTATGGTGCATGAAGCTGATTCTAGGGAAGTCGAGGCCAGTGGCCACCCACTAGATGACTGCAGCAATGTGTGGTAGAACTGGTAGAAGAAGCTTATATGGATGTTGGGCGTTCCGCACTACCCTGCAGACTTTCTTCAAGTTTCACGCGCAGTCAGTGATGTGGGCATCCTCGGAGGGCAATTTTGGGCCCCAAACAATCAAAGGAACCGGGATCGCTTTGATCGTGCTGACCTCACTTGTTGTGGGTACTCGATCTGCCGGCGCATTCGAAGACCCAAAGACCTCAAAGCGGAGGACTACCTTCTGATCGTGGCCTATGTCTTCTTTTGGAATTGAGCATCCTTTACATCTACATCGCCCCTGCCATATTCCGAATAGCAGCACTCCCGGCTGGAAAAATCCCGATTTATGTGACCGTTTTGCAAGACTTAGTTCATTTGCAGATTGTTTTCTTCGTCACAACCTCGTCGCTATGGCTCTGTTTGTGGATGAGCAAATTCTCGCTTTTGTCGATGTATAAGCGATTACTAGTTGGCAAACCATACCTCATCGCCTGATGGGTGATTTTGGTATTCTGTATTCTGGTACAAATGTCCCGATCGACTGTTATGTGTCCCCACACACCGGCCCAAACTTCGCCAGTATCTCATCGGCTGCATTCTATCATCATGGTTTTCGTGCTCAAGCTTTCATTCGTGGTTTACAGCGGGAGAATGCTCCACCCCACGAGATCATCGCGCCGCCGTCATCAGCTTATACTTCGCTGTGGATATCATTCCTGATCTAGCCAATACGTGTCATATTCAACAAGAACGATTTTTAAATGAAATAGCTGACCCATGACAGTTATGGCTTTATCTCTACGTCTGATCTAGAATCTCAACATGAAACCAAGACAAAAAATGAGCATCAGCGGCCTGTTCTGCCTTTGGTGGATTTGTATAAACATACCTACTATCCGAGTCCTTCAACTAGGAGAATCAGTCTATGGCGTCCCGGCTCCATCATGGCTAGCCATGTGGGCATCTATCGAGGCCGCAATAGGTAAGACATCATGTTGGCCTTTCGTCCAGTCGCCTTTCGGGGCCTTGCTAACCGCAGCTTTGATAGCTGTCTTGATCGATTGCTGTCCCGTTCTCTATCGAGTCATCAGAAACGGTATCTCGCCCTCCAAACAATTCCATTCATGTGACTCGTACAACATAAGTAGCCACCCCCGGGGGCCCGGGGTGGGGGTGGAGGTATACCATAACACCGATCAGGTGGGCTGAGAGAGACGGACATTGCCTTGAGCAGATTTACGGGAAAAGTGGAGGCATATCAGTCCGCAAATGCCTATCGGTCATCCAGCCCAGCAAGCAGTCAAGAGACACTCGCCCATCCAACAGACAGGCGCACTATAATGGTCCACTATGGGGTTGCGGCGACGGTAGAAGATCGTTCAAGCGTATATGACCGGACGGCGCGCTTTGTATGATAAAATACTTTTATTCCCTATGGACAAGAATAAATCCCGCCCAGTCCAGATACCACTGAGGCTCAACAGGCTAATACAACTTTGATTTGATTGATTGATTGATATAGTCAGGCCTACCCGATACATGATGAACTGAGTGAAGCTAAATTGATCGTCCCTCGATAGCCATATTGCTAGTTTCCCATTCCAGCAGGGTATCAGAATTGGACAAGACTTGGGGATGAGTCGGACCTAAAACTTGTTGCTGTTTGGTCACGCAGGTTTTGAGCAAATCGATTGCTTCGGCATTTCGACCTGTAGATTCCCAGGTGAAGGCAAGGTTTGCCATGCACATCAGCGTGTCAGGATGGTCCGTGCCGAGCTTCGTCTTGCTCGTCTCCATAACCTGCACCTCAAGCTGCTCGGCCTCCTCCCATCGGCCCTGGTTCCAGAGCGTCGACGCTAGGTTGGCTATGCTCGTCAGCGTATCAGGGTGGTCCGCGCCGAGCTTTGTCTTGCTCATCTCCATAACCTGCACCTCAAGCTGCTCGGCCTCCTCCCATCGGCCCTGCTTCCCAAACGTCGACGCTAGGTTGGCTATGCTCGTCAGCGTGTCAGGGTGGTCCTCGCCGAGCTTCGTCTTGATCTTTTCCATAACCTGCACCTGGAGAAGCTCGGCCTCCTCCAGTCGGCCTTGCTTCCCATACGTCGACGCTAGGTTGGCTACGCTTGTCAGCGTAGAGGGGTGGTCCTCGCCGAGCTTCGTCTTGCTCGTCTCCATGACCTGCAACTCAAGCTGCTCGGCCTCCTCCCATCGGCCCTGATTCCAATACGTCGACGCTAGGTTAGCTATACTCGCTAGCGTGTCAGGATGGCCATCGCCTAGCTTCGTCTTATGAGTCTCCATGACCTGCACCTGGAGCTGCTCGGCCTCCTCCCATCGGCCCTGGCTTCGATAGGTCACTGCTAGATTGGCCATGCTCTTTAACGTGTCAGCATGGCCCGAGCCGCCGAGCTTAGCCTTGCGAGTCTTCATAACTTCTAACTCGAGTTTCTCAGCCTCCTCCCATTGGCCCTCAAGCGAATATGCCTCTGCTAACATTGCAGTACTTGCAAGGGCTTCTTCATCCTCAGTCCCAAGTAATTTCACCATGTGTTTTCTCGATTCCGATGCCATTTCCCGTAAATCCGGGATATTGCCACATTCTTGCGCATACCATGCCCCCCTATAAAGTAACGCAGCCCACTTTCGTAGCGTGTCTTGCGATTTCGGTCGATGTGACACCGCTGATCTGACATGTGGAAAGAGTGCCCGGCAACACGCCCAATTTTCATATTCTCCAGTTGGGAAGTCCCGATGTAGATTATTGATAAACCTTCCCTTCCAGTGTTCAAGTTGCCCATGAGTTTTCAACCACACTCGCACGGTCAATTGCACTAGTCGATGCATTGTGAGCACTGCGTTATTACCTCCGACCGAGATCAAAGAATAGTTGCATAGTGTTGTGATATCATCTTCAAAACACTGATCTGTGTCAGATTCACACGAACTGTCACTATCCTCCTCATTCGAACTATCCTTATCCCGTCCCGGACACGAGGTCTCATTTCTTTCCTGACATTGCTGGACTTGAAGAACACTTTCTTGAATTCCCTGCCGGTCGAAAAAGCTCATAAGAGAGAGTAGGCCAGCTGCGGAAGGTCTCACATTCTGAATATGGTCAAAGGAGATTTGCCATGTGAGCAGAATGGAATTCTTGGCCTCCCAGTCTCGGTATAGAAGACCTGCCTCGTGATTGAGTAGCCGTACTGCTTCTCGATCACTTTTTTGGAGCTTTTCGAGGTATTGTAATACTGAGCAGCGGGGTGATCGATATGTGATATAGCCAGCAGCGTGTACGATCGCGAGTGGCATGAATTCAAGTGCCTCTGCTAGCTGCACCATATTCTCGCGCTCTGCCGGTGTACTTAGCTTCTTCTGTAGCAGATCCAGCGCTTCAGCCTCGTTCATTGGTTGCACTTCGATAGAGTTTTTGTGACCAGCTATATCCAGTGCCACTCCTCTATTTCGACTCGTAACAATGATAGAGCCGTAAGGGCTTTGGAAGAGATATCTCAGCGGTGGTTGCGTCAAGGTTTTATTCTGGATATTTACCTGGCTTCCCGTACCGGTCGCCAAAGTTCTATGAAGGAGTTCATCGTCGTCTACATTATCCAGAATGAGAATCCATTTGCCGATTCTGTCATCTTGTAACCAGTCCCCGACGAGTTGGAATATATTGGCGTTATGGTCCTGCCGCCCGGGAATCTTAGCTCGATCTGCAAGGTCGCGGAGACTTTTCTCACAGCGGGCCGCGTTACTCGCGTGGATCCAGAAAATCGACGTCTCTAGCGATTGCTGTCGAACGCGATGAGAATACTCAAGGGCAAGTTGTGTTTTTCTATTGCATAGTCAGTATTGATGAAACGCTCCTACTGTGGGTTGATCTGACCCGACCCCCCCAAGACCGACAAGCGCTATCCTAGACCCCGGTATCGAGACTTTCTCGTCGATTTGTTCAAGTAGCGCCTCACGGCTGACAAAGTCTGGATCTGGCGGGAACGGAACAGTCCATAGAGGCTTTGGGCAGTGTTCCGATATCTCTAGCAAGGTGTGAGAGTTAGTAAAGCTCGGATCTCTCTTTCTATCACCTACCTGCGTGTTGATGATGATGGATCCCTCCATGGAAAGTATGGCTGGTGCTGTGATCTGCGTACACTGCGGATGCTCTTCCATGAGATTCGGCGCTAATATGAGACATTTGAATGATCTTCATGGGCTTCTCTGTAGCCGTCTGTTCGAACGTAACCATCGTGTCCGCGTTAATTGGTGTTGTCGATATGGAAGGAAAGGGAAAGTTGAGTTTTTTCTTCAGTATCTGGTGGTCAAGGTCAAGAGCGAATATGGTAAATAAAGGTTTGCCGGCCACCATATGGCTACTGCTTTCCCCGGGTCACATTTCTTAGCGTTTCGCCCGCTCTGTGAAAATGCTGCACGTCGTCGTTCACTGTCACACCAGCTGCACTGGGTCCAACGTGTTGCATTGCAATTGGAGATGAGCAATTTGGGGGCTGAATTAACGCTAGAAGTGTTTCAGGATGGGGTTGTAACTAGCTCGATCGGGTAAGCCCACTCCTCCAACGGCCAAGAATCAGCAAATCAATTCGCTAACAGCACCCAAGTCCTTAGCTCAAGGCAGCTACAGGCAACAATCAAGTTGTGTCGGTTTTAGATGCTGGCGGTCCGCCCCGAAAAATAAATATCCGGCCAATCGCCTTTCACGCGTGACTCTTAACTCTTATCACGAAAAGTACGAGAGAAAGGAAACGAAAATCACATATGAAAAACCAAGAAAGCGCGTGACCCCTAAGCTTTTACTCAAAGCCAAGATCTCGCGACCTTACGGTACTGCACAAATGGAGACAGCTTTCGGTGTTGTGGGTATTACTAGCATGGCGATACACAGTATCAACAGTCTGATCCAGGATATCAATGCTGTCAAAGATGCACCGAATGTGATAGCTGATCTCAAAGATGAGCTGATAGCCATGGAGGCGGTTCTTGTGGCTTTGGATAATGCGCGCAAGAACTCCCAGCTTGAAAACCTCACAGCCGATGTGCAGGTGGCTTTGCAGTTGGCCAATACCAACTGCCAAAAGTCCTGCGAAAAGTTTCGACTGAAGCTGAGGCAGTGGACTAAGCACTCTGAAGACGGTCTCCACTGGCGAGATCGCTTTCGCGTCGGCTTATTCGCTGAAAGGTCCGTCAAGGCTTTGAGTGCACAGCTTAACTGCAGCAAGTCAACTATGAACGCAGCGGTTAGCACAGCAGCATTGTAGGTATTCTGTTTGCGTGTGCAAACTATTATCAAGCATAAGAAAACTAACAACCTGGAAAGGATATCGTCCTCAGCCCTGTCCTCTGACACGAAAGGAAGAGATCTTCGCACTAAGGAAATTGAAATTTCGAAACAGATAGTCGAGATCGATGAACAAAACGCTTTAGTGCAGTTAGCCCCACAGAATTTCGCGGAAGCGCCGCTCTCAGAGAATGAGGATCGCTCCGAAGTGATGGAGCAACTCCGAGATCAACGTGTTACTCTTGATGAGTCTCGGAAACTCTTGGAAGACCTGCTCGCGCAGGCTCACCAGGTACGCACGGGGGAAAAGATCACTAAGGTTGAAATAAGCGATGGTGGAAAGCTCATTGTCGGACGTATAAACTACGAGGATGAAGGAGATTCTTGTCTGGATATTCACGATATTAAGGCCACAAATCATGGCAAGGGAGTGGTGGGAATGATCAAAGGACTTGATGTCAATGCGTTTCTCAATGATTAAATGAGGCATATGGTGGAAATAAATATCGGCCTAGCTTAAAGAGAGCGCATCTTCAATTTAGTTTGAAAGAGGACGGAGGGGCTTTAGTAAATGGAAGGAATGGCGGTTTAAAAACGGCCATTATAAAAGACCCAGGAAGCACCCGTACCCTTCTGTAGACAAAACAAATCACCTAGCCTTGTTGCTTAGGAGTTCATTGCTCCTTCCAATCAATCAATCAATCAAAGTTCTATCAACCTGTTGGAGCCTAATATTGTCGTAATTGCTATGCAGGCTCTTCTTCCGAATGAAGCAAGAACTCATATTAAGTACGCCCGATGCTCTCGTAGTACCAAAACAGAGCCTGATTTACAAGAGAGCGTAGGAATTAGCCCAATAAGGTACGTCCAAAAGCCCAAAGCCCAAAGCTCATAAACAAGCGTTAGAAATAATCCCTTAGAACAAGCCGCTTTGTTCTACAGTGGCATTGTCTTAGTGTCCAGTCAAGTTGAGCTTCAAATATAGACTATTTTCCTTTATTCCACTATTGTTAGGCTTCGGTGACAATGAAAATAGCAGAAGCGCTCTCGAGTATTTAAGTCGAGAAGCATCCTCCCAATTCGATATTCATTCTCAAGCATCAAGCATTCTAAGACGCCACCGCACACAATACAGAACTTACTATTACAATAGCCTATCATGACCAGAAAAGGATACAAGAGGGGGAGAGAGAGAGATTTGTTAATCGATTGCAGGATGGTGTCAGACGAAGGGGAGAAGCCAGGCTCCTTGACGAACTCAGCATCACCGGTAATAATCTCGCCCTGAATGCGATTCTAAACGTACTCAGATACATCTTCTCCCTAGTGGTGCCGCTCGAGCCCTCGGATCGAGCGACGATGCTTAGGTCCAAGGGTATACGCGATGATATAAGAGCCCACATCCGGCGTCGACTTTACTTGTTTCCAGCAATAATTGCGAATTATGTAGCACCCACACCAGAAGCAGGTGTTGAGGATGTTCTTTATCAATTGCTCGCAGGTAGACTTGAGGAGTTCATTGATCTACACACGCGAGGTCTACTTTTGCAGGCACTACCAACCCAGCCTCCAACCCAGGCACCGGCTCAGCCTCAATATCAGCCGTTACGTCAGTTCCAGGTACAGCGCCCAGTCGGCACTGAACTGATGGGCCGGCTCCAACCCGAGCATGCGCTTCGAAACAACCCATTTGGTGAATACCAGGCACAGGTTCCAGCCCAGCCGCAAGCCCAGGACCAGCCTCAACTCCAGAACAAGCCATATGGATACACTACTTTCCTAGCACATCTTTCACGCCAGTCTGAGGCCCAGACCCAGCCTCAACCCCAGCTGCAGCCTCTGCCCCATCCGCAGTATCAACCCACACGGCAGTCACCCAAGCGACAAAGGAGCCCAAGTCCAGCGACCGGTTCAAAGCGACCTAGAACAGATAAAACAGATGACGCTCCTTTACCCGTTAAGACTAAAGCTCCGGCCAGCGCAGTTGACCCAGACATAGATCCCGCCTTGGAAGACTATGTAAGCCCGCTTGCTACTAACGAGCAACAGACACAACAACAGCCGCAAAAACAGACCGAAGAAGAAGAGGACTTCGAAACATCGCCCCAAGAGCAGGCATACTTAAGGCAGTTGCTTGAATCTCAGAAAGTCCAGCAGGTGGCGGAAGAGCAACCCGAAACCCCTACTACTGCGCAATCGACGCAAGACCTAACCCCACAAGAAGAGAAATTGGGAATGTCAAACCAAAATATGATGCTTTTACAGCAGTCCAACGCCATTGATGACCAACAAATGGAAGTAGGGCCAGTTACCACTTGGACTAATGTGCAACAGACACAAGGGCAGGTCGGGCAGCAAGCTGAGCCGAGATTGTCATCTCAAGAAGTGACATCTTTAGAGCAATTCAACACCTCTACTAATTATCAGCAGAGCGAAGAACAGATAGACGAGCCAGCGGATACGCAGATGGAGGATCCAATAGACGAGACGATGGATGAGCCTATGGACCAACACATAGAAGAATTGACCGAAGAACAGATGCAAGAAGCAGCGTATGAAGAGGTATTCAACGCCCTGATGAATGTGGACGAGATGGAAGAATAGGCCGAACAAAAGCTAAGCTAAGTTGGGAAAGCCAACTGAAAAGGTATAGTTTTTGGGACATGCCTCTAAGCAACAATTCTGTGATTCTCTGCTTTGTTAAACTTTTTCGCATATTTATGGAGTATAGTGGTTTTCGGTGGGTTTTCAGGATAAGATGAAATATTTGTTTTCCGTTTCACGCAATTTAAATCTCGGTCTTTCACAATGTAAAAGTAAAACATTGGTAGAATGTATCGATAAAATTGATTTATTATAGCTGACCTCTTAAGTGACAGATTGGCCGCCATAAATCTGCTGCCTTGACTTGACGTATGCATTCTTGGGATGCTGTATTGGCGGGCATATAGGAACTAAGCCACCTCGTTTTGTCCCGGCTCTCAAGCTGAGGGTACCCTTTTTTGGTCTTTTTGCTATCACGTAGGACAAAAAGTTGAATGACAATGACACCGAAAATTGCTGCGATGACCAATCCAAACGTTGCTGGGAATCCGTAGCCTAGAAATAAGAATGTAAGCTATGAATTCAACCTCAACCAAATCCGCCTGGAAACGGAAACGAATTTGACTTACGAAAAGTCGGCGCCATCGTCTGCGGGAAAATCACAATGGGTAGCCAGGCGGCCACAGCGTACTGAAAACCATTCATGCTACTAACGACAACTGCTCTTTCTTCGTTATTGTCGGCACATACTTCATTGGCCCAGGTGTAGCTGGCGAAGATCAGGAGACGTCAGCAAGCCTTACGGTTTACCTGGTGTAAGGGATTCAACATACAATACGGCTGTCATAAGCTGGACATTCGTCGTCAGGAATGCAAACTCTTTAAGGGGAATGCTCGATGGCCACGCAGCCAGAATTCCATTTGGAATAAGTCCAAGAATCTTTGGGACACACTTTCCATTAGCAATATTTCTATACACCGTAGTGGTATCTTTGTGCTTAAGGGGCTCACAAGCGGTATGATAACCAAAGCAAACCTACTACCCGTGTAGTCTGAGAGGAACCCCCAGAGTACAACGCAGGCCGCTCCAATTAAAGAAGTCCCAGTTGGGATGATGTTTCGATCGACGACCGAGAAACCCTCGGATTTGAGCCAGATGGCAAAGTAGCTGCCGCTACCGCATGACGATCCGTATAGCTATAGCATGTATTAGCCAGGCGGTATCCTCCGCCTTGAAAAACGGAAAATGAAAAGGCCTTACCACATATCCTAGAACGAAAGCGTACCATTTCCACGAGCTAAGAATTCTTTTGAAGGTTTCCATATTTATGTTCGCCGGTGCTGCCTTTCCGGCTTTCCGAACTCGTTCTTCAGCGAGATCGCGTTCGCTCTTCGAGAGATACCAGACACGTGTGGTAAACGGAGTGTCAGGAAGCAGAAAGTATGTCGCAATTCCGACAGGGATGGTCATGCACTGCAGTTTTCCCCGTTAGCATAGACCATAGGATTCAAGCCTATTTTTGAGTTCACTAACCCCACAGACAATGTAAAGCCACCTCCATCCAGCCAGTCCATGAGCCTCATTGAGATTTTTATACACTGCCGCCTGTAGATATCCGCCAAAGGCGGAGCCTAGCGGTGCTGTCATATGAAACAGGGCAACCCTCTTTGCTAGTTCCGTCTTTGTATACCAACTTCCCAAGACATACAATAGCACTGGAAAGAATGAACTTTCGAAAAACCCGACAAGAAACCGAAAGGCATACAGCTCACCAACGTTGTGCATTCCAGCCTGTGCAAAAGTGAAGATAGCCCAGCCAACCTCCATCGCGGAAAGCCAGATACTAGGTCGAATCCGTTGGACAATCAGAGTGCTGGGGATTTGCATGGCGGCATAGGCGACGGTGTATGCGGTGCCAGCGTATGTATACTCATTTCCGTACATTGAGAGAGCTTCTTGTAACCCTGATACATAAGCATTTGAAAGGTTACCCTGGTCTAAATATTTCATGAAGAACCCTAGACAGCCAATACTGAGAATTGCAGCGTCGAGCTTGAGCAGCAGTCGGCGCTCCTCGGGTGATTTCAAGTGAGTATCAGTATCCCAGATGAAGGATCGAAACGAACGGCGTGGTAGCTGGGAGTTTGATTGGCTTTCATGGTCGGGATTGTATTCCACAGCAGAGGTCGTTTGGCCGACTGGTTTTATTCCCGCCATATTGAGTCGCGTCTCGAGATGAAGTGCTCCTTTTGCAAGAATTCACGACTCAAATGGGCTGATAGGGCCATGTTGATATAAAAATACTACCCCTCAGAATGATCCCTGCGTCATCACGACATCTTCGCCTGATAACGTATCATCGTCCGTGTTTGGCTATATCCCCGTTGGTGCAATAATGGCGGCAGATTTAACATGCAGCCCTGGATAAGTTGGAGTATCTACCATTGGTGCCAAGAGAATCGCTTTGATTGTGACCCCAAATGAGGGAGACTTGGATAGGCCATGCTGAAACTAATGGATCCACAGCTTGTACCTCGACAGATAGTTACTGGAGAGAGGGTAAAAATGCACAGCCAATATAATTCCATAGTACCACTGAGCTATACAGCGGTTTGTGTTCAGTATTGGATGACACGAGTTCGATAGCCCTCAGTCAAACGGTTGACAAACTCGGCCTATTCTTCTTTTGTCTGCTCTGTAACACAAAATTCTTCCCAGACTTTCTTAATATCATTTTTATAGATGAAGTCCTTATCCCCATACAAAAAGCTGTCGACCTTGTATTGTAAAATGGCATCGAAATCTTCAGTTTTCGCTTGGAACTTCTGTGTTCTGCTTTTGCTCTCGTCCAGGTGTTGATACCTTCGTAGAGTGGAAAAGTAGTTGTTAGACTAGATCTGCAGTTTTGCAGTTTGCTAAAAGCACGAATCCCAAAAAGAACTCACATTTTATTGTAATAAGGAGAACGGATAGATTCAAAGATCTTAAGGGCGTCCCGTGCAAGATGGGAAGTGAACCGTGTCCGCTCAAGTGCGCGAGCGAGAATCCAACCATCTTCCATAGCAAATGTCGCTCCAGAGCCAAAGGCACCTAGAAATGTGTGAATGGCCCTCCACAATGAGATACTTTTCGAAGTCTTGGACCTACCGGATAGAGGATGACTAGCATCTCCAATAAGAACAACCTTATCCCATCCAGTGATCTTCTCCAAACGAGGACCTGCGAATGTTGCAAATTCCCTCCACTCGCCTTCGGCTACCATGCTGACAGCATCCCTTATCCTTTGATCAAAGGTCTATTGAGTAGTTAGAAAATATGATCCTTGAGTGACTTAAAAGTGGAATAGTTCCTCCAACCTTAACACGGGATGCCACTTTCGCGTTCGTCGCGGGAATGCCCCAATAAACCGTTTCTCCGGGGATCTCAGGCTCACGATATGACCGTACAGTAATTTCAAAAAGTGGATTCTCAGTCTCAGTCTCGTCATCTACATCCGAGAGGTAAACATGACCAGCTTCTCCCCACCACCATGATGTTGTGGGCGTGATATCTGGAATATGAGACAGGTGTGATCTAGGGACAAGGACACGGAATGCAGTGTTTCCTGTGAAGGAAAGCTGATGATCAGGAAACAGATGTCTCCGGACAATCTGGGGTTTTTTGATCAAGTTAGTCAGACATACAAGCGAAACCAAAGAGAAGAAGTTCCACAAACAGAATGTATTCCATCAGCTCCAACTACAATGTCCGCGACAACATCTGTTTGGTCTTGGAACAACAATCGTACACCATGACCTGGTAAATCTTCAAGAGACACAAGCTTCTTGCTGTATTGAATGACCCCGTCAGGCACCTTTGCCAAGAGGGCTGACTGTAGCCGGGTCCTGCGAGCACGAATTGCTCCACGGTGATGTTCCGCAGAATTTTCCGGATTTTGCGTAATGCTAAGAACTTTTCCTGTATAGGCACTCCTAGTGGTTATCAGACATGGGAAAGAGATTCCCCCACGAGCTCCAAAAGTAACACTCACCTTTGATGTGTGTTTGATTTGGAGCCTCCCTTGACCATATCACTTGCTCCTAGTAAATCAAGCACTTTCCACGCATTCGAGCTTAGACTGAGTCCAGCCCCAGCCTCTCTTGGCTCTGGGTTTTTCTCATAAAGAGTAACCCGTAGGAATGGAAGCTGGGAGAGAGCGATGGCGGTACCAAGTCCTCCAGGGCCACCACCAATTATAGCAACAGAAGTCATCTCTTTGCCACCCATGTTTCCGTTATATCCGTACCTTTCTTAACTGAAAATATTTCGAGACTTCCTATATGTGGAAGCGACAAATGGATATTTCTAGGTGGTGGCCGGACAGACCGGCTGAATGAGCACATCGCACGCCATACTACGCTCCGAACGTGCCATGCGCTACTAGTGCCGCGAACTAATTCTCGCAATGATTGGTCATGGAGATGAGTTATCGGGGCATGAACATAAGATACTTGCCGCCATCAACGAATTCTAGAGCCATGCTTAATGCTGACTTTGAGTTATTAGAGTCATATAGGCCAGAGAAGTCGCAAATCGTAGGAGTTTTCAGTAATAGGAGGTCTATAGAGAGGCTCACAGTTACCTAGCGCTACGACGGTAGACCGGGACCCTCGCTGTCTTCTCGATGTACCATGACATAAGCATTAACGCAATTGTATTCCAGCGTTGATATCAGTGATTAGACGTCACATCATGTCCTGCCACCTCTGGGGTACCTACTCATGTTAGTCTGACTATGTTGAGACGTTTCAACTCCTGGAATTATCTACCATTTATCCCCACACCCTAATTGAGTATTTAATGTGCTTTGGATAATATGAGACAAAATTATATTTGTTCTATTTCCAAGTTTGGAACTAGGTCGGATTTCTGCTGCATTTTATCTCAGAAGATAACGTATTTCACAAGCGAGCTGGCCAGCCAAGCGAGCTGGCCACCCCAAACCACCATAGTAAATACGATATATTCTACACTGATATCTCAACAACCACGTTTTTATTTTATTTTATTATTTGCCGATAGCTGTTGATAAGGCTTTTCAACACTATATATTAATTTTGACGAAATCTGAAACCTACATTGTTACGGTATCGAAAATTACGTTGGCTAGCAGCTAGAAATATAAATATCTGATTATATCTCAATTATTAAGTTATAGAAATTCTTTAAACCCCGGTTAGAGACTAAATACCACCTAAAAAGCATTAGTTTTTAAGGAAAAGTCCCTATAACCTACCGTTGTTGTGATACTATGTTGTAATTTATCGCATTTACTATGGTGTTTTGGGGTGGCCAGCTCGCTTGTGAAATACGTTAAAGGTAAATACTTTCATGTACAACATCTATCTGATGATATCTCGCAGAGGGAAATTTCATATAATCACACCTCCGGATATTTATCATCCGATTTCTTCTATAAGGCTTCAAAAGCAGCGTTTACATCCAATAATCTCACCAAATTGTCTTCGCCCGCAGAAGAGTTCACAGTCGACTTTCACAATGCAAATACAGTGGAGTATTGCTGCTCTTATTCACCAAAAGATCATCATTTTAACCAAGATAACACAATCCGGCTTTTCTCTCTCGATCAGGAAAGAACTCTCGTGCGTCAGGGCAGATATAGCAAAGACAAATGTCAGCTCCCGAGTGGACAGGACTCGGCGGCAATGACAGAAGCTTTGCAGGGACGGCTGAGACCATCGAGCAGGACAACTGCTTGAGCGTTTAAAAGACCCCCAGCGTCCCCAAAGTACTGGAGATGGGTCTTGTCATGGCCACGATTATACAAGGCCTTCCATTTTTAGCTAACTGCCATTCATCAAGACCATCCCAATCTATTTCCCTCGATGAAGCTCGAACTGAACAAAGATTACTGGCTAGAGCATGAGGTATGATGGGCGTCCTCGAATACTCTTTCTCTCTCTTTTGCATGAGCCACATACACCGAGGTTGCAAAATATCCCCTTATTCAGTTAACATCCGGCCGGCCAGATTCACTACCCAAGTCACTGAGCATTGATGGCAGAGAGAATTGGTCGCGTCTAGTGAATGATAATCAGATCGGAAATACCCACTTGCATGAAGCTATCTTGCACCGCCATATAGCCTTGTGGCTACCTATACCAATGAGGAGCAGATATCAATGCTATCAATAGCTCAGGAGAAACACCCTCGCATATTGCCTCTAAGTTCTGACACAATTGCGAGATTACTTCTTCACCGAGGCGCAAGTATTCACTCTAAGTGTTTGCCGGAAGGACTGCCCTTCATGTCGCCGTTCCAAGTGGAAGGCATGAGGTGACTGTCACCCTGCTAGATCGTGCAGCGTCTATCAATGAGGTCATTGGGTAAGCCGCTAGTTTAATTGTCGCACTGCAAAGCCTAAACCTCGCACTATGAGGGGAATCGGATTCCTAGTATCGCTTACTAGCTTAGATAAACGCATTGAGAGGTGGTTGTTTCTTATAATTATTTATCTTCATAACAGATCAGGCTTCCATGGATGGGCTCACGTTGTAAAGTTTGTTCAACAACCGGTTTAGCACGGCATATGCCCCTTAAACTTGAGGGGTAAACGGGTCTTAGCAATAGATGTAACGCTACACGGATGGAAGTACATCTAATGGCTGTTCCATCTGGCGATGATATTTCCATTCGAAGCCGACACTCCGCGGGTGCCAAGTACGGCGAGACTTCTTGCGGTGCTCCATTCCATTCATTGGCGGGAATTTTGATGTGACTTTCCGGGTTGGCTGTGGATGCTTGCGATCCTATATAGCCTTGAATCAAAGTCCAATATGCAACCCCCACGTTAAATCGTGGGGTAATTTGTATTTCTCTGCCTTCTAGTTACCTGTGCTCGTGCGTCCTGACCCCGCTCTCAAACTAACTGTGAATATTCGGCAAATGAAGTATTTATCGATTGTTATATAACAATCTCCAATGGCCTCAAGGAAAAGTTCATCCAGGTTTAAACACAATATAACCTTGCCTGAACAGTCTCAGAGGCCCGGACGCCTAGTATACTAATTCTGGATAAGCCTTCAAAATGAAAATGAATATCTTACCTTTCCTTTCGGCCCTGTCTGTGTGTCTTGCCTTGCCTTCTGATGCACCATCGAAGCGATTCAACCAAAATATAGGGATTGATCTCCCCGCGTTGTTCTCGGAAACAACTACAGCGAAGATCTGGCGTACTGCAGTGAATTCTATCAGTCAGGTATGTTTATTATTCTTGTCTAATACAATATGTTGCGTACTTATGCATTGCACAAGCTCCCGGGGAAATTTCCGAATTACGTTCCCAGTACCGGGTCGAATATTGGACAGTACGTCTTCAGCGACATCTCAGCATGGACGAGTGGCTTCTTTCCAGGGTCCATGTACGAGCTCTTAGAACGAAGCGTACGATTCCCTGATCATCTGAAGACCGGAAGCGTTGACCCAGAGGATATCCATGATCAACTTCTCGAACTTTCGCGCCAGTGGGCCAAACCCCTGCAGACACAAGCCTTCCGGACTAACACCCATGATATGGGCTTCCTCATTATGCCAGCTTTCCAAAAAGACTGGGAACTGACGGGAAACCAAGATAGCCTCGACACTATTGTCACGGCGGCCCACAGTCTAGCTACGCGTTTCGACCCACGAGTCAAGGCAGTACGGAGTTGGGACTCACTTGTTAACAAGCGCCAAAATATCACGAATAAGGAGACCAACTTTTTGGTCATTATCGATAGCATGTGTAGTAAGTTATTGAGCCCGTCTGCTTACTCAGGACTGATAATTCAGACATGGACCTGCTCTTTTATGCAGGCCACCACACCGGAAATCAGACGCTGATTGACATTGCCACGACGCACGCACACACGGTCCGGCGCAATATTGTCCGCAAAAATTACTCGACCTTCCATTGTTGTAATATCGATCCACAAAATGATAAGATCAAGTTTCAAGAGACTGTGCAGGGATACAAAGATTGGTCAACCTGGAGTCGGTAGGAGATCGTTCCTTCTCTCGGATAAGCAGGAGGCTGACGTTCTATTAGGGGCCAAGCTTGGGGAATTTTAGGCTATGTCCAGACATATCGGTGGACTAAAGATGCTGTATTTCTGCAGACAGCTAGAGGACTCGCCGACTATTTCGTGAATCGACTCTCCAAGTCGTCCCACACTCACCCATACGTACCTCTCTGGGACTTTGACGCGCCCACGGTCGATGGTGTGCTCCCTCCTCGGGACACTTCCGCCGGCCTTGTGGCTGCAAATGGTCTTCTTCTGCTCCACCAGGCTCTCCAAGGCGAGTCGCCGTACTTGGACCACGCCATACAAATAGTGAGGGAGACCATTGAGCTGTCTTTATCACATGATCCGACGAGCCTGACGCTCAGTCCGATCGGGAAGACAGCTATTCCCGCCGGTAATTGGGACTCCGTCTTGATGAACGCGACAATAAACAACAATGAGTACTCTCTCAGTCGGAGCAACAACACTGGTGTGGTGTACGCCGACTATTACTTTTTGCAGTTCGGGAACAGGTTACTAGAAATGGCACTTGCATGAAACGTTGCAGGGGAGGGAAACGGGTATAAAGTATTCGAATATCACGCTAGTATGAATAGTGAGCAGAATGATGAGCGTTTTTATAAACGTAGCCCAAAGCTAGACAGAGATTTTCATGGCACCGATTGAAGTCACACAAGTGGTAAATTGGAGACGGATATTTTGTTAGGCGTGATGTTCAGTTATGTCAATATAAAACATAGGCTGGCCTATTTGCCCCTTTAGGAAGCCCAGGCCGCTCAATCCGGGCATGAAATCATCTCCAGGGCAAAGCGCTTAACATCCTTTTGTTTTTTGACTTGAATAACATGCTGTCTATCTTGATTTTAAAGCAACAAGCACAATCAAGAGCGCCATTATTAAATGTAATTATTGTATTGAATCATATTTCACTGTAATAATGTCCATTTATACCATGAAGATCTTCCCGATATTTGTGAACGCCGTACGCAGTCACATTCTACCTTACAGCTTTTTTTCTCCTGAACATAGATCTTAATCTTTGATCATGACGGTATGACCTGCTGAAGATCCTGGGCCAGTAATGAGTGAACAGCAGAAGTGGGATGATACGAATCCCACCATAAACACCCATTTCCAATACAGCTAGTATCAGCATCAAATCCATATCCAGTAGGATGATTAAGTATTTCCGTGAAAAATGACCACGAATCATACAATGAAGTTGATGACTATTGATCATTATCAGGTCAGTCTTCTGTTGTCTCCCTAGTGATCCGGGAATTGAATTCAGTAAGGTCATAACTCACATCCGGAAATCTTTTCTCGAACTTCCTTTTCTCAAGGGCCAGTCTGTTATTGAATTTCTCTACCATGACCTGGTGGGCGTTCCGGTGCCACTCGTCCTTTTTCAGGTACGTTGGTGTGCGACTCAGGGGTGGCACGTTAATCAGTAAGAACCGACGGGCTCCACAGTTGTACATAGTCTCAGCAAGTTGCAAATGTCGCTGGAAAAGATAAGTCAAAACCTCATCAGTATCATCTCGCTCGTAGGAAAAGTGTATGCTGTCAATTGGGATTAGCGAGTGGCTGGTGGATAGAAGTCCAAGTTGAGAGGTAAACACACTCATTGATTCCGATCCAAATGGCGAAAAGAGTATCTTCTGAGTTCCATTCTTGTGGATTCTCGTCATCCTTGCAGTATCGCTCACGAAAGTCAGTTTCGACCTGGTAAACAAGGTCATGTGGCACGGCGGACACAATATTGTTGTCAATCGTGGCGCCATATACAGCCAAATCATAGGCTAAGAGCAGACTGGTGTTATAAACAGCCGCTGTATAGCCCACCCAATTGTTCCCATTGGTCGATGTGCCCTGGCCAAGTACTGGATTGCCTAGAGGATCAGACAACGATGGCTGTGGTCCAGATGTATTGAAGCCGGTGCTTGTATAGGAGTCGCCGCTGCATAGCCATTTTCTCAGGTCAGCCAAACTATTACACATGCTACACACAGGATCTGAGCAATTCGTGACGGACAATACAAATAAGTTCTTAATGCCAACATGCGGCTGCGCCAAGACAGCTTGGGCCGCGAGGCCAACCGAGGGTCGCATAGTGAAGCTGAAAACACGAACTCTTTGAGAAAAAGAATCTTCATGGGTGTTGTAGAGCCAGCACGCCGAAATGAGAAAAATAGGGGGTGTTCGTTAGGTTTTTCCAGCCCTGAGTTTATTCGTTAATTTGTGTCACCCCTGGCTTCGTGCATCAAATAGTCATATCATAGAATATGACAAGGGGGAGCACCCCGCCTTTGGAAAAATCCAAGTCTTTGAATCAAAATCCTTTGTGATCGAACCAAGATAGCTGCAGGTTGCTTTGTCTGCTCGTTTCAAGTCTAATGAGTTAAACGTTGAGTATACGTTTCTGCCTTGGGAATGAAGAAATCCCCAGCTTGGAGCAAAACAAAGACAAGAGTATTTTTAGAAGTCCCAAGGATTAAAGAAGAGCATACGTCAATTGATTGTCATAGAGCCTATCTAGTATTATTGATCATGGGATATTTGCCGCATACCGCAACAGCACTCCGAAATGGACTATCTGGATCTTGCACATCTCCTTCTCCGGTACAGGAACCTTTTTGATCACTCGAGTCGGTGTTTCCACTGCAACTGAGTATGGTGGTGGTAGACCCCTTTCCAATCGTGACTCCCTGCGTGATAATGACATTTGCACCCAGCCAAACATTGTCCTCGATGTATACAGGAAGCCCAAACTCAAGGAAATTTTTGCCGTGATAGAACGCTTGTCTCATGGCCAGCAGATCCTGCGGCATACATGATGGGCTCCTGGTATAAATCTCTTCAATCATCTTCCAATAATAGCTCTTAGGATTTATCTTACTCAATCATCGGCAACCAAAAGTTCGGCGATGGCTTTGGCAACGTCGCATCTTCATGTCTTACCTTGTGGCTCATCGCCAGTGCCACAAACGCAATAATGCCAATCCCTAAGATTGATTGGAAATTCTTCAATCTATATCTCATGTAGGACTTCTGTTCAGGGACAAAGTACTCCATTAACCATCCATTAGTGAAGAGGGTCCTGAATATCTTTAGTATTTCGCAGAATCTCCCGAAATGGTGCGCGTGTCTTTCTATATGCTCTAGGAATCTCTGGGAATCTTCAATGTCACCTGCCCGTTCCGATGGAATAAACCGTTTGCAGTTAGACCCAAGGCAGGCTTTGAGGATTACTATGCAAATTGATGTAATCATTGTCAGGGCCTCGGACAAGAGATATGAGAGCCGAAGCCCCTGTTTCATTCAATATAGTGAGTACTGATTCTTTGGAATAGTCGGTTGCGCATGTAGTTATGCTGGAAGAGATATAGTGATCTTTCTGCGTATTGAACTGTTCATATTTTCACCCGTTATGTGACTTGGGGGTGATGCTTTGTTCTCACCTGTCGAGTTAGGACCACAATAGAGTGCCGATCGTCGTACAAAAGCTCGTCACATAGGTACCGACCAGGATCACCAACTTAGGCAAGGGCGACGGTTTGAGGTTTCATTGTAGTGCATCCAATAGACAGATCGATTGAATGATTGTGAGCTCCAAGAGTGGACTGAGTTATTAGATAGCCTTATCCGATTTGCAAGTTACATTTCATAAACTGACATTACATTTACACCATCCCAAGGAATGTCAAGTCGGAAATACAGGGGCACATCTCTTTGGAACATCCTTGTTTGCATGCATTGAGATAATGTACTTCTGTCTGATGATCTTTCTTTTGGGTGAGTGTGTTTTTGTCCTCTATTGAGGATGAACGGAAACTGCTTTGGACGATTTCCGAAACAGTTACCAAAAACTGCGAAGCCTAGATATGGGACTTGAATTGCTAAGAAAGGCACCTCAAAGCCAATCTGACCCCGTTATATGGCGCCGGTATAGACATTTCTGACCTCAAACTCGACACCTCTTTTCCCAAAGACATAGCAAATAGAGATGCGAGATCGCCACTGAAAATATTATCATTGCAAGAAGCGCATTTTTGTTAGAAGATATGCTCTATAGATGCGGGAGTGTGCAGTTAAGAAGGCACGAGAGGTTTGACCTGCGCCTTCTCCAAAGTCAACCCAAAAACAAAGGGCAGCAGTCACAGCAAACCTCATCTCGTAAATATTCTTTCAGTGATGTTTTTTCTTATATGTCCTCGTCTTTATAGACGATCTGTCTCTCCCGCCAATTGTGACCGATCTCAAGAGAATGAGCAGGCCCCGGAGCCGCAAGGCAAGGTTCCCATGTCTGGTTCTGGCAAGTCCTAACTGACATTGAGTTATCACAGAGCCCACAGGAACGAGCCCAGCCCATCCTCAAAACCCGAAACGAATATCTGCAAGCCTTTCGCGCAGGCTGCGGCGTCGGTTCTCCAGAGAATCGAGACAGTCCTCAGAACTCCGCACCATCTTTCCGTTCGGGATCAAGCCAAAGCCAAGTACACCCAAAGCTACCACAGAGATGTCAGTATATGGGGACATGGGAAGCAGTCTAATGAGCGCACGGGGGTATGACAGTGACGCTCAGTATATTGGGACTCCACGGCACCTCGAGCCTTTAAACACATCGCCCAATAGTCCAGCTTTCCGCGGGATGGAGTTGAATGACTTGATAGAGGGAAGCCGTGAGCGGAATGCCTCAGAGCTTTGGACTGACAACAGAGTCCAAACTCATCCGAACGGTCCTGGGCCTCCATTTGGCATGCATTTTATACCCACTCCCCCAGGAAGTATGAGAGGGCAGCCACGAGGAGCTCATGCTAAACCTTCAATGGAGGGAACAAGCAGTCAGTCTGTTCCGTCACTCGGAAATGGTGGATCTGGTCACCGAGACGCCTTTACTAAATCTCTTCCAAGCCTCCACCCCAGCCAAGAAATTGCGTCAAGTCAAGAGCATCTGCGGGCTCGGGATGGCGTTGTGGGTGGCAGTGGTGAAAACCTTCAGAGCCTCGTGGCTGATTGGGCCCAATATCTGGGAGGGAGCCCCCAGGGTTACCGCACGGCGTCTTCGGGGTCTGTACACAACCAACCACAAGAAATATTGGTTTCCAAAAGAAGACAGCAACCGGGATCTCAAAGAACAGTTCATGAATTTCGAGCACCGCGTTTGGGCGATATGGGTATCTCGCAGAGAGTTGCGGGGACAGACATGGGGTCCGGACAGACATCAATCAATCCATCCATGTCAGATCTTGCGCATCCAAAAAGATACGGTTCGCTCATGGCGTCTCAGGAAAATGTGCTATCATCTGTAAAGTCAGGGGCATCAACAATCGTGGGTGTCGAGGCTCACAAGCAGGCAATGCTTCACAAACGAGATGTCTCCTCTTTCTACTCACGCCAAAGCAGCAACCCTTCAGGAGAGGCATCCCCAGTCACTCAATCACTCAGAGCTTGCGCGGAAAATTCCAGAGGCAATATGCCAATCATCCATCAAGATATGCGTGATAAGGCTCACGTCATCGACAACCAGCAATATCTGAGAACCGAGTTGCGGATGGGCAGATTCGTTGAGCAGTTTGGGGATAGCAACTTGACATTGGTCCAGGATCAAGACATGTCCAGCGAAATGGCAGGACAGCGGAAGGTCAGTCCGGGGTGGATGACTGGCGGCCGGCGAATGGGGTACGGATATACCATGGTGGACAACGCTGAAAGGGAGCCAACACATATCGATGGAATCGACAGTCCACTCCCAAACGGGGGTTGGCGCAAGCAGACCCCAGAACCGACACCTAGTAATGTCCAAACGCGGGAGATGAACGGGTCTCTCCAGCATCAAACCGACATGGCACAATCAACTCACTCGGGTTCGCCAGAACAGAGCCCCATCTGCCATTCTCCTGATAATCGCCGCTTGTCCAATCCCAAAAATCCTACCAAGGCCTTGGGTGGGCCCATTTCAACGCCGGATTTGTGGGCAAGAATGAAAAGTCGTTCAGTCCGAGCTTCCAGGCACGCGCCTCTCGCGGTGGACCTAGCAGCAGATCAAATGGCCGCTAGAAGCTCTCATAGCCCAATCGCGGTACGAGAGCAGCAAAAGGCACCCACACTGTCTAAGGGTGTTGATTATGTCGAAGACACAGAATCATTTCTGGGTCGATGGACAAAGAATAGCCTCTTCAAAGACATGCAGCCGCAGCCACTCAAGGCCAACAAGGTCAACGGCTTCCAGAGTGAAGAAAGACAACCTTTCCAAGAAGGTTCACCATCCGTACAACGCCGTTTCTCGATGGATCAGACGAATCGGCCTCAATCCGTATACTTTGACTCCGGGAATACCGGGAGTGCAGACCAAGTGGAAGAGACACCGACACGTTCTCAAAGTGGACGTTGGATTCTAAGATTCTCCAGGAACAGGGAAAGCCAGCGACGCTCGAATCTCCATCCAAAAGAGCCATCTCAGGACTCATCGGTACAGTACCAAGATCGTGAACATCAAGGGTTGGGACGAACAAACTCCACCCGCAGCGAAATGGCAGAGGAGCTGGCGAGTGCGTATCAGGAATGCATTGAAATGCCAGGGGCATTCCGTGGCAGCAAATGGGCTAGCCGGACTAGTCTGGTGGTGGAAGCGGAGTGATAGTGGACGAATCGACAGAACTCATTGAGGTATATTAGTTTTTGGACACGCAAAAAACATTCTTACAGTTATGGATTTTGTGTTGCAGTCATTGTTACCCGCAGGAACAGAGTTGATTGAATTATGAATATATTTCCACGCCAGATGTCATTAATCGTACAGAAAAGAAGTATGGGTAACGTCCCAGATACACAAGGTACATCCAGCTCCATTGCACAGAGTAGCAAATGGTCTATCTCCGCTGCCGCTTGTTGCTCTCACTTGCGCCACTTAGCACACTGGCAGAGCGCTTGTGGTTCCCTACGGCACCGTGGGCATGATCTTGCGTAGCAGGATTGTCATTTGTGGACTGGGCTTGAGCACCACCGGCAGACGAATCCAAAACACTTGCGTCACCGTCCTCGGCTTCGGTCTTTACCTGGGGGTGAGGAGGTTCCGGCTCTGGAATACCAGCGGCTTCTCTGTACTTGCGCTCGCGCTCTGCCTTGGCAGCCTCGAGAACGCGGATCTCGCTTTCAACCTTCTCAGAGACCTTTCGGGCATCGAGTAGTAGGTTGACGGACTGGATAAGTTTCTCAAAGTCCTTGCATACGCGTTCGGTAGGCATGAAGAGGCGGACGGGGATCTCGAGTTCGGAAAGGGCGCTGGCCAATTTTTGGGTTTGTACGTTGGACTTAGCCTGGGTGAGGCGCTGGGCACGGTCGCTTCGGAAGTTGACACCTGCTGTAACACGCTCGTGGTGCTGGACGCCGTACCTGGCTTCCTCGGCTGGGGTGAGGGTTCGCACGTTTTGTTGGGTATCCCTTGAGGCCATGGCGCCCTTCTTGTTTGCGGCTTGGGTAACGGGGGTTTCGGCGCGGCCGAGGCCACCGGTGTGAGTGGGTGTCTGGCCAGCGGGACTGGGGATGGCGCCATCGCCGAGGATGGAGCGGCGTTTCTTGCTCTTGTCGGCTTGCAAGAGGGTTTGTAGGAGTTGGGATAGGCCAGCGCTGGACTGGTACATGGTCGTGTTTCCAACGCTGATAGGAACCTCGAGGCGAGAGTAGAGTTCGCGGCGCTCGGTGATGAAGCTCTGTTCGTTACTGGTGATGCGCTTCAGCTCCTCCAGGAGCATTGCCTCCTCACGGACTTCGTCAGCTGTGCGGTTAAGCTGGAGGGCGGCCAGCTCCTTGCGATCTCGTTCCCGGTCTGGGTCGAACTTGAGCATCTTCTCGTGTAGTTCAAACTCTGCCTCTGACATCTCGGATGGTGGGTGTTCCAATGAAAGCATTGTCGCAGCAACGAAGTAGTACCGTGCCTTCATCTGCTCCATTGTCCGGAACTGCTTTGCTGGTACAATCGCATTGGCGTCTGGCTCTGTGTCCATTGGCGGTTGGTAGTCGTATCGATCCGCGATGACCACCCATCGAATATCGTATTCGGTGACCAGATCCACCAAGTAGTCGGTTTCCTCACGAGACCAGTCTTCGCTTTTGAGGTGTCGCGCATAGTCTTCGTCTGTGTATCGCTGGGGTAACCGCGGTTTGATGTTGTATTTGGCGAAAGCGTATTCCTGCTCCGATGGTTTGGGCGCATCGTCTTTCCCGTCTTCCTTCGGTTGATCGATTTCCATCTGAGACCCTTCAGGCGCCGGCGCCGGTACGGGGGTCTTGCCGACTCGTGTTTTCTCTGCCAATGGTGTAGGACCAGGCCATCGGAACGAGCGTTGTTGGTGAACGGTGACATGCTCCTATACACAATCTCATATCAGCATTCGCCCAGACCTTACAATATCCAAAGCCAGGACATACCACGGCCGGACGCGCAATTTGTTCATCCATTTTGGTCGACCCTTGTATTTATTCTCATTTATCGCGATTGGGGGCGCTCTTTCGCCCAGGAGCGCGTACAGTTCGCGAGTGATACCCTCTGCAACAGAAATTGTCAGTCATTCGTCCCATTCCTGGCAGTGTCGAGGGCACGAACCTGGTCGCTTTTCCACCACCTTTTGCTTCTTGTGTGGTCTGGGCTGCCCTTCTGCGGGCAGATCCAGCATGTCGCGAACATCGGCGGCCGCGGCCATGATGGCGGTTCGGTCGGATGGGAAATCTGCTCCGGCGCGACGCGATAAATCGAGGTATTGGGTGAAGTAAGAATTCTACGCGATGAGGTGACTGATGAAAACAGAATACCGCGTCTGCCTTGATGAAACAAAGAACAGAGAAGTGATAAATTGAAGACCAAGTCGACAGAGGTTTCCCGTTGGTAAGGGAGGATTCCGAAGACGGCAGGCGGTGAAGTTTCACGGTCCTTGATGTTGACACCTTCGCGGAGATACTTGGAATAGCGACTGTCCAATTGCCCACTCCCTCATCATGGCTTTCTCTGGGACATCCTCGTCATGGCTGGCATCAACCTTGACTCTCCTCTCTCTATTCTCTCTTCTGATCCCCACTAATGCCTTGTACTTCTACATGGAGGGCAGGCAAACGAAGTGCTTCTTCGAGGACCTGCCCAAGGATACACTTGTGGCCGGTAAGACTTAACGTCTTATGCCTGCATCAAAATGAAAACTAATGCATGATATTGGAATAATAAACAGGCCGCTTCGAGACACATGTCCTCCAACCTCAGTCCAACACCTACGCAATCGACCACAACATGAAGGTGCTCATCACCGTTGAAGAGACCTTCGACAATGACCACCGAGTTGTTTCCAAGCGCGACAGCCACTCTGGCCGCTTCCATTTCTCCGCTGCCGACGCCGGCCAGCACAGAATCTGCTTCACGCCGGAGACCGATGCCACCTCCGGCTTCATGTCTTCTTCTCTGGGTGCTGTCAAGGTCAGCGTTGACATTGCCATTGGTGAGACCAGCAAGATCGAAACCGAAGATAAGGACAAGATGAAGGACATTGTGCAGCGGGTCAAGGACCTGAACAGCCGGTTGCACGATATCCGCCGTGAGCAGGTGTACCAGCGGGTAAGTGATCCCCATATGCAGCTTACGATCCGCTATCATATTGCGAGTCCTCATATAGAATGAACTATGCATGTACTAATGCGATTTGCTTAGGAACGCGAGTCCGAGTTCCGTGACCAGTCCGAGACTACCAATTCTCGCGTTGTTCGCTGGACTCTCATTCAGCTGGCCGTCCTTTCCGCTGCTTGCGCCTGGCAACTCTCGCACCTGCGGTCATTCTTCATCAAGCAGAAGTTGACCTAAGTTGTTGCCTTCTTCCCTGCCACATACCTCGTTTCTAATGCCTTGCATGTCCCTTACATATTTGCTATGGCCACGTTAGTTTACGCGAATATTGACCACTGGTTACCCATGGGATTCGATTTTATACTGTTTCTTTGCGATTGAAATAATGTTGGCTAGAAAGATTCCAGGCTGTGAATGCCTAGTTTATTGATAGTCAGCGGACTGGGTCAGCATTTCAACGCGAAAAAAAGACTGCGGTGTGCTTGGAGCGATGTCGATCTTGATAATGGATGTAATGATAGCTTTTCTCTTCTATTTCCTTTGGCGTTGTAAGTTCCCTAGGTCAGCTGTACTCATACATGGAGTATATACTCGCCCCAAGCAAAATCTCACTTGGTCTCGGAAATAGCCCTAGCTTAGCATAGCAAAGGGAATATTTTCAACCCCTCTGCCCAATAGCTGTCCAATAAACATGAACTACATCGTATGAGATTATGTAGACGATGGCCCTATAAGCTCAATATCAGAAAGTTTTATACTGTATAATACAAGTAACTCTGAAGTCTAGTCTCATTGCGATCTAACATCAGGGTGTATGTCGTGGACAAGGGCGAAATGTGCATTTTTGGACCATAGTTTGAAAACAGGCGGTAATATGTCATTTGACTGTTCATAGCCAATGCAATCGCCCATTATTCTGTCAAATCAACTATGTATCATGGAGAATGTCAACTGCTGATGTTTTATGACGGGCGAAGCTGGCCAGAATGCCGCGACCAGCCTGTTCTGCGGAACACTGAAGATTGCAGCCTCTTTCAAGATCCTCAGACTCTCGCAAGTGGCTTCCACCGTCCTTGAATGTTCCGACTAACTGTTATGGTCAGTCCTCCAGCAATCGACGTAACTCCCCCGAAGATCCACATTGAGTTGAAACTTTCATTTTGCAGAATAGCGCCTGCTACAGGCGTGCCAACCAAGTTGCCTATCGTCATAACTGCATATCCCATACCCATTCGGGTCCCAATCAACCTTCGATCCGGAGAAAGGTGCGCAAAACAGGTTGGGGGCAAGGAAACAAAAGCCCCCGAGAAAAGCCCGTAGGGCGACGAGACAACCACCATACCTGCCAGGCCCGATAAGTTCACCAGGGCAGACATCAAGGCTCCACATATAGTGGTACACAAAGAAATTATGTTGAAGGGGCCGACCCGATTGGCACAGAAGTTGGGAAATATGTTCGAATGTAACTTCGTGACATATAACTTTGTCCTGCAGTCGCAGGACAACGCGACTTGTGTTAACAAGGCTGTCTCTTATCACTTAATGATTTTTGGCTAAACTGGGGGATATCAGACTGCTCGAGGGGGTTGGTGTGCTTGGATCGTGGGCATATTACGTCTATCTTTTTTTGATTTAGTTTTGTTTTGTTTTGATATTATCCTGTGAATGGCATCGATAGCAGCGAAATTATGTAACGTTATTATTATGTTATGTGTGTAGGCCAAACTGTGAGTTCGATAAAAAATTGAAAAGTATGTCAAAAGGGCATGGACGTAAATATGCATTGCATGGCGCTATATAGCAGAATGTTCACTTGAGATTTTATCATCAATCATTATATCCAAGAAGGAGGTAATAAACAAAGTGGTGTCAAAAATGCCGAAATGGTATATGGCAGTTAAACATGAAGAGAAGAGCAAGACATGCAAGCAAATAACAGACAAAGCCTAGAGATTCGCTGTCTTGTTTCGAAATAAGAGGCCCCTGGGCCAAACAGAAAAACAAATTGCGTTTTGTGCAGGGTTGCGCAAGAA